CATCACTGCTTCTAAAATGCCTTTCCACCTCTCTCTATCCAATGCCACTCCATATCTAGCAATAGATTGACTTCTTTTAGGTCTTTTTCTATTCTATCATTCCATCTTTTCATCCCGAGGTCTGCCCCTAGGTCTTTTTCCGTTATCTTATCTTCTTAGCCAGAAAGTGGTTGGAATGAGCAGGTCATATGCGACCCGAAGGCACGCTAATTAAGAAAGGTAAGAATATATGTTACACAGAAATACAAAATAATATTTTTTCCTTCCACAGGGAAAGGCAAAGTGTTTAGTTCGTTTTAAATTATAATGTCGCCCAAGGGCACCCGCAAGGAGGGGCAGGAGGGATAACTCCTCCCCCTAGCTTTCCAACTATTTAAAATATTTATATCCAAATTAAATATCCCAAAATCCCAAAAATCATAATTGGTACCAAGTTGTTTTAATATTTATAGTTTCTTACGTTCAACAATGTGTGAGAATCGTTTATCCGGATTATGTATGTTAAGTTTACACAGAAAAAAAATCGAAGAACTTCATTTAGCTGAAAAAGTTGTTGATAAATTTGGGAAAAATAAAATAAAATTGCAATTTGTGTTCAATTAGTTAATAAAAGTGTATTATTAGTATAAAAGTGTTTGATTATTAATAAAAATGAATGCTGTCCCCCCCCTGAATTTTCATCTGTAGGCACCCTTAATGTCACCCTTTGTATACTAAAGATAGACTTTTAAAGATTCGCTTTATTACATGGGCCAATATGTGATGACGGAGGTGCATGGATTTTATAGGTATTAAAGTAGACTAGTGTGTTTATATTTCCACGGAGGTTATTTGTTCTACAGTCCCATTGTGTCTTTTTAGTATTTATGTCACTTCCAATTATAAGTTTATGGCCAAAAGTACTAAAGAAGTGATCTTACTGAATTGTGGAGATGGAGTGATGTGGTAGGCTATGTACTGCATAAATGTTTTGTGATATTGTTAAGTACTAAAGATATGTCACAAACCTGCATATTATTTGTTTAATATAGTGGTAAGAGATAAAATAGTAACGAAGCTCTTATTATAATAGCATCCCCTGCGTGAGTTGTGTCACCTGGATCGTTAGTTATAAAAGTATTGAAGCCTAGTAGGTTTATATATGACGAATGAGTGAAATGAGTTTTGGAAATAAGTGCGATATCCATTCTGTTATTTTGTAGAATAACTAATAATTCATTTTTACGTTTAGTTAGACCATTTAAGTTCCGAGCTAGGATAAGGAAAGAATTAGAAATATAAGTGTCAGTTGACATTTTTAGTTTTGATGAGAGTTGAGAGGACAGTGGTGAGTAAAGAAATAAGCGGGTTTATGATTGATTTAAAGTCATTAAGAAATTTAATGAGTGATATTTCGTTATTGCTTATAGAGGAAGGATTTGGGTTAGGAGGTGGGAGATTCTTAGTTACATTGGTATACGAACGTGGGTTATTGGAGTTTTCCGTGGCTGGTTGTTGATGGCGGTGTTAAGGATAAAAGTTCGGATTTAATGGTTGAAGCTGTTGATGTTTTTTGCTTGAGATGTTGTGTTTACGGCTTAGTTATTTGTAGATAGTGCATTCTTTATAAGTTTTGGCAGTTTTGATACTGTAGAATTGGTCGTTTTGATAGGGTTCTTCGATTTTGACTGTTGTGTGTAGGAGGGAGAGGATATCAAAAATTTGACTGTCATTTCCATTGGGGTTGATATCGACAAAGAAAAAGGGCAGATACATTTTTGTTTATTGGTGTATAACGTTAGTGACGTTTTTCACATATAAATCTTCATTTTCAAGACTTCAAGGATTTTAATGGATTTTCTGAGGGATTTTTTTGAAAAATAAAATGTAAACTGTTCTCTCTGTTCTTGATCATTCTGACGTTTGACACTCAGTTCTATTTTCAGCGTTAGAATATCTATGTTAACCCTAAAACCATACACATAGCCAAGGGGTGGGTCCATGAGGTCTGGACCTCCCCCAGAAATTTTTTAGTTTTAATTTTTACTTTGATTTTGTACCAATCACAATTTAAAAGTGACGATAAAAAAATGATTCCATTTATATTCCAAGAATTTATGGAATATCATAGTATATATAGTTCGTTATCGGCACTTGCCCTGTTGTTTGTCTGAAAGCATGACAGATATGTATAATTAGATTATACATATATATATATATATATATGGAAGGCATCAATTAAATATAACATTTTGATTTTCTTTGTATACCTAAATAACTAAACATAGCGCAAATTTATAATTTTCACTGATAATAATTATTGATGAACTATTCACTATGACAGTTGACGAGAAGAACATTCAGTTTTGTCTTTTAATGTGCGGTGTTATCGAATAGGTACATAGAACAAACGCTTATACGCAGACAGGCCATTTTGAGTTGAGTTTTATTTTTGTTGTTTTTTTAAATTTTCTAACATGAAGAGAGGTATGCATGACAATTATTTTAAAACAACTTCTAAAAAGTGTGTGACTAATGTGAAACCAAAAAGTGAACACGTAGTCATCAGAGAAAACTTAATAGCTGATGATTCATCGAATAGTTCAACTCTCAGAGACGAACGCAGAAAAAAATTCGGATTTGAAAAAAATTAAAATATTCATAAATATTATGATATTTAATAATTGTATTGTATACCTACATCAATTTACAAACCCAGAAAACTTTTAAATAATTTATAATTTTTTTAATTTATTTATTAGTAATACATTTGTAGGTCAGATAATTTATTTTTTATTCCTGATATTTCAGGGGAGGAACCCCTCCGACTTCGCCCCTGTCAACTTTAGTATTACAGACAACTAAAGATGTGAATACTTCTATTTGTTATAATTTGAACTTTTTTTTTCTCCCAACATTATTGGTAGTTGGTGATTTTAAGTTGGACCCCCCCACCCCCCAAACAAAAATCCTGGTTACGTGCCTGCCTACAACAATACCTTAGACGGCGACGAACTACGTGACAACGTTATAAGATAAGAATTATTTTTAATTTTAATTCTATCAAAAACGATTTTGCAGAATAAAACTATTAAGACATAAAAAAACTGGTCAAATAAGCAAAAATAACCAGAAAAACTGGAAATAAACATTTGTTTTTAAAAATTGCTGAAAAAAGCAAAAAAAAGCACTTTCAAATTTCATAATTGTACGTGTTATAACTTGACATACACTTCTATAGTACTCTGCTACATTTTAAATCAATCCATAAAAATAAGTAAATGCTTTAACTCCCGAGCCCTGTATATAATATAGGCTTTATCAATTCATAATGGCTATTAAATTTTGAAATTTCGGAATTTTGCTACTTATAGATGAAAATAATATTAAACTTTTGCGTTTGTTTACACTGGCACATGACTCCGTCAAAAATCTGTAACAATAATGTTATTATCGCTTAAGGATTTCTTGGGAATAATGACTTCGCCGCCGTGCAATTCTTGTTAAGATCTACTCTGTCAAATAAATTAATAAATAAAACCTAACTATTTTGTTTAATAATTACTATTAAAATTATTAATTTTTTTGCAAATCAATGTTGTAAAATAAATAATTAATTTAAATAGGAATGAAATACATTATGATTAATGATAAATAAAATTGGAGGCGAATATTTTTAATTTTTCCCTGGGCGCCAAATCTTAACGGCACAGCTCTGACCATACCTATTGTTTTATTGACCCGTACACAGGGACACACCATAGACATAATATATTATGTCTATGGGGCACACACCCAAAATATCGAGAGGTTATGAGGTTTTGCAAAGGGAGATAATAAATAAAAAGTGTCGGGGAACTAATAGAAATTTTCTGGAATCGTATTTGGCAGAATTTATGTGGAGTACACGTCTTGGGAAACAAGATCAGTGTTGCCAGTTATAATTTTTTTAAAAAGTTATGAGTACTATCACAAAAGGCTAGAAATCAGGTAAACAAAATTTATTAATAACAAACATATTAACTCAAAAATAAAAATATTAATACTTTTAAAATCGTTGACAATTTCAATTTTTTCTGTAGTAAAGCTATTAATCTTCTTGTCATATGTTACAAGTAAATAATATTAGTGAAACATTAAATCTAATAAATAAAGATATTAAATAATTATAATTCATATTTTATTCAATTTTAATGTTCTGAGCAGTCCAACATTAAAAAAAACAAACAAGTAAATAAAGTAATAAGTAATAAAAATAACAAAACAAAATATTAGGTAATAATTAAAAATGTTAAAATAGTGAATTAAAGTCTTTTAAATCACGAATCTACAATCGTGGAACGAACTAAGATATACTAGTCCGAGGTGTAAAGTGATAACTATTAACTATATATGAATATAAATCCGATTCGTAGTAAACAACCACAGATAAATATAATTTTTTATGATAACAACTATAAATATGGTTTATAATATGGAGTGATAACGAAAACGAAAGAAAAAACTCATTTTTAAATTTAAAATGTTATACATAATTAAATAATATTAAATATTTAAATATTTATTATATTGTTCATCTTATTTATGGCGGGGCAATAACAAACAAGTACCCTAATCTGAATTCGTTATATTTTCTGGAGATCAGTCAGTCCACATTTTAAGGTTTCTGATTTTAATCCCGAATAATTAACGTTTGAAAATTCCTAAATTTTAAAATATTTTAACCAAATGTATAGGAGTTGGGGGGTATTTTTTGGGAAAAATGCGCTGACCCATCTCAAGTAGACATAATCACAAACTTTCAAAAGTATTATCGCATAAAATAGAATATTTGAATATAAATATCAACATAAAGTAGTTGAATTAGCTAATGATATGAACACAATGACATTAAAATACATTTCAATAAACCTGCTACACAATATACCCATAAAACAAATGTTTTGTAACATACATTTTCGTTTGCTAGTTTGGCACACTGTAACGGCCCAAACACTCTTATCTTTCAACAAATCCATTCTCTGATTTTTCTATCTAAGCGCCGTCCATTTGTTACCTGGATATATATATCCCATGATTTGTTAACAGGTCTATGTCGAAAATTGTGATCAGTGAAAATATATTAATTTATTAATTTACCGTTTGTAATCATCCGTTGTACCCAGTACGAATGATCGATTGTATTCGTAATAAACGGTGAAAATTGATGAACGTCGTCCGACATAAACGTAAATATTGTTCGACATCAACGTAGTACTTCGATTACGATTCAACCGGCAGAATGGAATACGATATCGGAACTGAAATTTTGATTCATTCGCCTGCCAACATATGGTAAGCGTTCTTTTCATTTCCCGACGAGGGCCACAGCCGTGGTTGAACTTTTCAGCATCAGGTCATCGTGTTGATTTCACGCTGGGGGGGGATCGTCACTTGTTTGTTTTGTTCATAACGCCGCAGATTATATGAAAACGAATCCCATAATTATAATATTAGTTGTGATACTATCTTACAAATGATACCATTATCGTTCGCCGACTAATCTTTGTTAATTCGTGTTGGTAATCTGTGATATTATTATTATTTTTTACGCATATAGATAATAGACACATTCGCTTAGGTATGTTTTATTGATTGGTTAGGTTAGCATTGATCATAACATAAAGTCCTCGGTCATTAAATGTCTGATTAGGTGGTTTGTAATATATGCCAATAAAAGGTTTAATATCAGTAGTTCCTAGTCTATGAACCTTGTATAATCACTTATTAAAATTTATGAGACACCGTGTTTTTCCTTTTTTTTCTTATTAAAATATTTTGCTCATTTAGGTAGACAAATAGAGTATCAATTCATCAACAATTATTTCTAATTCAGCGACTATTGCGTTTTCTCTACTTAAGATTCTCATTTTACATTTTTATTGAACAAATTCTGTTCTAGAGGAAATATATAAATAAAATGTTATTTTAGATATAATAATAACTGTAATAATATTAATAAAAATAAATATAACAAATTATATTAATTCATGTTTTTCCCATTCAAAACACTGATTTACAAGTCTGGTTAAATATTTATAGATTTCCTATAATCTATTTACTATAATATTGGTTTTTCGATCTTGTACTATATCTTATAAGCATCGAATTTGGAGAAAAGTTTATTTCTTAATTTAAATCATTATCAGTATATTATTTTAAATTTTCAACTACCTAATGACAATACGTATTGCAAACAATGATTTTAAGTAAATACATTTAAAATCATTTTAACTACCTAATATAATTTCTTATAATGATCATGGATACCGGAACAATGGGAAAAATGGGGAAAACTGCTCCTACGGAAAAAAATCTGTGATGGCATAGCCCCCCACGGACATTTTCCTAGTATTTACCCTCCCATGACTAAAATACATAGGCCATCTTCCATATTCATTTTTTTTGTTGAATATAGAAACAAAACTCAAATATATTTATTAAACTGTTTAATAAATTTTTAAGTATTAACATACACATACAGTAAACTAATAGTTTTATTTAAAAATAACTTGCATATACTATGTATGTAGTATAAGAGGTATGTATATAAGAATAAGATAACATGGAGATAATTACCCTTTATTTAGAAATTGGAAAAGATTCAACATTTAACCGTAACACCCAAAATAGAATAGTTTTCAGAGTAGGAAATCCATTATCGGGACTGTAAAATAGATTTGTAATCTAATTTATTTCTAGAATCATTTGGTTTCCAACAATCGATTTGATCAGACACAGTCATTAAATTATAACTTTACCTTCCACTGTATTTGTAGCTATACTCAGCCACCACGGTTTAAACATGGTTCCCATGCCACTGATAACGATATTAAATTTTTATGTATTGGAATGGTTTATGTTTTTATGTTGCATTTATTATTGTTTTATGCAACGATATCAACGTTTTCCGTTTTAGTTATGTAAATTAATACCATTGGTTTTTAAACACTATAATTTTCAAGTCCTGTCATTAATTTTTCAAGCATATTCTACATTTATAACTTTTATTAAATTGAAATAAAGCAATAATTTAACATTAAGTAATTATTATTAATAATAACTCATACTACTAAGTTTTAAAACAAAATTATTCTTTATATTTAATATAAAGAAAATATCAAACTATAATAGTTTATAGTAGTCACCTTATGTATTCGCTTAGGGATATATTTTTACATACTAAGAGGATATTAATGAATATAAATCTTAATTATTCTATTGTATGTAAATATATTATGTATACATTTTTTCATGCTTATTATTTATTATTGTTTATTGTTATTTATTACTTGTTCTCTAACAAATCTTGACCTAACTAGTCTCTTCAGTGTAAACACTGACAATTGTTTACATATTCATAAACAAACGTTCTTCATAACAGTAATTATCTTTCAGTTCATAATTTATCTAGGCTTGCCAAATCAAATAGGTATTTTAATCGTTCAAAACATTTCAAGTATTGGAACTAATTAAATATCATAAGTAAATGTGTGTGTATATATATATATATATATATATGTGTGTGTGTGTGTGTGTGTGTGTGTGTGTGGAGTAATGTAGATACTGATGAGATCACAAATATAAATGCTGTGATGACCACAACTCATCACTAAAGAGACTCAATGTTTAATAATAACTTCATTGTGTCATCAATGTAGAATGTATCTATTTGTGTTGATACATATTCTGTAATTTTATTAAATATAACTAATTAATAGTAAAATGTTTCATTTTTATATTAGGACACCGGCGACTGTTGAAGAAGATGATGGTGATGAAATATTTATTTCTTATAAAGAGGGTAATGGTGCTAATGAATGGATTAATAAAGACAGTCATCGTATTAAATCTATAGATGCAGAATGGGCAGCTAATTCAGTAACAAAGTCCAAGTGAGAATACATTTTTGTTATTTAATTCTTTAATCAATATTAAATACTTGGTTAATCATTTTTATAAATGTATTTACTTAATATAATTTTGAAATTTTAGTCATGTAGAAAGTATTGTTTCTGACATTAAATCAATGAGTCCTAATGTTGTACCTTCTGATAAAGAAATAACAAAAAAATCTACAGCTGCGCGATCTTCAGGTGTATTTAAAGTAAAGTTTAAAAAAGATGATTTTTTATCAAAGAAGACACAAGGTAAGAATTATTTTGTGCTTGTAAATAATATTATTGAACATTTTAATTTATGGAAAATCTTTAATTTAAGTAATTTGACATACTCGTATATTTATTTATTATATATTTATATGTAATATTCATGATTTATGTTTCTTGTCTTTGTTTTATATTAGTATCTTATTAAATTGGGACTGCACATTTTTCATTGAAAAATAGTTATACCATTAATGTATAATATACTCATAGATATATATAATATATAGAAAGATATAAATTTAGAAGTATTAAAATTAGATAACTTAAAGTATTTTTAAGTTAACTCTATATACTTAAAAAATAATCTTAGATTTAAGTTGTTTTTAAATATTGAGCCTAATTATTAAGTATACAAGTACTTAATAAAATAAAAAATTGTTGATTTAATAGAATATTTTTCACAAACAAATTTTATCAAAATTAAGATAAATTTTTAATGTTTAAAATGTTATGATCAAGTTTCTAGAGCTTTGATTTTTTTGTTTAATATTTCTATTATCATCTGAGCTATAGTATTTTATACACTATATGACAGAGGTGGCCAACTTCTTAAATTTGTTATCAATTTTTTAGTTTTCCTAGTAGGTTATCACGATCGACAAAAAAAATTAAAAATAGAGATCACTGAGAAAAAATATATTTTTTATATATTTGTGCTACAATTCCTTTATTACTTCTATTTAAAGTATTATTAAGTAATAATAATTTTAATTTTACACTTTTTCAAAACATTTATTTTTTATCAATTTATACGAACATAATAAATACTGAATATATAAATATGCACCATTGCTAGTAGCTATCGGCTACTCAATATGTATTTCAAATTTATTTTCTTGTTTTTATTTACCTATTGGTTTAGAGTATTAGTAAAAAAAAAATAGATATTTTGATGGCACTTTTTGTTTATTTTTAAATAATTTGTAGCATAATATTGGTTAGGTTAATGTATTTATAGAATTTTCAATTTTTGATACATAAATTAAATGTAACTATAACACTGGGCGTAATAACCGGGCATTCAGTTAATGTGCTGTTATTTAAACATTTTTTTTTTTTTGTTTGCATTAAGGTATTAATATAAAACAAAGAGCTCAAATTTAATATAATTTTAATTTTATTTATTATTCATGGTTAAAATTTAAAATGATTAAATTCATTATTATGATGTTTAAAAATGTATCATAGTCCTTTCACTATTTATTGATAAAATAAAACCAATTATATATACATATAAAGTACAAAGAAGGAGAAAATTGCTAATAACAAGAGTTGTAACTTCCCACTCCATATATTGCATTGCTTATCATTACTTATCATCTAATTTCACCTATGCATTTATTTACTGTTTTATGTAGACTATTTAAATAAATAATACGTGAATCTATATAATATTGTTTTTTGTTTTTAATAATATTTTACTTGTAAATGTAGCAGATTAATTATTATTTTTCCTCATTTGTGTCTGAAATTGTTTTTATTTAATTATTTTGTTTTAAAATATTTTAATCATCACTTATTAGACTAAAGGTCAAAAGGTAATTTGATATTCTTATTCTTATTCTAAAATGGAATTCCATTGTTCACAAATGCTACCATAACTGAATAGCAGCCAAACTACTAAGACCAAATAATTTATAATAGTTACAGTAATCATTCGGCTATAAATAGAGGTAAGGTGACTGATCTGATCTCATCTCTATTTGAATGAATGCATACATTTTCCTTAACACATGATTTCATTAATTTCTAAGTAGGTACTTAATTAAAAATCGTATTTAATTATACTCCTAATGTAATAAAATATTTTACTGTGTAATTTATGTATATATAGGTTCATTTAAAATAAGTTAATATTTTAATATTTTAATCAGCTAGAAATAATATTATAGTTAGATTTATATTAAATACAAATAATTAATTATAGTTTGTTATTTTAACAAATTTAATTGTGATTGTTTGACGAATAAAGATTAATTTAGAATATATATGAATTGTATGTAATTGAGTAAAATAAATAATTACTTCGTAGCTTATTGCTTATGATACTAATTAGTGTTTAACTACTCAAATATAAATAATTGTTATAAAACGAATTAAAGAATTTTGACATAATTTATATTCTATAAATATAAATATATGGCTTATTCTTGATTAAGCTCAATAAAATAATTTGTTATTTTATTTTTTGTTCATAGATTCAAAGCTTAAAGAACAAAAAACAATAAAGGATGGCAAGAAGTTATCTGACCGTGACTCAAAACAACTTTTGTTAAATAACACTGCGGTAAGAATTATTTATTTATTTATTTTTATTAATTATTACATTTTTATGATTTTTATGTGTATTTTAAACCAATTTAACATAAAATAAATATTTTTATATCATAATTTTATTTTAAATACTTAAATATTATGTACTCAATGTCTTTCATTTAATGAAATTTATGTGATTCTTACTATATGAAATGAAATTTAATATGTTTGTTAATTTAATACATTTTTTTATATTAATATATCTGTTTAAAAAATTGTAATAATTTAAAACTGTCATTTTTAAAAAAATTTTTTTTAGAATAATGAAAAGTTTTCTACAAGCACTTCATCAAAATATTCACACATAATAGAAAGTTCAGAAATGGAATGTAGAACAAGTATGAAAATCATAATAACAAAAAAAATTATTTTATAATTAAAAAATTTTTAATTTTTTAGATATGGAGAGCTCAAGTTTTTCGATAGAAGGAAAACTTTTGAATGAAACCAATTTATCGAGATCAGAAAATTTTGAAGAATTATTGGAGGATATTGAAGCAGAAGCAGAGATTTGTTCACCCACAAAATCTGTTTCGTCTAATGATATGAAACAAAAAAAAAAAAATTAGATACTTTGCATTACTAATGAATAATAAATTACAAATTATTAAATATTTTTTTATATTTTAGGAAAAAAATATTTTGGTGTACGAAGGCGTCCTGAAAAAAAAAGATCTTCAAAAAAATGTGATAGCAAAAAAAAGTTATTAGTTGTTAAATTAAATTCAGTTAATTTAAAGTAAGTGTATTAATAATATGTGTCAACTCCTTAAGTTAAATATTTAATGATTCTTTTTCTTTTTTTTTTTAGAAGAAAACATAGTCCAGTAACAGACAAATTGGTTTATTCAGATGATGCAGCTACACCAACTCCTGCAAAAAAATTAAAACCATCTTTTCCTATTTATAATACAACAGACAATTCATTCAATCAGAACTCTCCTTCTTTCCATCAGCTAGCTAACAATTCTTTAATACAAAAAAATAAGCTAATTTCAATGTTTCATTGTTAGATAGATATATCTATAAATTATCTTCTTTTTGTCTATAAGCACTTATACATTTTTGCTCCTTACTAAAATTAAATATAACAAATAATAAATTTTGATTAAATGTAATTTATTTACAATTTTAATTACATTATTTCAGTCAGAATGGATGCTTCCAATGAACAAGGTTTTAGATGTCCAAAACAAGAATGCCGAAAACTGTTTCGTAAAGAAAATCTATTAATGGTTAGAATCTTTAAATGAACTTATTTTGTTTCATTTCTTTTTTTGTGTACTGATAAAATATGACAAATTTTATATTATTTATTTAGATGCATATTAAACACTATCATTCCGAGTATACTGAATTACTCGTCTCCACACCAAATGTAACAGACCTTGCTACAGCAAGAATTGAGGGTGAAAATGCTGATGAACTATCTCCATCATATTATCTTCATCGAATATCTCAACTGGAAGCTAAAAGAAGTTGGGGAAATACACCTTATGACTCACCATCTCCGAGTACAATTTCTTCTTCTTTAAAATTGACTGAGTAAGTATTTAATTATTTTCCTAGTTAATTTGATGATAATAACTTATGAACCAAATAAAATAAAATATAATACAAATTATTAAATTAAATTTTTACAGACAAGAACCCGAAAGTAATACTTCTTACCAATCTGAGAGTTATAATACTTCTATCTTATCCAATGACAAACCTAACAGTATATCAATATATGATTCAAAGTAATAATTTTTTTACTAATTTGTTTAGTTTTTAAATTATTGATAAAAATAATATATTTTCTGTAATTTTTAGAGATTCTGGTTTTGACGGTATTGTAGAATCAATGACCTCAGTAACAGAGTCTTCATTGAAAGAATATAAGATAAAAGAAGCCATAAAAAATATAACATTAGTTGATGATTTTGAAAATGAAACAAGAGGTTAAAATAATGTTCAAGTTTCATCAAATTAAGTCAATATTTACATTATTGTGGTTTTAAATTGCAGATAGTTATGATATAACAAGTGTAGCCGGCTCAGACCGTCATTTTAAAATTAAAAAAAAAAAAACTGATATTGAATCTCTTCCCAAAGAAGAAGTAATCAATTGTTCATGTGCTTCAAATCAAGAAGATGGGTTAATGATACAAGTAATTATTATTTTATTTTGAGTTAATTAGCTCTACAATTTAAAGTGGTATATGTTTGAGGATGTAATTGTATTATTTCCTGTAATACAATTTTGTGCACATTATGCTGAATAATTTTAGTTTTTATTTTTTATACTATGCATACTATAGCATTATAGATGTTAGAATTCCAAACTAATAATTTTATATAAATACATCTATTGCCTTGTAGTAACAATTATCTTTATTTACATTTTTATTTTTTTTATTCTAACAAAAAAGTTAGAACCGTTTGGTACTGTTATTTTAGAGTTTTTGAGTTTCCTTAATATTCATTTAAATATATTATTAGTGCAATACAAAACTTATGATTGGTGACATAATTCATTGTTCAAAATATTTAAAATATTACTCTTATTTCAGTGTGACGTTTGTCTATGCTGGCAACATGGTCTATGTAATAAAATTGCTTCTGAAGATCAAGTACCGGACAATTATGTTTGTACTAGTTGTTTAAATCCTTCAAAAAAAAGACAATCAAAACAATATGATTATTTACAAGATTGGATCAAAGAAGGAAAAATAGCCAGGTAAGTTAGATTTATGATCAATTTTATGTATATAAAATATATATGCACACCATGTATGTTTATGAAATGGTTAGTGTTCTTCAGCATAAAGATGAACGACGAAGAAAAGATGAAAATATTCTCAAACAATCTCATCAACTTGTTGCTGAAGTGATTGAACATAGCAATTTTTTACATAGCTTATTAGTCAAAACTGCAATTTATGGGTATATTGTTTTTATACTTTTATATTTATAATATTTACATAAAATTGTTAATTATAGTTAGTTTTTTTTTTTTTATGTACAGGCAAACACCTGAGCATCCAAAGCTTTATTTATGGTCTGAACAAGGTTCAAAAATAAATGAAGAACCTCCCCAAGACAAGCTTGAAGAATGTAAATTTAGTTACTGTTTTTCTGTTTGAATTGAATTGAATTGACTTTTTTTTAATTATTTTAGTATTATCTGGTCCAGTACCTGAGAAACCTATTAATACAGCCGACTGTAGAAAAAACTTACTTGAGGAAATTGAAGATGGCTTTGATAATTTAGAAGCCAGAATAAATTTATTTGAAGCCAAAACTAATGGTACTTATTTATTATTAATTTTGGTTAATAATTATTCAAGGCACATTTAAATTTATTATGAACTATTTAGGACTTGAAGATCAAGTGAACGGTATTGTAGACAATGAAGTTTTGTCCAATACTATTACAATGTTGTTACGCGATTTAAACTCAATCAGACATTATATGTCAATCGAAAATCAAAACAAAGAACCAGACAGTGCTTAAAAATATATTATTTATTTTGATAATATTGGTTCATTGATTTAAGGATAGATATTTTAAAGATATAAAAGAAAACATTTTATAATACTATCCAATAATTAATTAATTTGTATTTTGGAGTTGTATTAACACAATTTCATAAGTTAAAATTGCTCCCGCAACCTATAAAGTAAAAGAAAAATTGTCATTAAAAATTAAAACATATTTGCTTTTATCTTTATTTAATTTTATCACTTACTCCTAAAAGAAAGTTCCTTGTAATTGAAAACATTTTTAGTCCAGTTAAAGCAACATAATCCGATGTGACTTCTTGTAAAAACCTTTGTGTCTTGAAAACAAATGTATTTATAGTGATTTTTATCAATACAATTTTTTAATATATTCAGACATTCAAGTGTAATTAATTGAAATACACTCCAGTTAATTGTATATTGTATATTTCAAATTGTTTGTAACTAATATTTAGATCTATTGGAGGTAATAAATGTTATATTTATTATACTTTTAGTTAAGTTTTTTTTGTTTTTTATTTTACTGTTATAAAGAATATGGTTATTTTATGCATTTATTTTACTACTTTATACACATAGCCCGATTTCTGTATTTCGCATCATATTTTTTTTTTTTTTTATATAGTGATGTAATTATAAATTTTTTGAGATAACTAGAAAATTTTTAAACAGGTAAATGCATTTGAATGAATACTTATAAAATTAAAAATGTATTAAGTATAAGTCTAACTACATACTTCTATACTATAACTGTGTGTTGGGCACATAAAGATTTCTGGAACAATTTTCTTGCTCTCGTCGTTGATCGCGGAAGCTTGCATAACGACTGCAGTTGTTCGAAATACCAAAAACAAAAACGAGTACATGTAGAACAATGTTCTAAAGTAGCTGTGCTTGATTGAACTACAGTAACAATAATAATAAAACAAATTGTATTTTTATTGAGGTCATATTTATTGATAAATGTGTTGCTATTCCATTTAAAAACCCTCACTCAATTTCCGTGATCAATTGTGCACAAATGAAATAAATGTTACTGCCTATCGACAACGCCACAATTACGTTTATGTGATCGTCGATTTTTTTCACCAAGTGAGTTAGGGACGTGTACGTCTCTCGGTATTCTCGCCACTGGGACATTGTCAGCATCTTAAAAAATAATAACATACCATTAAAACTACTTGGAAATTGCTTGGTGTCCTATGAGTGCGCAAACGCAAATGGTTCATATATTAAATTTTTACCACATTAAATGTTATTAACTGTAGTTAAAAAGGTAATTTTTCGAATATCAATAATATTAAAAATTATTAAAATAAATTATGCGATAACTGACATGCACAAACGTTTATTGCAAAATAATTCAATATCGTAGTAAACTAATGACCAAATGATTCTTAACATGTTATAACAACCATCCTAATGGTTCAAATCCTGAAAAACAAAATCAACAACTCCGAATCTGCTCATGTTAGGTACTTTTGAGCTCCATCCCGGATATTGTTCTAACTTAATTTTCGTAAATGCTATAAATCCTCATACAAAATAATTACTTGCAATATCTCGGTCGATCTGCCAACGTATGATTGTTAATGTTCCCTGTAAGTTACCAATATGTCACTGCAAAACGATCTAAAAATCTCAACCATTGGACAAATAGCTGTAAAATATTACTCACGCCTCCATTCTTAAACGGAACACCACTCTCATAGTTGAACTTCATACCAACAATCTTCAGGGAAATCCAGCCAGACGACTTAAACGTATTTGCCTTAGAGGTCTTCTCTACGTCTAACTTGATAATCACAACTAATTCCCCGGGAAAAAGAATTTTAGTTTTACTCAAGAATGCATGAACTTATTCGTGCATTTAAAATGATGAAAAAGTTTGTAAGACAACGTAATTGTATTATTATGCTATTTCTTAGTGTTATATCCACCTACCTGACCTCTGACTCTATGCATGGCTTTGGTTAGTTTCTTAAACTGAGCCGCCAAAGCTGAACTAACCAGCATGATGAAAAGATCAGTAAAATTCCAGAGAAATGTTGCTGTCAAGCTCAGCCACATGACCAGAAATCCTTTCATTGGATTGTAACTCTCGTAGTCGTCATACAGGTACCAATGCGTCTTCAGAGAGAATCGTTCTAAATACCCCGTCAACGTCGCCTGCATTAAGGTAAACGTAATAAAACATTGTATAAGTAATATTTTACATGAGTATATACAGGGCCGGTCTTAGGAGTGGGTGAGCAGGGCGCCTTCAGAGTTTAGATATTAATTTTTTAATAATAGTTTTTTGTAATTCAAATTATTTTTAGTAATTCGAATAAATACAATAATGTATAGCAAAAATTAATAGATATCTCGAGAAAAACTATAGCTGTTACAGACTAACGAAAATAGATGGCCGAATCAATTATGCGGGTAGGTACTCTACCTTCACGCGCACTACACTCGAAAGTATATTTAACGCTTTCGTCTTCGTGGAAATTATGTTAGATTGTATTAGACCAGTATAAAAAAAAATAACTAGGTATTATTAAGATAGTAGGTACTGTCGTAAATGAGTTAGTTTGACATGTACACGTACAATACTCACCGCAGTTGATTATCAGTTGTCCTACAATAATTTGTCCTAATACCTGGTTATGTTAGGTTAGGTTTACCTGGTGTCATCGAATAGTGAACATTTAATTTTCGTAAGTAATCATGTTTTATATTATAATATAATAATACTGCACTATAGAGCAGTGTTTCCCAACTGGTGTTCCGCGGAACTTAAGGGTTTCGTGAGAAATTTGGGAAAATATAAATTATTTAGCAATATTTTGATTTGAACTATGATTTGAACATAGAATTGGAATTGAAACATTTCCCGATTCGAGGTTCGTAGTTTGTAGCTTTTCGGCGTATACAAAGACTAAGGTTTCGAAATCAAGTAAATGCGGCTCCAGACTTACAAATCCAACTTTCATGAATAACTCCAGATTTAAAAACAGTTATGAAAAAACACTATGGAATGATTCCAATGTTCTCATTGAATCTATCTTCGAAGTAATGAGAGGCAAATATTGCATTTTGAGCTTTGATATGTAGGTACATTTATAATATTGTAATAATAGATAACAAACAAAATAAAATGTTAAAGCCGTCTTGTTTTTTTATATTAATGACACTCTTGTGCTGGAAGTGTCCGATAACCCACTCATTTAAGTGTACAATACATATGTCTGTATTAATATTATAGAAAAAATATTGGGGTTCCACAAAACGTTTAAGCTCCTGCAAAGGTTCCGCGGGTAAAAGAAGTTGGAAAACACTGCTATAGAATATAGAGTATTATGCATGAATTATGATGTTATACCAATTTAAATGTAACACTTTACACAATTACACTACAATATCAGAAGTATTTCTAATTCTTAAAATTATTAAGTATTATATCATTATAGTTCCTTATACAGTTATATTTCTCGAAAACGTATTTTATACATTAAATTAATTTTTAAATTTTAGACAATGGTACCGAAAAAACTTTCTGATGCTTAATATAGAAAACGTAAATTTCAAAAAGAATATGATTTGTAAAAACGCAAGGGTCTATGAATAAATTTATCCTACCTGATGTTGACGAAATTAAGCAACAAACCAACACCCTTCTACATCATACGAGTATCATATTAACGATAACAATCAAACAAATTTTATTACTAATGACGATACTTCATGTATAGGCATTGATGACGAAACTATAGAGTCTGAATATAAAAGTAATTCTTTATTAAGATTAAAAAATAATTGTGATGAAAATATTGAAGACAATCAGTTTACAAAGAATTGTCTTTCCGATCCTGCATTGTGGCCTAATTTTTTGAGTGCGAAATATCAAGAAATACTGATTTCTAATGGCCCAGTTCAAATAGAAAATATTCATTTTCCCTTGAATGAAGATAAATGTAATTTTTCCTTTCATTTATAGTTAGAAATTTAGATAATGGTCAAAAATTAACCAGGCAGTGTCTTATATATTCTTATAGTAAAGATAAAACATTTTGTTTTTGTTGTAAAATATTCGGAGGTTCTTCTTCACTTGCTAAATTAGGATCGAATGACTGAAAACATTTAAATAGTAAATTAAAAGAACACAAAAAAATCAACTAATCATTTTATTATGTATTCTAAGTAGAAATAATTTAAAAATAGGCTTTTAAAGAATAAATGTATTGATAGTCAAAACCAAACAATTATCAACAAGGAAGTACATCATTGAAGGTCCGTTTTAGAACGCTTAATAGCAATTACACTGTTTTTAGCAAAACAGAATTTAGCATTTCGGGGTTCGTTTGAAAAGCTGTTTTCACCAAACGCTGATAATTTACTAAAGCTTGTACAACTTTTGGGAAATTTCGGTGGAGTGATGTCTGAACACTTACGTCGAATATCTTCTAAGCAATGCCCTGATAATTACTGTTGCAAGCTAATCCAAAATTAACTAATAAACTTATTAGATATTACAGTTTTACAAAATATACAAAATCGCTTAAAGAAAAGTAAATATTTTTCAATTATCCTTGATTGCATTCCAGATTTAAGTCACTCAGAAAAAATGTCATTCACACTGAGATTTGTAGAAAAAGAAAATGGCAAGGTTTCATTAAAAGAGCATTTTATAGATTTCCGAACAGTTCATACTTCAACAGAAGAAGGACTTGTTGAAGTTTTGTTAAACACATTAAAAGAAAATAATATTAATATCGGTGATTGTCGTGGTCAAGGGTACGGCAACGGTGCCAATATGAAAGGGAAAAAATAAAGGAGTCCAAGCTAGAGTATTAAGAGTATAAATTCTCGAGCATTCTACGAGTATGTACCATGCGGATGCCACTCTCTTAATCTAGTTGTTTCAGACGCAGCATCTTCATCAAAAGACTCGATAACAATGTTTGGTGTCGTACAACGTATTGTATTAGTAATTAAATTTACTTACAAAAAAAAGCATAGTACAGTTTATACATGGGTACATTTAATGAGAAATGTGTGCCTGATGGGCGTTACAAATATTTTTAATTCTTGGACGAATAGTTGACAGACATACCCGCATTTCTTCCTCCACTGAATTTAGTTTTTCTCGGTTTTTATTTTTTATATTCGTAAGCGCTTAAAACCCTTGTTCACAAAGATATGAGGTTGAGAACGACACAAGAATAGTCAGTGCTTTTATAGATATATTTCTGGATATTCTTTAGAAACATACACCCAGAATTTATTGAGAGTGATCTTTTTGAATTTCAACTGCAATGTTCGATCATTTTTAATTGAACAGAGATTTTCTTCTTCAACAAGTTTTAAATCAACCAAGTCACTAATAGACACATTAAAAGGGTCCCGTACCCAGTTGTAATTTTTAATATTAATACTTGGAAAATATTTATTCATTTTTACTTCTAACAATGTGATAGACTCGACTATTAATGACAAAATGTTGTCATTCGCAACTAGTAAAGCAGTACGTGGAAACATAATTAAATTACCTTGATTAATTTTAGATTTCCATAAATTCAATTTTTCGATGAAAATCATAATTTTGTCCGACGATTTTAGTATATTTTCATCACGACCTTGCATACTTGAATTTAGTTTATTGAGATGCTCAAACAAATCAGTTAGGAAAGACAACTTTGTCCACCACTTTTCGTCTCCAAGAAAGTTGAATTCAGATTCTTCCATAGTTAAAAATACAAATAACTCCTCTCTCAAATTGTAAAATCGTGATAAAATATTCCCTCTTGAAAGCCATCTTACTGCACTGTATAAAATCAATCTTGAATAGTCTGCATCCATCTCGTCACAAATTTGTTCGAATAGTCTTGATTTTAGAGGTCGGCTCTTAATAAAATTTATAACTTTTACAACTTGATTATATTTTGTAAATCACTTACTAAAGATTTTGCAACTAGGGCCTCTCTATGAAGGAAGCAATGGGTAAAAATAATTTTTGAATTTTTTTTCTTGACTAAAGAAATGAAACCTTTTATTGAGCCAGTCATTGAAGGTGCACCATCAGTGCATATTCCAATACATTTGTTCCATGATAAATTTACTGATGATAAATGATCGTCCAAAACTTTAAAAACATCTTCACCTCTCGTTGTTTCGGGCAATGTTTTACAACAAAAAAAGTTTTCAATAATATCGTCATCAACTACCATGCGTACAAAAACTAAAAGCTGTGCTTTTCCACTTATATCTGTAGATTCGTCAACTTGCAGCGCAAACATAAGAGAATTACGTAACGTATTTAATACTTGCTGCTCAATATCTTCGGACATGTTGTTTATGCGCCTACTAATTGTATTATCAGATAAAGGAATTTTCAATATTTCTTGTTCAGCTTCTATTCCAAAAAATATTTTTACAATTTCACGGCAAGCGGGTAAAATTAACTGTTCACCTATTGTATGTGGTTTCATTGTTTTAGCTATAAGCTCTGCTACTACATAGCTCGCTTCTTGAGATTTATCAGAAATCTTTACAATTTTTGTCATACTTTTACTTTGCTTATTTTGTGAATTTAATAAACGTTGAAAATATGTTGTCGATCAAATGTGAATGCTTAGAATACAAATGACGTTTAAGTTTACTGGGCACCATTGCTTCATTTGACAATTTTTCACCACATACAACGCACCACGGACGAGGATTATCTGAATCACCAGTACAAGAAAATCCCATTTTTAAGTAATCTTCGTGATACTGACGAATATTACTATATTTTGTTTTTTTTTTTTGGTGGTTGACTTACTGACGCATTATTGTCAACATAACGAGTAACAAATTGATGATTATAATTATAAATATATGTAAATACATACCACAATATTTTTTTAAAATACTCGTATGCTATTACAATACAATTAGGAGACTAACTATTCTACGAATACGACGAAACGTCCAGGTCGGTTGCGACGGATATACTATATGGGGGTTTATAATATTACTTATACATTTTATAGTTCAATAGTTATCTGAACTTACTTATCTTAATCGTTTTATTCCTACAAGCTGTCGATTTATTAATATATACATATATATATAAAATCCATATCGATTGAAAGCATATATTTTCTTATATCGCAATTCAATGCTATCAGTAATTTATGGAAAAACCGCGGCACACCTATTGGATACTCGCGGCACACCAGTGTGCCGCGGCATCCAGTTTGAAAACCACTGCTATATTATATAAATATGTATGTACAAATATCGATAAGCGTTACAATTGCAGAGGAATTGCCGAATATATCGCGGAGTGTAATTCACGGTGTGTCGCGGATTGTACTCACAGACTGATTGAATGAGCGTCTGACCAACCGGTATATATATATATCAGCGTCGATTGTCTAGAACATTCTCGAAATTACCTTAACGAGATAATCATCGCATATTCTAGAACATGGGATTTCCCCTTATCCACTGACAATATTGTAAACAACTTGGACGATTCGCGGTGCGTTGTTTACGTCACCACAATATATTTAAACGAGCACTTATTCTCTTCTTGATACAGCTCTGGTTGTCATTGAAGACCGTTTTGAACAAATGGAATTTCACAAAAGTATTTGGGGATTTTAATATAAATTTGATAAGTTACCAGGAAAAACGGAGCTTCTTCCTCACTGTATGGATCTTCATCTAAAATTGTCAGAAGGCTAGCAATCAGATCTTAATGGTGTAAACCTCGCAAATGAATTAATACATCTTCGACAAATTTTACCAGTAGAATATAAGGCACCAAAAGAAGTCTTTCAGTATATACTGGATACTGACACAAAAGAAATTTTTTCAAATATATGGATCGCACTTAGGATTCTTTTGATAATTCCTGTTACGGTTGCATCTGGAGAACGTAGTTTTTCGAAACTTAAGCTAATTGAAACATATGTAAGAGCAACTATGGGTGATGAAAGATTGTTATCGCTTGCAATCTTATCTATTGAAAATGATATTGCTGAAAATCTATATTGGACAACATTGGTAAATGAATAATCAGAGATTAAAGTACGAAAAGTTCCACTAAATATATGAAGATTATTTGAATATAAACATACCTACCTATTAAATAATATTTACTTATTAATATTATTATAAAAATGACTTAACTTTAAATTTATTTCGATAATAAAAATTAATTAAAACAGTTTTTTATTCTGACTTCTGAGTAAAAAATACTTAACCTGAACTAGAGGGCGCATTAATTTTCCTTTTCCAGGGCGCATAGTTTCCTAAAACCGGCCCTGAGTATTTTCTATCGATTAGCCAACTCACATTACCTATGTACGAATTTAATGTATCATATATTGTATATTATACAATATATAATAATATACAATAATATTCAATAATATATACTATATAAATATAATAATATTCAGTGGCGCCGAACTATATTTCAAGAGGAGTGGTGGTATAATTTTTTATTAATGCTAAAGTTTAGTATAATATATAATATGCTTATGAACTTACTGTAAAATACAGAATATCATATAATTTTATGCCACTGGTAAAAATTATAAACATATAAAAAAAAAACCATAATTTATGGACACCTACCTCTTCAAATAAGAGTGGCGGCCGCCACCCTTGAAAGGAAGGATCGGCACCACTGATAATATATAACAATATTATATAATATAAAATAATATTATTATTGTACAAAATATTAAAGAAAATACAAGTATAGAATAGGTATATATAATGTAGATACACCGTACATCAGTTTGCAAGTTATATTATTTGTTACACACACGTATAATACTATGTATATAAAATACATTATTTATTGATATATGCAATAATTTGCTGTATAAAATACTATAAATATACATACAGATTGATCGATAAGTATAAAACTCGTATTGAAATCGTTGTCGATCAGCGACATAGCAGCTATGTCGTCCTTTCCACCGGGCCTCGTGTTCAACCAATTGTGTAGGCCGTGTTCAGCTATGTAAATGTAATAAGACAAAGGTATACTAAAAGCAGATAATATAATATAGAAATATGACTGATGAATGTTGTACACAACTATAATGTACTAACTGAACGCGAACACTAACAACACAACAGCCAGGGTGGTGGATTTCCATCCGAGTCTTGGGGCGCCGAATTTTCTCATGGACACCTCTACCGATCGCCAGTCTTGCATCAGCTTTGGCCATTTCTTGGCTAGTTTTATGAACATCCACATGGCACAACAAGCATTACCGTAAAATATACTTCCCGACGTAGCTTTCTTTATGCCACCTGCGAATAATTAGTGATGAAAAATCGTTTAAATCGTAATAACATAATAATAATATTATGATGGTAGGTATGTTTATAAGATGTAAATAGGTAAATATAATAGGTAATATAATAGGAATTACATTATTATATATTATATATATTTATAATATAATAGGTAAATAAGGTAAATGAAACTGGAAGTATACCATCACAGCAGGTATCAACCATATAGATACAGGCACGGATCCAGCCTACCATAACGGGAGGGGCGGATTATAAATAAGTATACTTCATGAGTCGGCTGAGGATGGTCGGCTGACGGTTGTCATCGATACATACATATATATATTTATTTATTTATAATAAACGGGATAAACCCTTTTGAAAATACAGTAGAAGTGAATGACATAATATTAAGTAATTATCAGTAGTAACATATAAACTATTTTCATACAATTAAAAGATGAATATAAATAGAATCAATAATAATAATAAAGAAAAATAGATTTATAATAAAAATACCAGTAAATCAAGAATAATATAATAATAACAATAATATAAAGATAATAACAAATGATAATCGAATAAAAAATTAATTTGCAATTGAATTTAAACCTAAATATAAATTACGATTAAAAATATTACGTGACATGAAAAAAAAGTCCACATAATTCACAATTTGATTTGCTAAATTTAATGATCTAGGAAAGAAACTATCAGAGCCATAGTTATATCTATTAAATGGTATATGAAATAAATTTACTTTTCTGAGACGGTGACTCGTTATATTGAACCCTATCATAGCAATTCAGGAGAGTGAATGTGACCATTTAACAAGTCATAAATAAACATTATATCAGCAATCTTTCTCCTTAATTCACATGATATAAACCCTAATTCTCTAATAAACATATTATATGAGTTTTTTGTTATACATGGAATATTTAATTTATAACTCAAAAACTTTGAAAATTTAAGTTGAACATTTTCAATAATATTAACGGAAAAGTTATAACTTGGTGACCAAACTGTTGACCCAAACTCGAGATGTGATCTAACAAGAGAAAAATAAAGAATTTTTAAGGCATTAATGTTCTTAAAGTTACTTGTATTTCGGTTTATAAAACCTAGCATCTTAAGAGCTTTTTTACTGCAATGATTTATGTGAGATGTGAAAGACAAGTTATTTTCGAAGATAATCCCTAAATCTTTAATTGATGTAACTCTAGTGACAGAAAAGTTATCCATTTTATAATCGTATATAATAGTATTATTTATATGAGAAAAAGAAATAATATTACATTTATTTATATTTAATGGTAAACCGTTTTGGTGACTCCACAAAATGAATTTATCCAAATTCGCTTGTAATCTTAAAGCATCTGCTGTAGAAGTAATTTTGGAAAATATTCTTGCATCATCAGCAAATAGAAGTATATCAACCGATTCATCAAAAATAGATGGTAAATCATTAATGAAAATTATGAATAATAGCGGACCTAAATGGGAACCTTGTGGTACGCCAGAACTTACTTGGAAAGAGTTTGAAATATAATGAGAAACTTTAACCGCTTGTGTACGACAGTTTAAATAGGACCATAACCAATTAAAAAAAATTCCATGGATGCCAAAAGAAGATAATTTATTAAGAAGTAAATTATGTTGAACCTTATCAAATGCTTTTTGAAAGTCGGTGTAGATTGAGTCTAGCTGTACACGATTGTTTAGAGCTTCAAGTATTTTGGACTGATAAAGTAGAATATTAGTGTTAATAGACATGTTTGGTCTGAAACCATGTTGATTTTTACAAATAACTTAAGAAGCAATTTTAGATAATTTTTTAGTGATTAAGGCTTCAAACATTTTAGGAATAATAGACATTTTTGAAATAGGTCTGTAATTAGTAACATTATGTATGTCCCCAGTTTTATGAATTGGAGTGACAAATGATTTTTTCCATATATCCGGGAAATAACCTAAGCTTAAAGATTTATTAAAAATAAAATGAAGAGGCTTCAACAATACAGAACTACAGTTTCTTAAAAAAATTGATGGTATACCATCAGGTCCAGTCCCTGAAAATAAATCTAAAGAATTTAAATAATCAAAAATGTCACAAGTATCAATAGACCATGAGCTTAAGTTAATATGATTATTATTAGTATTAGTAGGAATATTGGGTAATGAAAAATTATTATTAGAATTAATAGTGCTATTAACATAGACACTAGAAAAGTAATCAGCAAATAGATTAACCGTTTCAGAAAGATTTTTAGATGCTTTACTATTATATTTCATACAGTCAGGAATATTGTTTTTCGATTCCTTGAGAGAATTTATATAATTCCAAAATGGTTTAATATTTAATGAAATACTATTTTCAATATCTGCAATGTATCGAGTGTGACAATTTAAATTTAATAATTTTACTTTTTTCCTAAGCTCAGAAAATTTAATATAGTTTTCAGGAGAAGGAAAAAGTTTATACTTTTTATGGGCAGCTTTCTTTTCTATTATTAGGTTTCGGAGTTCTGCATTTGACCAAACAATGGAGTAATTATTATAGATTTTAATTTTCGGTACAAACAGATTGAATGAGTGGTAAATAATTTCGTGAAATTTATTAATTATAGCATCTAGAGACAAATTATTATCAAGATTCAGATCAAAATCAATATTAGAAAGAAATTGCGTAATTTCATTAAATTTACATTTCTTAAAATTAAAAATATAAGGAGACTCTAAATGCTCACTAAACAATGATTTTTCAAATTTAATTAGAAATTCAATTGGAGGATGATATTTATCAATTGAAGGAATAAGTGTATCAGACAAGTAAATAGAAGTGAGTTCGGCTTGATCACTAAGCATTATACAATCGAGGGTTCGACCAATACAGTTTATTATGCTATTACATTGTTTTAACTTTAAAAAGTTAATATAAGTATTATATAAGATATTACCAGACCTATGATTTTGAGAGTTAGGATCAACTGACCAGTCGAAAGTGTTTAAGTTAAAATCACCAGTTATAACAAAATTGTATTCAGGGAATTTAAAATAAATAGACTCGACTGTATTACAATGATTAGAATAAACATCAGAGGATGTACCTGGCGGAATATAAACACAGCCTAAAATCATTTTTATATTATTAAATGTAATTTTTAAATATATTTGCTCAATTTCAGCAACTATGGGAACAGTTAATAATTCACAGCTTATTTTTTTTTTATGGCAATTAATACACCCCCACCCCTAGTTTTTCTAAAACTTAAATTACGATCATTTCTATATATATTATAATTAATAAAACCAAGTTCAACATCAAAAACATTTGTGTTCAACCAAGTTTCACTTAGACAAATAAAATCATAATTAACATTTGATAAAGCGTTACGTAAAAATGGGATTTTGGTTAATAAACCGCGTACATTTTGGTAAAACATATTTACTATAAAAAATTTGTGTTACGATGTTTAAGACGATCATTTCTGGAAACTATCTTTGGAGTGCCTCTTACATATTTGATTATTAAATCAGTTTCTTCACTATCCAATCTACGAGTCTCAAGTTCTTCGCGTAAGTTCTTCATATAATTTCTCTGGTAAAGTGTACGATCTGAACTGATACTATAAGTGGAAGGTGGATTTTGAGATAATAGTTTTTTCTTTAATTTCAGTATCTCAAACGCATCATTAGGTGAGTTAAAAATTGCTTTAATTGGTCGAGTTTTATTCTGTCCGCGAATGCCCAAGCGTATTAATTTTGTAGGTCTAATAATGCTATCACCAATATTAATTGAATCGATAATATTATTAACAATATTAGAATCATGAGACATTCTATCATTAATGTTATCAGAGTTAGACTCTGGAATATTGTAAAATAATAGATTAGATGCACGAATATTTCGTTCGGCCACCTCATTAATAATCTCTTCGGAGCATTGTAATTCATTTTTATTATCATTATTTTTAAGTTCTTAAGTTCGTTAACTTCAACTAGCAAACGATTTATTAAAGCTTTCAACTCAGGAATATCACGCAACCCTTTGTTGCAAGATTCACAGAAAAATTTTAAATTACGATTTTTTAGAGATAGACATTTGATTTCGCTCGCTGATAGTCCCGAACACTGCGTGAAAAATTAAACTGCAGCCATCACAATTAATAGGTAAATCAAGATCAGCAAATGCATGAGTGCAAATGTGGCAATTTTGAACTTTAGTTGACATAATATTAAGCAGTCGAAAACGAAAAGCCAATTAACATATTATAATAATAATAATAATAATATACAAATAATGATAATAAACGTATAATTACCGATAAACAAATCAGAAAGAGAACACGCACAACCTTACTGTATGACTGCACATATACAACTGATATATATATATATATATATATATATAATATAGTAATATAAGCATAATAAGTAATCAGTATAGATAATTCACGATCAATTTATAATAATAACTAGGGTTCGGGACTTATTGTACAACAATTTTAGGAAATATGCATATAAATATGTACTTAAAATAACCGAAATATGCAACTAAATATTTTTTTAATGTCAGTTCAAAATTTTGATTTATTCATTTAAATTTAGACACCTTTTTTAATTAGTATTTTTGACAACAATAACACTACATATATTTTATTACTGTGTATCTCCGATTTCATTTTCTTCATCTTTTATAATGAAAAAAAAACTGAATACTTATTTTTCTTTAACATTCTCTGAACGATTTACGATAAACGATAGTAAACGTAGGAACAAGGTATTTCCCTTGTTGTTCTGCCCTGACTCGTTCTATGATTACGTATATTGACCAATGCATGAAAATAAAAAAAAAAATAATGTTGTCCTTTAAAATAAATTTACTTAACATCAAACAAAAAACTTCGTAAATATGTTATAAATGATAATTAAATTGCCAAAATTTATCAAATATGAATTTTGTTCAGAAAACGGTGAATATGCGAAAATATGCCATTCAAATTTTTGTATTTCAGTCCGTTATGACTTAAAACAAATTTATATCTTACTTAGACTTCTGCAATCATTATTAAATAATATGCAAATGCATGAAGTCCCGAATCCTAATAATAACTGTTAAATACTACGAGATATTTACGAAGAAACGTAAAATAGTAAGTTAATTCGAATTTTTATATTGTTATAGCTGTTTAAAATAATATCTGGTGTATATAAGAAATTTCGTATTTAATTTAAGTCTAGTTAAGTTCAGCCCAATTTCTTGTGTTTATAAATTGTACAATACAGTTGAAAAATATTAATCATTACGTGCCTTTTGCCGTAAGGTTGTCTTGATTCAAGTTTCTTATAGTGTAGTCCAACGAGAATATCTCTATAGACGCGAAACCGCAGAGCAGAAGGACTGAGTAAATGGCCACCGGAGAATACCAGTGGAATTTCAGTTTGTAAACGTCTCGTTGATAAATGCCGCTGACCGGAAAAATTCCAAAAATCGAAGCAAACGTTAACACGTGACGAATGTAGTAGTGAACTCCGGTTCTATAAAATGATAATATAGAAAAAAAAAATATCAACAAAAAGTACAGCCTAAAATATAGTAGTATTGATTTGAAAATAAAAATAAAATCGTACATTTAAATGAAAGCATAATCAAGTACCTAATAAAAACTAAATATTGTAATTGGACGTTTACGTAAAATTAATCATAATAATACACAGTCATCATGTTTTTTGCCTTTTCGAAAGTATAAATAATTCGAATTAACTATAAGTATTCTATAAGGCCTGTCACCTGTAAATCCTGTTTAATAAACTAATAATTGTAAATCTAAAAAAATATATTAATTTCATACAAAAAAATGAGTTCAATATATATGAATGATTATTGTCAAAGAACCTATCCTATAGTAGTTAATAGGGTGTAATGAAGTATTTAGCTATATCAAATATATTAATATTATGATGATGAATACTAAAACATTTGATTTTAAAGATTGGACATTTATATAACATATTATTATGCATTTATACTTCTGGACTACCCATATAATATTATACAATATACACGTTGGTTCTACTAAGTATAATTAGTTAATTCTCATGAAGTTATTTTTTACTGCTAATTATATTATTTTAATAAATATTCTTAGGTCAATAATCAAGCCACTATAGTTAAATTTCCAGAATAAATGCCCCAAAAAAACGGCAATACACAATGTCTTGAAACATTATCATCTAAATCTAAAACATAGGTAGGATAAAAACTAATTTTCTCTTAGGAAATCCAATTTCATACTAACTTGTTTAAATAATCGTTGAATTCTTTTGCGTCGTAATCTCTTCGTTTGACCTCACTATTCGGACTAACGGAATTATGTTTGATTTTCCTGAAATCATGTACAGCTGACCTAATCATGATCCTCGGTCGAAATTTCATTTTAATCCACATAAATAATTGTTGTTACTCGCGTTTTATGGTTGAACATTTTACGTTAATGTTCATGAATGCACTTACCAACAGGCTACTCTCGAGTGCATGTCATCAAGGTACATAAGATAATAGTACGACGCGACGTAATATAATAATAATAATAATAATAATAATAATAATAATTACTAGATTTTTATCGGATTTTTATTTATTAAACTTTTTTTTAATGTTTACGAAATGTTATTTTATGAGTCTATTGAATTGGATATCGTTTAAATGTCATAGTCGCAAAGGAGTTATAATAATTATTGGGTACCTATACTCTGTAATTTTAGGCGAACACGCACTAAAATAAACATCACATGCATTATTTAATGGGAAATCAATAAATATTTGATAAAAAGCATAGACCGCAGTATAATTTTTTTGACATATTTTTTAGTTATTTTGAAAATCGTTTTGTTTGAGCAATAAAATATAATTAATAAATACTGATGCTACAAAATGCATAAATAAAAAATATATTAAACCGTTTATACTGTGAAAACACCAAAAATGATTCATAAAATAATTTGAAGTGTAAATTATATAAGAATATAAAATATTAACAGAAATATTTTACGTTTTTAAAAAATGTTGCATAAATAACTAGGTTTATTATATTGAAATCGTTTATTTTAAAATTATTTCAAGATTAATTTAATAATAAATCTTTCGTATATAACTAGAGTTCGGCAACATTTTTTTTAGATAATTATTTGATTTAATTTGTATTAGAATAATTTTTTTACAATTGTTCGAATAATATTTAAACATAACATTGAGTTAGGTACGTCGCCGTAGAACCCGTAAATCATCATTACACCTCTTATCTATATTTTTTAACGGTCTCTTAAGTGGTAACAAGAGAATCGTGGATTTAATTTTAAATGTTATATAGAAATAACTCACATACATAGAAATAATTTACAAAAAGATAAATACTAGGTTTGGTTAACAAATATTTAATTGAGAGCGCATATACATATTTTAATTTGGTTGTCGAGAAAAGCCATCAGGCATAAAAAACTGATCAGAGAAACAAAAAAATATAAATCAAAACAATAGAACACAATAGGAATATAAGTATAACAAAAAAAGTAACTAGTTAGTGTATATATATATATAAAAAAAAAAATAAATAAATAATAGTGATGTACCGGCCAAAATACTTATGTACCTATCTAGTATATACGTTATTACTTATAAATAGTATATTACCCAGGCACACATTTGTGCCTCGTTCGTGTAGGTCCGGCATCAGGACATCCTCCCACCATGTTTTATAGTGTCCTACTCAGTCCTGGGTTAGGTGGACACATTCCTAAAATTAATAATGAATAGGGCTTGGATTTTAAAGTATAATAAATAATAAAAAAGCAAAAATGAAGCAAATTTATTTTTAAAAAAAGCAAAAAAAAAAAAGCATGACCAAAAATGAACATGAATTAGTTATAAAAATGAATAAAATTAATTAATTAAATTAAAAAAATAATTAACTACCATGGATTTTGTAAGATTTGTAGTAGTGTCACTATTATCTGACAGAATATTTTTATACATAGAAAACGAATACTTTATATCCACAAAAATTATCAGTACACACTTTATGCAAGAGGTTTCGTTTAAATCCAACCTAATAATTTAATTTCGTTTGTATTACGCAACCAGTATATAATTAATGTCTAGTGATTGTTTCCAGCCTTTGTTTTTCAAAAGAACACAATTTAGTTTACCTGAAATTGCAGTTGCAATATCTCCATTAGCTTCATTTAACTCCCTTTCTGCATCTAAGGCAATATTTATACATTTTGTCAATGATCTAACTGTCAACCGATATCTATACATTTAATTTTAATACATTCAACAATTAAGCCGAAAACATTAATAATGCACTATAATTATATTAGCACTATAAAAATACCTATAACATCCAGTAGTACTACAATGTACAATATTATAAATTCTACAACCGAAAAATCTCTTTAACAACACTTATTATCAAAAAAAAAAAATATTTTTTTTTAAGAAATGAATACATTACAGATTATATATATATATATATATATATATATATATAATATGGTATATATTTAAAATGAAAAAAAATTAAAATATATTTGACAAATTGAAAAAACACATCTTGTATATTATCTAATTTGCTTTTGTTTAGCAATTGTGCGGAAATTTCAATTATATTACTTCGTATACCGATATCGGACATTAAATCCATTGATTGCATTGATCGCATCCCTTCAATCACGTACGGTTTTTTTCGCTTGGCCAGATTCGATAATAATGTTTTTAGACGTTCTCCAGTGTAAGCTGTTAACGGTCCGTGCGTGTCGCTTGTCATATTAGATAAATTTTTACATCTTAAAAACAAGCAACTGCAACATAAATACACTATAACATATTGCCAATCCGAAAACGTTTTCGGGTCGAATATAGCTTGACTCGTGATATAAAAATACATAAATTTAACATAGTTGCTTATGAATAATAGTGGATTGAAATTCATATAGTATAATTCTGAAATAAATATAATATTACAATTGGGTTTTTTATCGTAATAGTTTAACAAATGAAAGATAAATGTACCAAGAGTATGATGAATTTTGCGCCTTGATACGAAAAATAAACAACGATATTTCTGTACACCTGTTAACAATTGACGATGTAATCGGACTAACAAATCGTTTATCCGATATAGTTGTATCGGGCACCAAAGGTCATATGGAGTCATTGGACTTGTTTAGAAAATCATTGAACAACATTTCTAATCGGACGCTATACAAACAACTGGAACCGTCACGTAAACAGATGATATGATATATTACATCGGGTCAACAATTGCGATCAACTGGACGCGAACGGTTCATAATTTTGTACAGCGAAAGTGAATTTAAATCGTCTTTTGTCACAATATACTTAAACACTAAACTGTTTGCAAACATTAAACCATTTTACGCATCGTTTACATTAATGTTCAACGAAGCGTCTACTGTGGAATGCTTAAAAGATTTGAAATCGCTTTTGTAATTTGATAAATAATAAAAAAAAATGTACATTAATGTTTTATTTATTCTATTTTTATTAAAAATACATTGTATAAGAATATTTTTGCTGTCGTTGCTGTTGATAGTACAAATGTAATGGGTCTACATCCGTTTGTTCGAAATAACGATTAGACGTAGTTTCAAAAATAAGCTCACTGCTGTGTGTTCAATTTATGCGCAACGGTATGCACTATTGCAGATAATGAAAACAAGTGTTGTTTTAAAGAATGCAAGTCAGGTCGAATCTCATTATCTATTGGTCTAGCTCGAATGAAACGATCGCCGTCATCAAAGTAAATCCATATTCCATACAGGAGGTTGTTAATTTTTCGCCAGTTGTTACAAATCGCTTCGGACAATAATAAAATACAATAACATGGAAATTTGAAGTTAAAATTTTAACATCCATTAGTCGGCGCTATTAACGTACAATTATCTTCGATAAAACGTAATTTAACGCGTTTAAATCAAGAAACGTATACGATTTTCGATATGGAAAACAGAGTATAAAATATATGATCTACCGATTGACACGAACGATCCGGTTTACGTGTACGTGAAAGTATATAACTGTGGAAATGCTGGAGAATCAAAAAAAATCAATCATTACACAATCGGACCCGTTTCCCATGTGTCGGAATACAAATCAATTATACAAAAAGATCCGAATATAAAACAAACCAACAATCCCGTATTCTATAAAGATGAAAAAAAATGTATACAATGTTGGAGCCCAAATGAAAATAAATATGATACCGTCTCAACGAGAAGCTTTTGCTGCGTATTTACACAAAGGACTACAATAAATCAACATACCGCTTAATTTTCAAAAAAAAAAAAAAATAAACCGAATTCTGATGAGTAATATTTTATTTATATAATAAAAAAATATATTTAATTAATTAAATTGGTAACGAGAAGAAAACCATTATTAAAATAGGTACACTTATGGCAATAGCGTTCAGTATGAAAAATAGTGTTATTGGCTTTATATAGGTATATTCGTCCGAACATACGGCGTTGACGTGTCCGGTTATGATTAGTAATAATATGACTTCAAAATTTTTTTATTTTTTTTTTTGGTCCGTTACAAAAAAAAATCATGATCGAATATGAAAAAGAAAGTGGCCAAATATGATAGAATTATTCTTGTGCAACGTGCAATGTTTATAAAATGGAAACAACCTACGATTGTCGCACGCTACTTATGCGATTCTACATTTGAGGTTGGCGACAATGATAATATAGTCAAATTTAAAATTCTATCAGACGATACAAGCCGATGTAAAGAAAATAATATATACGAAATATCTTCAAAATTAAAAATTTTACGTATGGTAATGATCGTTTGTTTTGTAGTACTTTTAAAGTGTATCAATTATTTGTAAATAGTATGAAACAAATAGAATAATTATTTTATTTAGTTTATATAATTTATAGAATAATATATTATGTATAATTATATATATAAGAATAATAGTTTATATATGTTATTTAAACAGTTCGATAATGAAAAAATGTTTATGACGAAAGTGTGTTTAGGCGGTTTGATATTTCAAAATGTTCCAAATGCTGTAATATATGTTTCCAATTCTGTTGATAAATTTCTATTAAACCGTTTGGGTTTTAAAACAACCAATGTATGTGCTGATAGTGAATTATCATTGAACCCGATAAACCGTTGTTCGAAAATTAATATATATTCTCTGGTAAAGCGACACGCCGACAATAATTGTACATATAGTAATAGTTTAGTGTACGTTTTTCGTAATAATATAACAAATAGTCAACACGAGTTGAAAATAATAGACATGTTAAAACCCAGTACTGATATAATATACGATATAAATGAAAACATGACTGCGAAGGAAATGGCTCTTTTAATAAAAAGCCAATACAACCATTTAGTTCGTATTCCAGGTTTCAAATTTATTATTAATAAAATAAAATTTTTTTTATTATTATAGTATAATAAACTTACTATTTAAACCTAGTATAAAAATCTCACAGCGGGAATAACTGAAAAAACAATAAAAAAGCAAAAATATCATTTATACAAAAAAAAGGCAAAAAAGCTAAAATAAATTGATTTGGAAACAGAAAGACGTGAAACAAATTTATATTTAAAAATTAGAGTTCTATTCATATATAAAAAAGAAGCATTTGCTTTAAAATCCGAGCCCTAAAAATGAATAATAATAAATAATATGGACACATCAGTAGGAAAATGTGTGTCACCATCGACGGCTGAATACCGAAACCCTGTCCATATGACGTAAACCATTTTATAAAAGAAATAAAAAAAATATATAACAATATGATAATAACTTATCTATAACCTTATTCTAGGGAATTGGGAGGTCTACCTGGCTTATATATTTGAATAATAACAATAATCAACTAATTAGACATGTAAATGGTTGTACTATGACGGCAGCAGAGAGACATCATGTTGGAGTTTACCATTTTGCAGAAGCAATTGTTATACTATTACATAATATGATGCTATGTTCCAAATTTAAATTAATTGAAAGTAATATTTTTCTAGTGATTTTCTTATAAAATTACCAAAATTAATTATGTTATGTTGTTTTGCTACTTAATTCATGTTAAGATAAATAATGATTTTTGTATAATCTTAAAATCATATATAAACTAAATTTATCACAATATAGGTACTTTTTTTTTATTTTTTTTTAAATTACCTATTACAGTATTTTCCAAATTTTAAATTAAAATGTACTAATTAATATAACATCTCCGACTTAAATATGTTAATACGGCATAAACAATCTCCATTATTTAAAATCATTTCCAATTATTAAAATTGTAGATTAAAACTAAAAAATAAAAATAGTCTTTAAACAAAATTATTTTTATTTTTTAAATATACTTAATAATGCATGTATAAATATGAACACATGATCGCATATCAAAGGATGATAGTATAAACCGGTGACAAAAACATAATAACAATATCTTACTCTAAATTAACAGATTCATATAAGTTATGAGTAAATGAATTAGTTTTAATTATATACTATAAAATATTGTAAAAAACAAATGAAAACAAATTATATAAACAATTTCTATTAATATTGATAATTTGAAATTTCTTATTAAATAAACTATTGAATAATTACATAAAATATTCTTAAAAGTAAAATACATTAACCTAATATTATAGATACAAATTTTATACATGAAATTGAAAATCTAAACATTACGCTAATTCATATTTTATGTAATAAAATAAATGAACAATTTAAAGTCCTAAAAGGTATTGTAAAAATTAATTGCAATAGAAAGTTGCAATAATGTGAACAGTTTAGTGTTTTTATAACTATTAATTTCAAAGCCATTCCCCATCAGTTTTAGATTTTTATTTTACAAACTTTCAGTTCTACCAAGAGCGCAAATTGAATGATACAAAATAAACAATTATAATTTTTTATTCTAGTATTGCTTATCATTTTTTTGCAAGTTATAATAACTGTACTCAATTTATTACGCTCTTGAGTAACATTTTACATAATAATATTAATAACATTTTATATAAATATTGAAGCAAAAAAAGAGAAAACTTGATTACTTCATTTAAAATCTGAAAAATGAGATAACAAAATGTATGAAAATTAAGCAGCTTAAATTATTTGTATGATATTTTTAAATGTATTTTATAAAATTGGTCATAAGTTTTTTTTCCTAATATTTTAAGTTAAAAAATTTAACTTTGGAAGATGTTATAATAACAATTAAAAAATGGGTGTATAATGATACTGATAACTTAAATACTTTTGTATGTACATACAAATATATAAATATATATTTGTAAATATGCATGGTATATAAATTTTTACTGTTACGTGTTATTATATAATTTATTTCATTAGAAATAAATTGACTTATATGCAACAAAACAAATATACCATAAATAATGTAGCTACCATACTAGGACCTAGGATTTTGTTGTTCTCTTGTAAATCGGCTTGCCGATTTTCTGCATAGATCTTTAGTCACATAATATATTGTCTTAAAAAATGTACATACACGCACAATCACAGATTTAGTGGACTGCATATATCACATACGCGATGCTCGTTGTTGCAATTCCTTCAAAAAAAGTAAATATAATTTTTTAATTATTATAAATTATGTTATTAATTCATAATTAAAAAATTAGAGAATTTGATAAAATAGTACTGATTTTTTAAATTAATACAATTTAAATAAAAGCCATTCATTATGATTTTTTTTTTTTTTATAAACTCAATAACTCCAGAAAGAGCAGTTAAGTACTTTTTTAAATTATTAATATATAATAGATTTTAATTACATGATAAATAACCTGAGCTTGGATTTTATAACATTAAAAAGTAGTGAAATATGCGCTATAATATTCCATAAAAACATTAAAATAGCAAATAAAAGTATAGTAATAAATGATAATAATTTATAAACATAACAAAACGATATATATAACTGATATAGAAATACATACTCGTATGACAGGTCGACAGTATATTCTACAACTATAATTAAACCTAAATATATATAATGTAATATCTATACATATGATAATATAATGAGAAGTTATAAATTAATAATATTCAATATAGTCAAGCTACTTAAAAATAGATTATATTATCACTAATATAATATTATTTAATATATTAATATGAAACAAAAAAGTGGAGATTTTTTTTATATATTCACATAAATGAAAATTTTCATTCAATATAAATAAAATTTAAGATAAATACAAAATAAATTGTAATCTTATGTATATTAGCAAAATATAACACCAAAACTTCAAAAATATCACTAAAAATCTAAAATGCTTCAAATATACAATAAATAGCTATATAAAGTTTCATATTTAGAGTCTCATGTGCATAAAACAAATTTATAGCTCATTTTGATATTTTTATCTGTATCCTATAATAATTAGCGAATGCTATAAAATCCGAGCCCTGTAAATTACCTTTGCTTTATCTGTTGATTCTGTTTTTGGAGAGTCAGACACTCCTTCTTTTCTAGAAACTACACATAAGAATTCAGCTTGATCGTAATTCCCATAGTTGTATTTGGATCCAATGTTTACCAACTAAATGCAAATAGTTAGAATATAAAGTTTTAAAATTATATTATATATTACTTGTTCAAATTTCCATTCATCGGACATGGTTGATATCATCCAAGTAAGTTCATCTTCATGACATTGTAATACTCTATAAGTATGTTTTTTCACTTGATCAGAACAAAGTTTTTTATCTCTCTGTAATATCTTTTCTTTTAATATGTTAATTAATTCGGTAATATTATAGAATTCGGCTTCTTCTAACACACCTGAAAAAACATTAGTTTATTAATAGTGATAGTTTAAGGAATAAAACCGACTAATTTACCTTCTTCAGCAAGATTTTTATTTAAAACTAACTTTCCATGACGAAGGTAATTTAAAATAGGACTAAAGTAAGTTGGATCACGGTCAATCATGTATGCACCATTTTCATCCTGGAAATATTTATTTATTTAAAAAAATACTTACTAAAAATGTAGTTTAGAGAAATTATTCAGCTACCTATATGCTTAGCAAAATACATAAATAAAAAAAACTATGCAGAATATAATTTATATTTTTTAAATATATTTTAATTTTACCTATAATGCTAAGTTGTAAATAATTAAATTTAATTTACAAGGAACAAACCCATATTTCTGTCTTAAGTATAAAGTTAAAATTTGTAGAGCAAATAAAATCTAAAAAGATACATAATCTTCCAATAACATTGTTAGATGTTTATGAACCTAGCTAACCAATTATGGCCAGATACAATCTAAGCACTTACATTATATTTAGATGGTTGAAATCTTATTTTGTTATTTATTATTGACCAACTAACCATGTCTGAAATGAGATCGGATTCCTCTGAACACAATCTGCATAAAAATGAATTGGGATCGCGACACAATGTTGTCTTAGTGGTCAAAAAACAAGTGCCTCCCACATTCAATTTGACCCACTGCGCAGTGTTGCTCAACGATTTGTTGAGTTGCATCCGCGAACCTTTTCCCTTGTCCATATCTTCGTTGACACTCATGATTGTGTTCAAGACCACCGACAACGCGAACCGCTGTTGAAGCGAAACAACGAGAAAAGTTTAAGAGAATTTAAACGAAAGTTGGCGTTAACCGTCTGATTAAAGGAACTCATAAACAATGAACGTATGTATTATAAAATTGTTATTGAACGAACACTAATGTCTCCAACATATTTTATCGATAACATTAAGTGATAACCGCAGTGGAAATTAACCATCGTCTATCTTGCGGTCCACGGTCGTAAAAGATATCGTGGTCCATTTTATACAACCACTGATAACGGAGGCGCGGGAAGACGACAGTACACCCTGGAGTATTTATTACACTAACTCCACAGACGTATAATATATCTTTATATAATAAAAATATTATTATATTATACGTCTATGACAGACTTTTTAATACGTACGGTGTAGTGACAATTGTAAAATCGGTTTGAAGCGATAACTTGATAAGTAATTTTTCTGTAGTCAAAAATTTCATATTAGTCTTTTTCGTTTCTTCCAAAGGTTTCATATACTATATAACTGTAAAATATATTTTATGACTTATAGTAGTCGATTCCAATGAGTGATTTATAGTTTTGTATTGAATGCATGATGGGCCAATGAAAAACAAAATTTAAACATACAAGTTTTCTACTTGTAACTATTTTGCTAGTTTTTCCGTTTCACGCCGGATGAAAACATAAGTAACACGTTGTACATCAGCAGTAAAACTATTTAATGTGACTGGCATCAAGCAAAATATTTCAAGCGTTACATAGTCAACATTTAACGATGGTGCAGTGTTCTTATTTATACTTACGACTTGAAAATAAAATGTATGGAAATCAACAGGATTTCAATTTTAAAAGAATTGTTTTTATCTGTGACTTGTATGAATGTAATCTGATTATTCAAGGTTAGTCTACATCATAACCTCAGAACAATAACGGAAATAAATTTAATTTTAAAATCATGATAAAAAACGGTTCTTGTTAATGTTGGTAGATGGCGTTTTTCAACCTTATTCGGTATGGTGTATTATAACCTTTAATTGTAGTGTTTTAATTTGGACATTATATATTTTCGTCTTCAATTTTCTTATACATTTATGACATAATTTATAATTATTCAATAATTTTAAAATTTTCAAGTTAAAGGAAATTAAGTCATTCAACAAATTTATTCATTTAAGAAAGTAAGTCTACTGTTATACATTTGAATTTTTATAAAACGTATATTTTAAGTTAACTTTTGATGAAACTTTAATAATGTTAGTACCTATAATTAAATCTTTATTTTTCGTAATTCGTAAATCTTATGTTTTTAACGGAAAAGATTTAAAATTTTAATAGTTTTAAGCATTTTTAATATAAATTATATTTGAATGTTTTCTAGAAATGTTTGTTATTTTTTTTTTCTTCGCCTTTTCCCCAACTTATTGAGGTTGGTCACCCTTTTCTTAAACTTCCACTCGTCTCGATTTTTTACTTATAAAAATTTGTTATTATACAGTATAAATAATTAATTATGATTATGTGATTAAAATGAAATAAAAATTACTTAAATGTATACATGGAATTTTAGAAACTATTGTATCTATAGGCAGACATTGAGCGGGAAGGAGCGTTTAGCTATCCAAATATTTCAATTGACCTTCTAAAATTGATATTTTGTTCATTGATATAAGATGTTATGAAAGTTTTGCCAGAAAACCAAACAACATTTCCTAATTTGTAAAAAACTATTTACAATTGCATTAATGATATCAATCATTTCGGCTATATGCGAAAGAAGTTTTAGTGCAATAAAAAAAAAATAAAACATGGTAAAGGACATTGGTACTTCAGGATAAATTCAGCAATTTTTCTATACTGTATATTAAAAAAAGATATGTCCATAAATATTAATAGGAATGATATTTTATGTATCTTTGCTGATAAAACAGATATATGTGTTATTAAAATATAATAAAATATTAATTATTTTTAAATACCTATACATTATTTTGTGTGTTTTTATTATAACTTAAATATTTTCATATTATTATTAGTAATATTTTATACTTGTGTATAGGAAGGGGATGTAGAGTGAAACCAATGCTGGTGGGTCACTTTACATTGAATTATAGCTCCCTAAAAATGTAATCAAATATCTGCCTATAAACTAATTGGTAATATAATTTAATATTTTTTTGATGATTACAGAAACAGAACAAGTTTAATAAATAAAAAAATTAGTGAACAGTTAAAAAAAAAAACTTAATTTATAGATAAATAATTATAATAATTATTTATAAATAACAAAAAAGCTTAAAAAAATAATATTTATTTTTTAATCATTCAAATATTAACTAATTTAGACATGTGACAAGACGAGAGAAAACAAATGCTGTAAGAGTTGTTATAAAAAGGAACATTGAAGAGAAAAAAGAAAGAGCAAGATTAAAAAAGAGATGGTTGATATAATTGGGAATGATATGAGGGCCATTGGTGTGTATATAGGGGATGTAGAAAATTGAAACGAGTGGAGGTTTAGGACATAGGTAGTCGACCCCAAATAGTTGGAAGAAAGGGAAAGAAGAAGAAGAAGAAAAATAAATATTAACTAATTAAGTAAATAAAATAATTTAAGGATTGTTCAGTGTAATTTATCTTAATATGTAAAATATTGGTACTTTTTATCTGTATAATTTCAAAGCATTACATTTAAATAGGAAATTGTATTTATTTTTTAAGTATTAAACATCATCAATTTGTAATATAATTGAAAATATTATAATTTATTATATAGTTTATGTATAATCTATTATATTATTATTATTAAATAATTGTGTTCAAATATATTGTTCTTTCATATATGAAAATCATATATGCATATTCTATTATTACAATTTTAATTGCATTTTAAGTCAAATGTATTTATTAATTTTAAATAAATATGTACATTTCTGTTTTAGATTTAATCTAAAATAAAATAAAAATGGATGAATATGGTAATCCTATACCTGGTCCATCTAATGGATTTGAAAATGAAAGTAATTTGAAATCAACTGTTGATTGTGATTTTATTTGGTTAGAAAATGAGTTCAATAATGATGATACCAAAGAAGTTATACAAAGTTTTTCTAGTGAAGTTCAAAATTCAAATAATAGTTGCTATACAAATGAAATTGAATCCAATCCCAGAAATAATATAATTGAAGATTTTTTTGAAGAAATTAAAGGTATTGATTTAGATAAAAATTCTATTATTGTACAAAGAAATGATGATATTCTTATAGAGTTATTAGAACGATGTAATAGTTTTATTGATATTGTTAGTCGTAATATAGTTTCTCTAGAATATATGATGGAAGAAGTTAAAAAAAATATTGAAATTTCAAAAGAAAATGCCCATAAGGCACATAAATGTATTTTATTTGAAAATAAGTCTATGTATAATACAAAAATGGCAAATTTGAAAAAAAAAGCCCATCTAGCAAATTTTTTTAAAATTGGTTTATCAAACTGTCCACCTAATCCTCATCTTGGTGAACTTTATGATAATGGAAGGTTGCTACTATCTTACAATGGTCGTTTTATACTTGAAGAATGTGTTGAATCAAATTTATGGAACCAAGAATTTAAAAATAAATTAGAACAAGCTATCCATGAAGAAGTATTAAATAAATTAAAAGTACCTATGCTTGAACAACATGCACGTCTTGGCAAAGAACGAGAAAGTCAAAATGATATACTAATTAAACATAAAATTGAACTTGAAATGTCAAATATTCAAAAGGAATTAGAGACTATATCAAATACTCCTTTTCAACGTTTGGTTTTTCAATTTATGGATTCAAATACGGAGTATGATTGGTTACACATTGCTAAAATGATTGATAAACCTTATTTACAATGTCAAAGGTTTTGGAATCTTCTGTTAAAACCTCATATATCTAGAAATAAATGGACTAAAGATGAAGATGAAAAATTAATTGAAATTGCTACAAAGTATGGAGAAAAAAATTGGCAGCAAATAGCTGAGGAGTTGGGTATTAACCGTAATGAGTTACAATGTTTTGTTCATTTTCAAAAATATAAGAAAATGCTAAATAAAAAAGGTAAATGGTCAAAACAAGAAGACCAAAAGCTTATGGAAATTATCAAAGAAAACTCTATTGATAATTTAATCAATTGGCAAAGAGTTTATTTTGCTATGCATGACGAAGGCAGAACTGTTGATCAAATTTATAACAGGTGAGTCTGTTTATAATTTTATATTAATATATTATCTATATAATGTATAATATATTTTTACTTTGATAATGCACATTTCAATACCATTCATTTTCGTGAGTAAATTAAAAATGTATTTATGTTTGGTTTTTACTATATAAACTATTTATTATAAATAGAATAAACTTTAGCTACATTATACTAACAGATTACATTTATATATTACAATGTATATTACACATGTCATATAAAATGTCTCTACTGTATTTAATTTTAATCCAATTTTTTTGTAAATATTTTTATTGATTCTTTATTTTTATACTTCACTCTATTTTAGGAATGAATGATATGATAAATATTAAACATAATAATAAAGTAATATTCTTCTTCTTCCTTGCTTTTTCCCAATTATATGGGGTCAGCAAAATTATAAAATAATAAAGTAATAGTAGTAGTAGTAGTAGTAGTAGTAGTAGTAGTAGTAGTAGTAAAGTAATTAAATATAAAATAAAAATATTTTGCCTACTGCATTATCATAACTATAAATCTTATAAATTGTATATGTCTATACAAATTAATTCAAAATAAACTCAAATAATTTAATTACATCATATAAAAAACCCTATATAATATACATATACATATAGTATAAATATGTTAATATTTATATATTATATATATAATATATGTACTTTCATAACATAATTTTGTTTTGATAGATGGATGTGCTGTTTGAAACCTGGAATTAAGAAAGGATATTTGACAGAAAGTGAAAAATTAATAATTAAAAAAGCTCATGAAAAAAACTTGCCACCGTCAGTAGTATCAATGAATCTAATTAATCGAACAACTTCACAAGTTCGAAATGCTTACCAACGAATTATTTTATATAATGAAAATACTTTAAGAGGTGGTTGGTTGCCTGAAGAAGATAAAATATTAGTACGAGCTGTTAATAATTATGCACATAATGAATTTACTTGGTCACAAGTGTCTAAACAAGTACCTGGACGTAATCCAGAACAATGTCGCCATAGGTACAAAATAATTGAAAAAACAGTTCAAGATGATCATAAAATTACTGTTAATAACTATCCACGCTCTAGAGCATCATTCAAGATAAAAAAACCGTTCTCTAAATTTAATGAAGAATCATTTAAAGATAATGATTTATTGGATGATTTTAGACAAAATCGCCAAATGCAAAAATTGTCTAATGATTCTATTGAATCAGATGCTGATCGAAAGTTGAAAAAATCATTTTTGGATAATGTCTATGTTACAAATCATTGTAATTTGTCTAGTAAATGTGAACTTTTTAAATATGTGCTCGATTATCTTGGAGCTGATTTGATTGTACCACTACAGTTTGTCCATAAAGATGATTTGATTGATGAAGGACTTATGAGTATGATGGCTTATCTCAAAGAATGTTCTAATGAAGCATTAACATTAGATTCCAGAAATTTCGAACAAGAAAGTACAAGTGATCTTGAATTTACTTATGAAGGAGTTGACGGTGTATTGAGAACAAGTGATATTATAAATTCTGATTTAAGTGAAGTGAATGGTTTATTCGATATTAGAATGAAAAATATTGATCATAAATCAAAGAGTATTAAGACTACAAACACAGTTTCTTCAAAAGTTCAAAATCACCCATTACCATTATACTTCATGGGTTCTGTTCCACCAAATTTTGAAACTTTTAGAATGTTAAGTACTTTTATGAAATGTCTTTCTATTAGCATAAAAAAACATGTTATTTATAATTCTCATGTTAATTTTGATTGGGATAATGAAGAATCAAAAAAATTACATCAACGTCTAGTGGCCATTTTTAGATGGCCAGCTATATTTTCAGGAACAGTAAATTATAATGCTGCGAAAATAAATATATTAGTCCATGCTAAACAGACCATAGACTCAAGTAATTCAACAATCTCTTACTATAATTCCAAAAAGAAAAAACCCCATTTCAATTTGAAACAATGTTTTTAAGATATATATTCTCAAATAATTTGCACACAAAAAATACGAATAATACAAGTGATTATATTATTTAGTTGTTTAATTTATACAATTCAATTATTACACATCTTAACTAAAATGATCTCAAAATGATTTCAAAGACTGAAAGTTAAGTGGTTTTTTGTTACTATTAATTATATAAGCAAATAATATTTTTAAATGCAAAATGATATAGTTCAATTTTTTAATTAGTTTATTATAAAATACTAATATATTTTGTATTAATATCTGTAGTATAAGTATTATTATTAATTGTTGTTAATAAAATATCTTTGTCAAAATAAATGGTTATGTTAACACTCAATATTATTTTTGAGTTATTAATTACTGCAAATATTCAATGAAAAACTGACAAAAAAGTCTTATTAAAATGAATTACACTAATATCTTCAATTATATTGATATTAATACTATCCACAAAATGTATTTCATTTAAAAAATAATTATACTTTAAAACCATATTAACTAATACAATGAAAACAAGACTAAAGTAAATTTATTACAGACTACATTATATGCAGTAGTATAAGTATAAGAATTCGGCCCCAATGTAAAAATTTAAAGGGGCCCATTTCCTGTTAGGTTTTAATGTAACAAATAAAACTAGGTGTATGATCTTTATAGTGTATTATATTATCTTTTTTATTCTTATGAAATAACTAAGTATACATTGATGTATAATTTATTAAAAATTACAGTTAAAATTTTGCTTTACAAGCTTTTAAATTTCTAAAGTTGTCAATATGTTACAAAACATTCATAAATTTTACTTCTCCAGTTTCTATATTCAATAGTGCGATATCTGATAGGTAGTCATTCTTGCCCAATCGAATTCCTTAAGGAATTCTCTATAATTTTTAATTTTGAAAATAAATGTAGTTACTGTTACAGATATAAAGAATATAATTAATAATGAACATAATTCTGGAAAACTATTGCTCATATCATATTTTATTATTCATAATTATCTTATAGTTCTAATTTTTTCCACTTCATGTTTATACAAAGTAATAATTGAATCAAAAGCGATTCAGATTAATCATTTTGATATTGTTGATGTAATAATGCTGTTATATCTCTAATTAGATAATATACACCATGGATTAATTTAATTGAAGTTGTGTTTAATTATAGATGATCTCCGACCGGTTATTACTCATAATTAGGAATAGAATAACAGAATAGAATAACTATAAATAGTATAAATATTAAATTATGATAGAGGATAGACATTATCAAATAATATAGACAGTACACACCTTATGTGCAATGTACGTATTTGTTACTGTCTACGTTGACCAACAACTAGCAAGGTTAGTAATTGTTTTTTTTTAGTTTTTTTAAGTTTAAGTTAAGTTTTTTAAACATTACCTACTATGTATTTCAATTTATTTTTTTTGAGCAGGTATGTATATGTATAGAATTATTTTTCTTTGGGGGAAATTTGTTTTTACACCCTATGAAAATAAAGTTTTTATGAACATATATGTGTAACAGAAGAGGCTTAGACCTCATGGGTTTCCTAAAAAAGGTTGGTAAGATTTAAAATTAGTAAGGGGAATGCTCCTCAATTTTTGATGAATATAGTCCCCCCACAACATTTTTCCCACTTTAACCACTGGTGTTTGTGTATGTAGCCGTTGTCAACACTTATCTCAATTTTTCTAAGTATTTACATTTGTTCAATTTTGATCTAGAGAACAAAAATATATAAACTATAGCAATTCTAGTTCTATTAAATCACATCAAAAATATTTCAATATTAATAACCTTAATTATTTTAACTATATATTGTACATATGTAGCATACAGTTACAAGTTATTATTAACATAATTTATTAAAATTAAAAACACATGTTGGATATAGCACGTTCTGTAGAACAATATAAATCAATAATTTTTGTTTACAAAATACAAATAAAATAAAATGAATCTATATTATATAATAATAAAGTGAGGAACACAGTTTTTTTAAAAAAAATGACTCAGCAAACTATTGTTCTTAATTCTTCCTTTTTTTTTCGACGAAAAAAAAAATTTAAAGGATAAAAATCGTACATGTATTTTTACTGTTTTGGAAGGTCAGCAATGCGTTCATGCGGAGCTGGTAACTTGTCCCACGAAGGTTCGACACTCCAAATTTCTCTAGCATACTCTGTGATGGTGCGGTCAGACGAGAATTTTCCTGAAGTTGCAATGTTACGGATGCACATGCGCGTCCATCTGTTTTGATCCTGTACACATTTGGAAAATATAAAAAATACATGAAAATACATCGTATTATATAATATAAACAGAGTTCCCATATTGAAAATAACCATTTTATAATATCTTATAATATTCTTTTGGAAATATTAACGTTTCAACTTTTATTTTTATTAATCTCATGATTTTTAATATTTTTTTTTTTTAGTTTAAAGAAAAAACAGCACATTATTGTAAATGTAAATAGTAACTAATATATTGTAATACCGTAAAGGCCGGTTTACACGCAAAAACTGAAAGTATGTTTTATCGAACACAACTAATCGTATCAAGACGGAGTGTGTACAAATCTAATCTAATCGGAATGAAATCCAAGATTGGATCGAAAGACTGATGGGCGCGGATTCATTTTACACGAAGTTGAACATGTCGTTACACGAAAATACAAACTTGATGTATAGTACAACTTTTCCTCCTTTTTAGGGTTAATTTTCTCTTAGCTTTTATAATTTCAACAATTTCGTTTTTTTTTTTTAATAATTATAATACATTATAGTATATTAATCTATAATATTTAATAAATAATATAAAATTTGATTCACGTGGTATTTTTTGTTTTCTTGTGAACATGTCTGATCTACAGAAATTCTGTTGCACACGTACTAGGAACATTATGGTAAACCTCAATAGTACTTCTTCCATATCGTAAAAAATCATTAAACTAACTGAATACTACTGAAGAATGAACAGAAAGACAGTTGAAATTGGGATGGAAAACTGAGTAAAAGTTGGAAAGTGTAGACACTATAAAATGTACGTATTATTGTTCATTTTATATGTCCAGCAAAACGTGCAATAAGTCATTGCGTGTAAACCGGGCTTAATAGTGTTTTAAAGATATCAGAAAACGAGATTAGATAATAAATATCAACAATCAGCACTCATTCTCTTAAAAGAACCTAAACATAAAATTTAATCAAAATATAAATATTAATTACAATTATCAATTAATACTATATTACAGTCGTTATCTCTGTGATTCGTGAGAAAAAAATTTGTTTATCTTTATAATCTCAGTATTCAGTTATCTTCATAGTATAATTGGTATACGATATACATGAGGGATGGGCATGAAATCCGAATACCTGAATTATCCGGATTTTTGGATATTAAAATCCGGATTTGAATCAAATTCTTATCAGGATTTGCCGAAGTATCCGAATTATTCGGATTTATGAATTTGTATTTTATATAACTTATAATTATTTTTGATTTCTAGCAAAATAAATTATTTTATTTTATTATAACAAAAAATTAATATTATATTTTATGAATTTCAATTTACTTATCATGATTTCAGTTTTTATAATGTATTATTAGTTACCAAAATTATAATTTACTAAATTGTTAAGTACTTTTGTTAAGGTAACTTTATACCTCTATGACTTACAGTGATATCATGACTGAATACCCAATTAACTTATCTTAACTGCATAACCTTAGAGTGGTTATTGAATAAGATTTTCTGAAGATAAGTTAAATTTATGTAAATATAAAAATGAGTAATTGGACAGCAAAATTGAATTGAATAATCCGGATAGTTCGGATAATCATGAAATCCGAATTTCTTAAATCTGGATATGCCCATCATTAGTATACATCATAGTTGTATGTTCTATAATAGTTATAATTAGGGCCCGGATTTAAATGCATTTAAATCCATACGAATATGCTCTAAAAAATAGCCAAAAATTTCCTTAAAAATGCATTTTACCACAAAAATCACCTTAAAAATGACATACATTTTTTTTTTATTTTAGGTATTATTTAACACACTAATTAATACATTAAAACCACAAACACGTAATACGAGCAACGTCTGCGATGTAATACGAACTGACTGATTATTTATTATTTGACCGAATACTGGTGACGTTCCATAGTCTATAATAAATTAAAATAGGATAAAAACTGAATCAAAAAATAAAGATTGACAATGTTTATGGAAAAACTCGATAAACCTACTTAAATATCAAAAAAATAATTTATCTTTTGATTTTATTTTGAATAGACTAAATTTGTTTAGTATGTCAAACAAATATGTATTAAATACTAACAAAATGACCCAATAATACTAAAAATGCTCTAAAAATGAAAAAACTTAGAAATATGCAAAAAAATGCAAAATAAAATTTGTAGTTTTGAAACCTTTGTTACATGAAACGAATTATGTTCTTAAAGAGCATTGTGTATGATCAACCAAAAAAATATGCACTTTGCATTGAAATCCAGGCCCTAGTCATAATATATCTAGTAATATAATATCTATAATTATATTATGTCTATGGTATACATCGTGCCTGTGACGAAGTTGATATTGGTATTATAAGTATGAAAAATGATCATACCATGTATGCTTCGTCGACTTTGTCCTGGGCTTTGATGTAATCTTCGTAGTCAGCCATCAAGAAAAATCTACAAGACAAAGTTGAAAACTTTAATTAATTAATTTCAACGTGATGAGCCCAATATAAAAAGTAGTAATTATTACGACGATCAGTATAATAACATTTGAAAATAAATTAACACTTGGTATAAATCAAAAATATACACATATGCGTGTAGATAATGTGTATGATTAGTGTATTTTTATCTGTCAAACGAAAAAGTCTGGACGCATAGATGAATAGTTGAAGTCAACTATTAAGTTTTTAATTATTTTTACTTGTGACCAGGATAGCGTTAGCAAATATTAATGAGCAAAGGCATATAAATATACATATTTGCCAACTTCTTTCTAACATACTAATGTTACTTAATTTGTTGACGATTTCCGACTATATAAATATGTCATACTTATGTGTGTGTGCGCGTGTGGAGGAGGGAGGAGGTATTGCATCAAGAACTTCTATAACCACTGTCCTGCTTGTTACTTTTTTTCAATCTTCAACTTTCAAGTTCCGACTATTTTAATTTCAGAAGTTCATATTAATTGACTTAATCATTATAGTAATTATAAAATTAATAATTGAATGCTTCAATGTGAATTATATTTTAAGAAAAACTAAATAAAGAAGGAGTTCATAAACTTTTTTTCTACTTCTAAAATTTTTAATCAACTTTTCATGCTTTTTGTAGAACTCCTACAACTTTAAATATTATTCTTACTATGGCTGTTATGACTGCATCAATAAGCGCTTTATTTTATAAAAAATTTATTTATACCTAACAATAGGAAATTATCGACTGCGTAATTTGCTTGTTCTTGCTGTTGTTGGGAGAGATATTGCCATAAAATAAATTTAAATGAAATAGAGAAAGCATTTTTTAATAATAAACAATGGAAGATATCCGCTTATAGCTTAAGTTTACAGCAAAATTTTTAGTTTTGAATATTTAATGAAATTATAGTAAATATTATTTTATAAAAAATGTAGGTTGTGTTTTAGATTAAAATACAATTTCAAACAGGGTTGCCCAAAGAAATGTAGCTCAGAGGATGAATATTTGCCGAGTAACTGATATGAGTCGAGACCAGCTTTATGTAAAATAACTTCTAATTTTGTAACTGACATGTAATTGTTTAAGGGGGATCAATGACCCTCATTGGCTTTTCCTTCGAGCGTCCCTGATTTCAAACGTGCAAGCAAAGCATGCATTTTTTCCAGTCTCATATGAGCCGTTTAAAATTTATGTTTCTCCCTCTAATCAAATACTTAAATTACGCAACTGAGTGAAAAAACAAAACTGACGTTCGTAAGAAAATTCATACATGTAAAAGTAAAAAGTGATAGTCTAATATCATTGTAAAAAGAATAGATAGTTGTGTATACCTGTCCCATTTAAGGAGAACGTCAACAATGTCTTTAAATTCATCGGGGTTGTTAGGACTGAAATAACCGTTTTGAATTTGATCCACGCATTGCTTGAGTTCTGGTATGGATTCGTAGTACGAATAAGAGTTATAACCTTTCCTCTTTAACAATTCCACTTCATCGACAGTCATACCGAAAATGAACATGTTTTCGGGTCCCATCTCTTCTGCCATTTCTACGTTCGCGCCGTCTAACGTACCGATGGTAAGTGCACCGTTCAACTGGACACAAAACAATATATATATTATAATGACGTTAACTATGATCTACATAGTTTTAAATGTTAAATTGGTCTCAGACACGCAAGATATCTGATCATTATAATGATAATCTTAACCTCTTAGAATGGATAATATATATAGAATAGATAATCTTAATAAATCAAACGATATTTTCAAATCTTTCCTATTTTATATTTTAGACTTAGGAAAGATTTGAAAATATCGTTTGATTTATTAAGATTAGGTACCATTCTATATATATATTTTTTATATTTTAGACTTAACAATTTATTATAATCGGTCAAGTCGTTTATAGTTAAATCATTCTAAACGACTGCTCATTTGACCTAAAATTTATAATAAAAAATAATTTGTTTTATGTTAGATTAATTATATAATGCTTGTGATACTTTCTATTTGGTAATTTGAAATTAATATAAAATACGTATACGTTGACATTTTGAGCGTATCCGAGTTGGGTCCCAGATAATATTTATGATAAAGATAAACAACTAATTAGGTCAGATTATTAAAACAATAACATACTAATTTGGTCTGACTACTACGACAATAAACCCTGTCACTTACAAGTATTGATACAAAGGCCAACCCTAAAGGGGTGCGTGAGGTGCGGATGCACCATCGCCAAGAACACTGGGGCGCCAATAGCTTTTTCATAATCTAATTAATATTACTGAAACAACCATATTATTTAATTCAAATATTTAATACGTTTAATTAGGCTGTTTGATTATTTCGAATTAATCGATTATTACAATTATTTTTTCCCCGTCTATTATTTTACAAATTTTAAATTTTTAATCTGTGCTAAATGCTAATATGATGTTTTGAGTTCAATGATTCGGAATGTATTAAGGATAATATAATAAAAATGGACATCTAAATTAACATTTCATCCTGCAAATCTTGTTGAAAATTGTGTAGAAATTAAGGAATCAATTTATCTATTGTAAAAAAGTCGATTCGGCGTAGGGAAAGTAGCGCGCCCATCGCCCAATGTACCTTAGTACATTGCAATAGCCCTACCCTGACCTTAATTGGTTGGGGTAGTCTGGTCCTCCAGGTTGGGGGTTGATCGTAGGGTTAACAACCCTACATCAGAAAAAAAAAATGTTAAGAAACCACAAAATAAGCCTCGGAATTGGATTAATGGACAAAGACCGGAACTGGAAAATGGAATAAAAATTGGTACATGGAATGTTAGGACCTTAAACAAACCTGGAGCGTTACAGTATTTACTGGACACTATTAAAAAATATAATACGAACATATTAGCTCTGCAAGAAATTAGATGGCCAAATGACGGAAATATGAAAAAAGATGATAAAACCATATTCTATAGCGGAAGAAAGGATGGAAGACATGAAAATGGTGTGGGTTTTGTAGTAAGCGATGATACGTTACCACAAGTAAAAGAATTCACGGCAGTAAATGACCGAATATGCTATATCCGACTCACAGGTCACATTTTTGATAGCATTATCGTAAACGCTTATGCACCAACTGAAGAGAAAGAGGAAAATATTAAGAATGAGTTTTACGATGAACTAGGACACATACTTGACACAACACCAAATAGCTGAATAAAAATATTAATAGGTGATTTTAACGCAAAAATAGGAAGGGAAGATATATATAGACAAACGATTGGACCGAATAGCTTACATGACGTAAGTAACGATAATGGAACCAGATTAATCAACCTATGTATAACGAACGGTTTTACCCTTAGTAGTACATACTTTCCAAGGAAAGATATATACAAACAAACTTAGATAGCACCTAATAGAATAACTAAAAACCAAATTGATCATGTTATGATACAAAATAAGCATAAAGGTTGCATAAAAAGTGTCAAGAGCTATAGAGGTGCAGACGCCGACTCGGATCACTACCTGGTAATTACAAAACTTAAAATTAGACTATCTGAAAGATGGAAAAAGGTAAAATATATAAAATCCGTAAAATACGATATAGAAAAACTGTCAAAAAAGAAGGTTTTAGAGGAATACATATATAAAACTCAACAAGAATTACAAAAATCCAACAGTAATGCAGATGAAGATGGAGAACGGATATGGGACAGAATCAAGACGGCGGTAGTCAATAGTGCTAATAATTGCCTAGGAATAAGAAAACAAGAAAAAAGAAAATAATGGTTTAATGATAGGTGCAAGGAAGCAATAGACAGAAGAAACCGCATACGAGAAAAAACTATCAAGGACCCAAGTGACATAAATATGGAAAGATATAAAAATACTAAAAAAGAAACCAATAAAGTACTAAGATGTGAAAAAAGATTAGCGGAAAAAGCAAAGATTGAGGAAATTGAAGAAAATAAAAATAACTCCAGAAGATTCTTTAGCAAAACTGTCAACATTAAACAGGGGTATAAACCGCAGACTAGAATACTAAGGAATAAACTAGGTGAGTTAATAACAAAAGAAGAATCTGTAGTAGAAGAATTTAAAAAACATTTCGAAAGATTACTAAATAAAACACCACCAATACCAACACATGAAGATATACCTATGCAATATAGTACAGCGGAACCATATATTAAAACTCCAACAAAACAGGAAATCTATAACATCATAAAAAAACTTAAAAACAACAAATCACCTGGAGAAAACAACGTAGTGGCGGAATTATTAAAAAATGGAGGAAATGCGATTAAAGATGAAATTTGGAAAATGATTAAGGAAATTTGGAAAACCGAAGTAATGCCAGGAGAGTGGAACACGGCAATACTATGCCCAATATTTAAAAAAGGAGACACTTTAGACCCAAAAAATTACAGAGGAATCTCATTATTGGATACTTGTTACAATATATTGTCAACGCTTCTTTTGGAAAGAATAACACCATATGCAGGTATCATCGGAAGATACCAGTGTGGCTTTATAAAGGGGAAATCCACTATCGACCACATTTTTACCTTAAGACAAATAATGGGGAAATACTACGAATTTGACATGGATTTATGTATGATATTTGTTGACTACAAACAAGCTTATGACAGTGTTTACAGACAAGAATTATGGAAAGCAATGTTACATTTTGGAGTTCCGAAAAAATATGTAAATTTAGTAAAGATGTGTAATGACAAGACTGTACTGAAAGTACGTTTTCTTCAGACACTATCACCAGCCTTTGAGGTTAATTCTGGATTGCGACAGGGAGATGCCCTATCCCCAACATTGTTCAATTTGGGACTAAAAAAGTTATTAGAGAAGCTTATGAAGACAGAAGAATGGAAGTTATTGGTGAAGAAACTATCTTAGCATATGCTGATGATATAGTTCTTTTAGGGAATACGCGAGAAGAAATTTCCCACTCACTCTCTAAAGACTAATAGATGAGGATGCAACGTTGGACTGGACTTTGAACAGAGAAAAATGGAAAGGCTTACTAGTGGCAGCGCAGGTCCTCAATGGACCGTTAAGCTGTTGATGATGATGATGAAAAAAGTCGATTAATCGGTTATTCAGATATTAAGAAATTCGGTTATTGATTAATCAGTCGTTAAAAAATTGATTTTCGGTTTGAATATTAATTTTCGATTAATCGAAATAATCGATTAAAACGTGAAATTAATAATCAAGTAGTAAAAAAAAAAAATCGAACAGCCCTACGTTTAACGCCATGGTCTTGACGCGTAATCGACATGATTAGCTTGATCGGCGGTGTTGCTAGTTTATTTTTAGTATTGGTATTTATTTTGCCCCGAAATTAGCGAGATGACAAATAAACAATAGTATACCATTTATATTCTATTATTATTGTTAATTGATATAATTAATTTAATAACATTAATAACATAAACGAACATTAGCAGGACACTTTACCATCCGAATTCCGTATGGGTAGGCTAAATTATGTAAACAAATCTATAGGTTTTAAGAAAGTTCGATTTTCAGTAGTTACTATAATTTTGTTGACGTAAAAGTTTTTAAAAAATAAATGTTATAAAATTATTTAAACTTCTGAAAACATTGTTTAATGGCCTCTAAAATGATCATTCTGGTTAACGAATGTGTGTTTGTGTGTGTAAATAGTATATATCAATTAAAATATTTTAACAAATGAACATACCATGAATTTCATGTTTCCAGTGCCAGACGCTTCAGTACCCGCAGTAGATATTTGCTCGCTGAGATCCGCAGCTGGCATAATTTTTTCGGCAAAAGTCACTCTATAGTTTTCCAAGTACAACACTTTCAAACGGTCTCCGACCACTGGATCGTTGTTGACAACGTTACCCACATAATTTATGAGCTTGATAATTTTCTTAGCCATGTAATATCCAGGAGCTGCCTGAGAAGAAAATGTTTATTAATCACAGATTTTGATTTAAATTGATTAAAATAAAATACAAGAGGAATGACAATGTACGAAAACATAAACGGATAGTTTAATTTGTTGATTAAATTAACGTTTTAAATAATAAAGCTATAAAATAAAATTAGATAAAATTAAATTAAAAAACACATAAACCCAAATCTTTTTCAAATCTACGTCAGAATTAAAGAACTGATTAAATGTCTTCCGTTGTTAATTGTTCTTATTATTTATGATAATTGACAAATTTTTTGAAATAGAAAATCTATTATCATGTAAACGTATCTAATCGTAATGCATGAATAATTTACATTTTGAGGAATTTTTGACATTTCTATTATAACTCACTTCATGATAAGAAAAAAAAGGTTATAAGAATTAATATTAAGTGGGTATTAGATAATATACAATACTTACTTTTCCACCAATCATAATTGTTCTTGGTACGAATTCACCCTCTGGGTTTTTTTTAATCCTATTATATTGGGTGATGATATGTAAACAATTCAACAACTGTCTCTTATACTCGTGAATTCTTTTAACCTGAAAAACACATCACGTGATCAATGAAAATATTTAAAACTTCGGAATATTTCTAGTTTATTGGTAGGTACCCTAAATTTTGGCAATTTTTTTGGGGGACTTCGTTATATTTTTGATGAAAAAAACTATAGTGAAATTAAAATTTAGCGCAAGAACTATGTTTTGAAATTATAATTTATTAAAGTTTATAATATTATACAAAAACCCTTATATATTTATTATGCATCAAAAAATTGTTTAAAAGTGTTGCGCAGTTGTAGCAATATCGATTATTCATCTAAGTAACCGCTCGATCCCTACACAGAAAAAATAAAATTTTAACTAACATTTTTTTTTTTTTGAGAACAATAATTTTAAAGCCGAAAAATCTTAACATTTTATATTAAGGCAATATCACCATTTGGTTACTGAGTAAAAAAAAATGAATTTTAAGAGTACCTCGAGACTAGGTGGGGTCACTCACTCGGACAGTTAAAAACGAAAATATCCCTCGATTTGCTAGAAAACACCACCTTAAGTAGATTACAGGGTTAAAAATAAATTAATTTAAATGCATCTCGAGACCGGGCGGAGTCACTCGCTTGCTGCGCTCTCTTCTCGGACAATTAACAACGAAATTATCCTCCGATTTAATATGTAATACCACCCCAAGTAGATCACAGGACAAAAAAGTAAAATGCGACAAACATAATAACACCCGTAATATTATATTATCATACATATTTTAACGTAACAAAATAAAAATTGCACACATTCTAGTGATTTAGTACCACTACCTCTGTATTTATAAGAACCATGTTATCCATAGCTCTACGGTAGAAATCTAAATTATTTTCTAACATAAGCTATTTAAATAAAGCTGTCAACTTTAAATGACTATAGCTACAAAATGAATGATCAACGCCAATTTTTATTTGCACCATCTTATTTAGCGTTAAAAACAACATAAAACCAAAAAAAGAAATTCCAAAATTTAGGGTGCCCCATAAAGTAGAAATATATCAAAACTTCAATTAGAATACGTTAATTATACTGCGTGTATAAAATATTTTGTACCTGGATATCGAACATCGAATTGACGTTAATTTTTATGTTGTATTCACTTTCCAGCCAATGAGCAAATTTCATTTTGTTTTCTTGTTTGACTTTTTGAATATCCAAAATGAAGCTTTGGTCATTCACGAGTTCTTGGAGTTTTGATAACTCGTCCAAATGCGTGATCCAGTTGTCACCAATTCTCTATTACATAATACATCGTACAAAGCGTTAATACATTGAATTGTAATCAAGGAGTGGCTTCGTTTCAGTTTTTATCAGAAAGAAAAGTGTAAAATAACTGTTAGCTTAAACAATAGTATATTTTATATTAATATATACTTTCTATACAGAGGCGGTTTGATCTTGAACTTTGTTGTTCGCTGAACAACCAAAAAGTTTGGAGTGGGTGTCATTTTAATAGGTGGATACTTGGTCTTGTCAACTGGCGGCGATAAGTTATAAAATTGGTAATTTAATAGAAATTAAATCAAATGTTGTACCTAACATGACTTTTTGATAGGTGGGTAGGTGGTATTAACTATGCTTGAATTCCACTAACTGAAAAATTTCAAACTGCCTATGTTTCTATATTAAGTATATAAATCAGTTTAAATGGTTTGTAATTTTGTAAATATTTATCAAGAGGAGAGCCACTTTACTGCAGAAAACGATGCCACTATACAATATTTCACTGTCAGAGAAATACCTCTCCGATGATATCTGATAAGTTAGGGTTGCACAAAAGTAACCATCTACGTGGAGTAATACCATTAGTTTTATTTTGGAATTTTTCTGGAGTCAATTCATAGAAATCCCTGAATCTGAAATGCAAATAAAATGTAAATCATTATTTTCAAAATATATAAGTAGCCATAATGTAAATATACGTAATTAAAAATCGCCAACAATGGGCTTACATCTTAACTGCAGATACGTATATACAATCTATATTATTCTATGTTGTATTTGGTTTTCAAGATATTATTAAATTATTTATTGATTTATTTTAATGATTTTATACGATAATAATATCGTTACTTACAAATCGTTCTTGATAATGTCTGAATGAATACGAGCTACACCATTAACGGCATGAGATCCAACGATAGATAAATGGGCCATGTTCACTCTCTTATCACCATCTTCTTCAATTAAAGACATTCTCTTCATGCGAGCATTATCGTTTGGCCATTGTTTTTGGACATGCTGCAAAAATATAATTACAGTGCATTAAATAAAATATATTTATAATAAATAATGATACATGGTTGTAGACGAAATAAGTGAGTTTAATTTACTTGTAAGTGCAGGAAATTGATTTGATATATGATTTGCATATGTCTAGGCAGTATACAGCTCATCAACGATACTGACCACCGTTCCAAAGCTTCGGGCAAAACAGTGTGATTCGTGTATGCACACGTTTTCACGGTTATGTCCCACGCGGCATCCCAGGATAAACCTTCAATATCGATAAGGATCCTCATCAGTTCCGGAATGGCCAACGATGGATGAGTGTCGTTCAACTGTACAGCTACTTTGTCCGGGAACTGAGAGAAGTCCGTACGTGGTTTGGCATCCTGTTTAGATGCTTTAAATCTTCGAATAATATCCTAAACAAAACGGCGGCAATGTTAATAATGGATTATAAATGTGATTGAATCTTAAGTCTTCCTGATTAACGAATTGGTCCAAAACAATCATAATATACGGATATTTACTTGGAGTGTAGCTGAACACATGAAATATTCTTGCTTTAAACGTAGTTCTTTGCCTTCGAATGAATTATCGTTAGGATACAACACACGGGTGATATTTTCAGCTAAATTTCTATCAAGAACGGCTTGGATGTAATCGCCATCGTTGACTGAAAACAATAAATATTCAACAGTTATTTATATTTTATTTATTTATCTACATTTTAAACGACATAATAAACAATTTTCAGTGGTCTAATTTAGTATATGTTATAGAAAAAGTTATCTACTCGGAATACTTAGGCTCCATTTTAAATAGGCGTTAAACCTTATCGAGATAATCTTGACAACATTTTATAAGCATTTTTAACATTTAGGTAATATATATTACATATGTATTCAATTATAGCTATGACCACAAATAAATTCATTATGAATTTTGCATTATTTTTGTGAATAATTACTATAAATCATTTTGATGATTAAGTATTAATTTAGCCAACAAGTTTCTTTAACACATATCTTAACAAAAATCTACCTCCAAGCCTGTGTAAAAATCACTAAGTATATAAAAGTTCAGTTTCAAAAATTGTAACATCGTTTAATGGCTAAGTTATAAATTTAGATTGTCTTCTTTTTCTCCTTCGTATTTTTCTCAACTATTTGGGGTCGACCACCGTTTTCCTGAACGTCCATTAGTCTCAATTTTCCACATCCCCTACGCACACACCAACAACCCTAATATCATTCTCAATCGTACCAACCATCTCTTTTTTGATATTTTTTTTTCTTTTCTTTCCACCTAGTTTCCTAAACACAAAAAATATTAACTTTTTTCTACTTTAAAACTTTCGCTAATTCATTACTTCTGACTGTTAACATTACAATATTCCACATGCCTATTTTCATTTTATACCTATGCCTCATGCCTAGAAGCAGATTTAACCGGGGACGCAATGATGATGTCCCTACATCGTTGACATTCCCCGTGTTGGGTAGACCTGAACATAAATGGTGAACTAGTTACCACACTGGCTATCCGGCTATTACCATACACTTCATCATCTAGGCCTCATCCACCTCTAACTATGATAATTTCATAATTTAGATTGTATGAATACATATAATATTTTAATTTTAGCTTTACTTTGTTTGGCTATAAAAGTACTTGTTATTATGTGTTATTTGAGTAATTAATAATTATAGATTTATATAGTACATATATATGTTCTATAATACCTATATACATTTTTACCTACAAGAGTTGCTAACTTAAATTTTAGGCAAAACATTTAAATTGCATCTGAATTTATAATCCCGAAACTTAGCCATTCAACGATATCACAATTTTAAAACGGATTAATTTTTTTTATATTTATCGGTTTTTTATGCAGCATTACCATTTTTAGCAGTGTTTTTTTTTTCATAACATTTAATTGATAGCAATAAAAGCAAATACTCAAATTACGGAACGTTTTAAATTAAACATTCAAACGACTATTTAATACTTTTTACTTAATAGCAGAATCCCATTGAAGAAGAATGACGGAAATTAATTAAATATACATATACTTCTTTGTTAGTGATAAACTTAATTTAAAAATAAAAATAAATGGATTATTAGTAAATAAGTGTTAGGCAGTAGTAAATTACTAACAGATACTTAAATCATTAGTACTTAGATACACCAAACATTAACGTATTCAATGCAGATATATAGCAAAGGCAGATATTTGGTCACATCCATAGGGGAGCTTAAAATTTTTGTCTTATCCATTAGCGTGAACAGACATTTTTAAACGCTTCAACCTACTAAAGTCGGGAGCACGAAAAATGATCGCTGTTCGTCATGCACCAAGCGGCTGTTTTTCTAAGTAGTTATCAAATCTATGCTCATTGTTCATGTTATCGCCACAGATATATAAAACAACTATATATACATATACCTATATCTGTGGTTATCGTTCATTATTCGTGCCTGTGAACACGATACGTAACGGCAGCGTGATGGTACAAAGTTGAGAACCAATGGTTACGATATTTATACCGTCGGAGCTTGCACACTAATCCGGTACTTAATATGGAGTACCGGACGGGAAAATATCGTACCGGAACGTTTATCAGCACAATAAGCACACAATGCTACGGTACGATACGTATACGATACTAAAATTTATTATTTTAAAATTATTGTATTATGATTCTACAATTATTATTAAAACTGTTATTATTTTCAGGAAGGACCTTATGTATTTATAGACTTATAAACAATTTTATATGAAGTTGTACTGTGTCTGTATATATTAACATCATAAATTTTGTACTTCAAATTATTTGTATTAAACACAGTAGACTATATAGACACACTACATAGACATTCCATAAAATCCAAAAAATAAATATAATAAAAATACATACCTACCAAAAAATGAAAAAAGACATATTATTACAAAAACAATTAATTACTGAATAAAGAAAAGTTGTTGAATAGTTTACTTCAAATTTTGTAGGTACCTACTTAAGTATTACGTACCCGTTAAGGGTAGCTGGCAAATTATAGAAATAAGTTTTTAGAAATTGTGCCCAGAATTCTAGATTTTTTGGAATTAACTGATGAACATATGATAGCATTCAATAATCTTAAAAGTATGAATATTATCGATACGGGTAGGTAATGAGTAGTTACCATTAACGGATGGGCAATGAATAGATCACAAATTCTGCATGCGTTGTCTCCGTCTTACAAACATACAACATGGCAAATCTGTATTCAGCAGAACTAATTTTGTGTTATTACATATTATCTTTAATACCAGATTAATCTGACCTATTATCGATTTCAACGTGAATTATCCCTATCTTCTCATAAGTTATTTACAAAATCTTAATTTTTAAGCGAGTTTATGAATTTATGAATAGGTATGTAAAATATTATAATTCAAAAAAGCTCAAAAATAACTATCGTTTTAAAAATTAAAATATTGTAAAAGAACCTAAGAGAAAACACAGATAATGTACTTTCCCGAATGTGGCATAATTTTAATTAGAATTAATTTACCCAATTACACATGAAGACATGAAGTAGACATAAAATTTACTATACAGCAGAGTAAATTCCCTAATTTTTTAAATATCTATGATTTTTAAAACTGATTTGATAATTAATCTTACCGGAACGGTACACGATAAAAATCGTGAATGCAACATTCTATAAAAACCGGTGCAGAAACCGTCCTCCGGTACGATATTTGAGACCGACCGGCATTATATCGCATTAGTGTGCAAGCCCCCATTTAGATCTTTGGGCATGGTTATTGATTGTACCGCACAAATAATAACGGAGGCGCGCACCGGTCCGGTCCAGTTTGGTGTGTGCGATGCCTATGAAAACCATTTGAACGATTTTACCGGCAACTTTACTGTACCGATATCGTATTGCGTACCGCAGCAGTCGGTACCTTAATGGGTCGCGGGTACAACGCTAATTTTTCGTGCTCCCGACTATAACTAGTGGCTACTCCTACTTTATTCTAGTTGAGGCACCAAATATAAACAGGTAATAGGAACACAAAAATATAAAATATTGAATAGTTGCTAATTTTTTTTTTTTTTTTTAATTTTAATCGTATAAATGTATTCCTTTATTTCCTTTATTACCTACAAAATATGGTTTTCCCCAACAAAAATAATCTGTAAATATTCCAGACCATTCTCGCATATGTATCAACAACATAAAATAAAAATTATAAATATCAAATATTAAAAAATACAATTTATTTTGATGTCTGGTTTTTTTGATTACGTTTAGGGGGGCTTAAGCCTCCGCGTCCCCCTAATATCGGCCTATGATATACAGGCAAATATACATTTATGAATTCGAGACTGGTAAACGTATTTTTATTTTACTATATATATATCTTATGATTTTTCACTCACAGAACTTTAAGTTGAATTCAACGGGAGACTTAGCAGACCATAAACGCATAGTATTGACAATATTGTTCTGGTAACCGGGTACTGGACTATCATACGGCATTGCGAACACAACCTATTTTAAAACATATTCAATAATGAAGAACGACAATAACAATACTACTATAATATTTAATCGTAAATACTTGAGTATCGATCCATTTTTTGCCTGTTGGTGTCTCGAGTACTTTACCAAAGAAATGAATAGGTAACATATACTCGGGTCTTGCTTTTTCCCATGGGTTTCCAAATCGTAGCCAATCGTCTGGTTCTTCAACCTATAATTTGACCGCGGTATAGTAAAACACGTTTAGTTTTAAATTATAAATACATATATATATATATATATATACTAATTTATTTATAATTTAAAATATACCTGTTCTCCGTTTGTTATTTTCTGAGCGAAGATACCATATTCATATCTTAAGCCATAGCCATAAGCGGCTAGACCAAGAGTTGCCATGGAATCGAGGAAGCAAGCGGCTAAACGACCTAAGCCACCGTTTCCCAAACCTGCATCTTCTTCGAGATCTTCCAGTTCTTCAATGTCTAATCCCATTTGGTATAAGGCTTCATCGACACTACTTTGAATACCAAGGTTGATCATGGTATTTTGAAGAGAACGACCCATCAAGAACTCCAGAGACAAGTAATAAATACGCTGTAAACAAAAATGTCATAATTTTAATTTAATGCATAGGCAATAGTGAATCCTAGTCGAATAAAAACATTATTATATATTATTTGAAATCTGAGTTATTTGTTAGATTTTAGAAACTGATTGGTATATTAGCGCAATGTATGTGAAAAACATAAATTTCCATTATGATTTTATCAGTCTTCAAGCAAATATATAAATAATTATTTAATAGTTGTTTTTGCATTATCTTTTTTTAAACTTCTTCACGAAAAAGAATAGATAAGTTATAAAATATAATTATAAATATTTTATTTATTTACATTATATTTAATTTTTATGAATTAATTTTAATGTGGATTATGAATATGAATGAACATGAGTTACGTACGTTTTAACAAGCTGTACAAAGTAAGACACTTAATAGAAATATTATAAAATGGTATACATGCAAGATAAAAAACGTACCAATATTACATAGTATACGACTATAATAACAAATACAATATACATATACAGTATTATCATTGATTATAAATACTAATATTTGTACCAATAAATAATCAATGGTGTTAATTACTAACATACAATATATAGAAGTGATTTATTATAGTCATACAATTAAACTATCAGATTATAACACTTTATGAATATAGGTTATATAGCATTCGCTTAAATACTCAAATCATGAACTTCATATTTAGGTAAGTATATAATTGTAAAAATTAAAAAAAGGTTTTCTTGTAAAACTAACAAACTTTAAATTTGTTTTTTCATATATTTCATCATATTTCATAATATCATCTATTGTGAGGAAAAGGGGGTTCAGTATTTTAATTTTATAATTATTATTGAATTAGATAGAAATTTAAAATATTATGCTTTGTTGTAAAAAGTCGATTATCAGCGTTAATTAAAATAAATAAAAAAAAAACTAAATAATTTGTTAAGTTAATTTGATATAAAAATAATGTATTTATTAATGAAGTATGTGGTATTTTTTACACGATACAAACCTATTTATCAGCGTTATAAACATTTATAAAATAATAAGATCTTATATCCGTATTAACTTTTTATATATTAATTTACTCCCTTCCTAGATTATAATGGCGCCATTTTTCATATACTGATCTCATTATACAATAATCAAATTGATAAGTAAACAATTAACATTTAATTGAATGCATTTTTTATTCATATACAATACAAGTTTCATAATTTGAACAATGAAATGATAAATAATTATAAAAACATCATATAAAGACTACTCGTAGGCGAAATCTATTTTAGAACACAGATGTATAATTTGGAACCATCCCAATTAATTATTTGTGGTCTGAATCCTTTTGTAGATGAGTTATTTAAAATAAAAAATATATTATGTTAAATTGCTATGTACATATATATATATATATATTAATTTAAATTAAAAGTTTTAACATTTCTTTATATTTGATATTCTTATTAAGAGTTTACGTTATGCTAATATCTGATCCTTGTAAATATTATCATTTAAACACATTAACATCTAAAACCAAAATAATTGGATGAAAGGGTATTTTTTAAAACATATACTAGCAGTTTGATTTTAAATTTATATACGTACATTTTATATGTAGTTAATAAAAATGCGTACGTATTTAGAATTTTAGAAAACTATGGATTTTCGTAAAATTTAGATCATCAATTATTTTCAAGCAAAATAAATCTCAGTTCTGACTTTTTAATATATAATGTACCTAAATTTATCATTATAATTGATGAAAACAACCAAATATAAAAAATGGCTCATTTACATAATATTTTTATTAAAAATATAATTCTCCCTCATAATTACCAATGATTAAAAATATATATTAAAAATTATAATTGATTAAAAAAAAGTCACTTTATTAGTAAATAGATCGTCTTCATTTTTCCTAATTCTGGGTTGTGACTGTTATACTTTTTGCAGTTTCATAGTCTTAGTACATAAATTGTATTAAATTAATTTAATAAATTAAAATGCAGTTAACATTAGTACATAATTATAAAACCAATATTTAATTTATTGAATTTTATTCATATTACATACCTATGTAATTTATATTTTAGGTATGTCAAATACGAGTTAAAAATCGCCTGAAAAATCTGGAAAAGGGAGAGGGAATTACTTATTACTTATTAAGTAATAATAGATATTCAGTTATTTCATAGGTTTTTTGATTTATTAAATTTTTTACAGAAATATATTAACCTTTCTATTTTTTCGTTTTTTTTTTTTTTTTAATGTTATAAAAAAAATGATTAAATATGTATTATTTTCTTTCAGTTCATTCAGAATGGAGGATATTCATTATAAATGATGAAACATAATTTACAATAATATTTTTTTGTGACTTTAAAGATTTTGCCAAAAAACCAAAAGCTTTTTAGACTTGTATTATTTGAAATTAAAACAATACAAGTATATCAATGTTATTCTATTAATACCATATAATAAACAGCAATCGTCCAAGAATGTACATTTTATACCTATGACCTTATTTTGGCTAACTCTGCTGTCATTCATTATTGTCATTATTGACTTTCAAAGAATTATGTATTTAATAGTCAATAACATAACTCAAGGGTTCTTAAACTGATCATACTATTATATGATGTCATGCTCCCTTTCCTCACCATAATAAGATCGAATTGTTTTGTAAGTATTTACATACATATATATATATTCATTATGCCTTTAATATTGATTATTGGATTAATATGATAAAATAAAAATCAATTAAGTTTTTTTTTTCAAATATTTAATGAATTTATTTGTTAGAAAAAAATCATTATTATAATTTAAAATTTTTAAAAGATATTAGGTATATTCTATTCATTTCTTTAATTATTAAATTTAAAATGTATTATTATTAAGTAGATACAAATTAATGAGAGGGTTGGTACTGCTTAGTTCTAATCATTTGTGACTTAATGTCTTGACTAAATATCAAAATAATCAAAAACAACGTTTTCATGTTTCGTTGCTTTTTAAAAATGTTCACTGGGGTACGCTCCCCGGTTGAAAACCTCTTTCGTAACCAATACTTGTCTATTTATTCCTGAAATAGGCAATTTAGAAATTATAAAGTATATTATTGTGTTTTTAATGTAATATAATTAATATCAAGTTAATATATATACTTATAAATAAGTATTTGACTAATAAAATTAAAGTAAATATTATCGTTTAAATCGAGTTTATTTTCACTATCAATAATGTCTATGTTGATTCAATAAAATTAATTTAAAAAAAACCATTTGTTCTTTTTATAATTTGTAACAATTTATAAGCATAAAATACCTATATATGTTAACTACAATCACACTGAAATCTCGATAACCGAAGAAGATTGATAAAAATTGATAACTAAAACTATTTATGATATGAGAAATTAGTTTAAAATGAATAAATTAAATATAGGTAGTGGTATAGATTAATGATGCAGGTAGTTAGATATATTCGCAACAAATCAAAAAGTGTGACAAGTTGAATAAAAGTTAATAAAATAAAAATAACATCATCATATAAATACATATACATTTATAGTAGACAGTATTTCGAAAAAACAATATGTCTTCTGATTAAATAATGTACGACACTGAGAATAGACATAAATAATTGTACAGTAGAAAAATATATATTATTCTCGTGCAGTAAAACTGTGACCCACATTATCTCCGATTATATTTGGGTTCCCTCTATTTCGGATAGTGAATCAATGCTGAAATATAAATACAGAAACATTGTACTAATTTGTTTAACCAACACGCGTTCTTTAAACGTTCCATAACTTATGAGATAATTTTTTCAAATGAGCAACTGTCCAATCGAAATTTCAAATTTTCCCTTTTTATACAAATATTCATTGGACAACGAAACCGGTCGGTATTTAAGATATAGAAAACGTAATTAAGAAAGTATAGTAAGTATTGAGAAAATTTAGTCCACCCCCATGAACTCCTAATTTGTATTATTTTATTCCATATTTGAGTGTTAAAGTATGTATTTATATTTAAAGAACAATCAGTGATATAATAATTCTTATCATGTTGAATTATTGATCTTAAATATTTATATTATAGTTCAATTTCAGTGGAGGATACAATAGCTTCCTTCCTTTCTGTCCAGAACAGTGATACCAGTGGCGCCATTGCTGTATAACCCGCACTTAGTCATAGGTAGAAGATGAAAAGAGAAAAAAGAAAACAAATTCATCGTATACTATTCACGGAATCGTGTGTATTATCGACCTGACCTTAGGATCGTTGTCGTAATAGTGCTGTTGGGTGCGAATCCATCTGGAAGTCAAATTGTCCCTGACCATGTAAGAGAGCGCAAAAAAGTAGTCCCTAGCAGTAGCCACGTTCCTGTCCTTGACGAGTGTAAAGTGTAGGTGCCGGTTAAAGGACTTTTTCATCGATGTCACATCCTCCAAGCCAGCGATGGATGCCACGCTGATTTGTCGGCGAAGTTGTTCGATGTTCGCCAGTGGCATGGTGGATGTAATCGTGTTGCACACACGGTCGCGTACAGGGAGGGGCAGTATAATAACACGCGCGCAAACGACTTTGGATAAAAATGGTAGTGGAACTGATTAATATACGAAGACAAGAATATTTAAACTGCAGAAGTAAATTAATTGCACCCGACGACCGCTGATGCTACAACTGACGCGAGAGTGACAATAACTGAGTCGGCGGTACACGTTCACTAATCTCGTCGCGGCCGCGCCATTTAAACGCGACGAAAATATTCACTCTTGGCCAATTCCGGATTAGTGACAGTGTTGACGAATGAAGTGCGAAATATAAAATTGTCCATATCGTTATTTCAGTACACAGTTGAACTGTTCTCGTTGTTCATACGGAAAAATAAATTGATCGAAGATTGCCGGTTTACTGATATTATATGATGTTGTACGGCCATTTTCCTCTAGTACGTAAACTATTTGACAGAAGGTTAACGAAAACAGTATGAAGGTAAGGGACACGTATAGTACACAATATAATATTTTATTAGAAACGAGAGCGGCGATCTATATTTATCAAATGTACAATTTTACCATGCATATATACCACAAGTGCACGCTGAATTTATATTACGACGTTCAGTGCAATAAACAAACTGCTATTAAAAAATAAAAATAACACTAGGTTTTATGTTCCAGCGTTTTAATAAAAACAATTTGAAACCAGGTCATTTATTTAATACCCATCCAGTGATAGTGTTACAGTTTGATTACATTACGTAATTTCAACCAAAACCCTCCATAAAAATGTTGGTATTATATCAACACAAGATATCATCCTCACATTTTAATGATTACTACAGATAGGCACACATTTTTCGATAGGTTCGCACATCTTCTATAACTCACATTTATCATTTAGCTTCATGGGCTTACTCTCCTACATTATCGATTAGTCCTACTCGAATTGAACAATAGTTTCCAAGAGCCTACTGCTGCAAAATAGGTTTTACACTAACATGAATTAATACATTAGCATATATTATCCTACTGATATTATTATAGCCATATAAAAAAGTTGATAAATAATCAAGTGGGACGTAGTAATTTTGAGTAATTCAAATTTTTGAAATTCTTATAATACTAAAATAAATGTACAATATTGTAATTTAATATAGTAATTACTAATTAATATCTTTGATCCTTATAAATTATGCAAGCTTAATTTAAATTATACGGGAAATAAGTTTAACATGTGAAATAATAAATTCAAATAATTTCTTTTTAATTTTCGTACCTAATTAGAAACGGTATAGCTTTTACTTTAGTCATTTGAAGTAGTAAAATACAGTGTGTAGCAAACTTGATTTAATTTAATTTCTTTAAAGTGTATAAAATAAGTACCTACAGGCTTTTTAAATAAAAAAAAATAATGTTTTCTCGTCAAGTAGATGCTATCGATCATCTCATAATTTTTTTTTTTACGTTAATAGATCAATCGCGTTCGAAAATCATTTGTTGATAAAACTGATACGCTCGAGATGACTGTGTCAATATACGAGAATATTTTAGTATATGAAAAACTGAAACTATCTGAATTTATTGGTACTATCAGTCCAATTAAATTAATTACAGTGGTATTCACCAAAATATTACATGTAATACAGCCATTTACGAGTAAGATAATTAAATAATTTGCTTTGTTTAAGCTAAAAATATATAACTTCTAATGTATAAACAACCAAGTTGGTAAATAAATTGTTAAGTAACTACGATGCAGGCGCGTCAATTGGGAGGGGGGCAGACTATGGAAAATGCCCCATTCTAAACAATTTTAAAAAGTCGGCAATTCTTTGTCCTATAATCAAATGCTAAAATCAGTAAATAGTAAATTTTTATTTACTATTTTGTACTTAGAAATCAGATAATATTATCTTTTAAATACATGTTCATGGTTTATTAAAAGTTAGGAAACATTGGCTCCTTCCCGGTTTATGACAATCGTTATTACGCGAACCTTATAAACTTTATTTTTGGTATATTATATATTTCTATATATGTGATCTTTATAAAACAGTTTTCATAATATCAATACCATAAAAGTTGAGCTCATAAGCTATAAAAAACCGTTAAAATCGTTCCTATTCACCTCAAACTATGGTACAATATATTTGAGATACAATTTAATTTTTTTTATAAATAAGTTCTGTGTAGTATTAAATATACAAATAATAAAATTATAAGTATTTATTTAATTAGATTTATATTATTATTCGATTAAGTCTATTGATAAGGAACTTACAGTCTATAGGATAAGTAAATAAATTAATGTTTTACTACCTTTAATGTTATTATTTAATTGGGTAAATTGAAACGTTCCATGTTCTTTATTTATCATCATGACATCATTATTCATTAATAATCCTTACACGTTTTGTTCCGAAAAAATATTTTATTGACAGTCTTTGGTCCATATATATTAAATATTTAAATATATAGGTAACCATAATTTTTTAAATATTATGAAGTCAGTAAATTTAAACAGTTGCCCCACCCTTTCAAAAGTTGAAAAGACGCTCCTACTACGATGGGTATTTAAGAGACAAATATTTTTAACCATGCTTAATAATTTGACTTTTAGTTTTAACTTACTTTCAAGTCAAGTTACGAGGTATTGATACAGAGTGATATCATTAGTGAGAATAGAGTCGTAGTATAATTGAAATAGAAAAAAAATTCTGCAAAATAAAAAATATGGTCGTTCAAGATAAAACTTTCACAAATTAAAAAAATATTTCTAAGAATATTTATGATCTTAGGTGTTATAATATGAGATTTTAAATGAAATTATAAAATATATGTTGATATTTTAATAAATTTAGGTATACAAAATCAATAGAAAAAAATTTAAAAACTGAGACTATAAATAAATACGGAAGGATTATGTTCCGGATATTACCGTAGTAAAATTATACGTAAAAAATCCTTTACATTGTTGCCAGACACTACATTCTAATGTTTATATTTAAAACCACCTTCACCAAGGTTAAAAGTCAAAGTACTATTTTAACCCAACTAAACTATTATTTCAAATTTGTTCGAATTTTTTTATTATTGTTTTCTTAAATAATGTTGAGACCTTTTATCTGATCTACTGATATTTTAGTTACTTTAATTATAACAACAATATTAAAACGATATTTCAACGCACAAAGAAAATACAGAAAGACAGAAGTATCAATGAATATATTTGAACTTAACCTAGCTAGGAATCGTTATTATTAGATTACATTGTTTGTGATTTAAATTTTTTCATATTCTGTCACGATTTTATGTACTGGATGATACATTTTTAATTCGAAGCCGGTCGCACGATACAAATATAATAATATTCCAGGCTAAGCTTTCACTTATTTATTTCTATAAGATATTTGTTTATTTATATATTAATTTATGAGTATTAATCATTTAATAATTTTTAATTTTAATTAAATTTTTTATTAATAGTTTGAAAATATTGTCAGCAATTTATATATAATGGTAAAGATATATTAAAATTTTGTTGTTCCGTAGTTACATGTTTTGTGAAAACCCGATTTTTATTTATTATTCGCTAAATTTACTTATACAATATTAGAATTTGATTGATAAATTGAACTCAAGATAATATTAGTGTTGTGCCATTGGATTGTTCTTATACTATAATCGTAGTTGAGTGTATTAAACTTGTAAAATTTATGTTTGAATAATTGAAAATATTGTATTGGTTTAGTTGATTTTTCAGTACAAAAATAAAAATATTATTCTTGATCATTAATTACCTATGAACCACCAATGAAATACAGAAATATGTTATACTGGAAAATAGTTCTATGATAAAAGATTTATAATTTACATATATTAAAAAAATGAAAATAGTTAATCGTCGAGTTAAATTTTCAACTTATAAGTACCATGAAACCAATTTTGTTCTTTAGTTGTAACCAAAATTCCTTTAAATATTTATTTTTACCTTTCATAAGATTTTTAGCTTTTTTGGATATATTTTAAAGACAAAATTACTTACAATAAATTAAACTTATCAAAACTCCATATTATAAGGTTTCAGTGATAATATTACCCGAACTACTTATAATGAAGTATATCGTATACAACAACCCAATGGCCATTAATCCATAAAATCTATATATCTACATTAAAATATCAACAATATTATAATCAAATCTTGAAACAACTTAAATATAGACAAGAATACCCATAACTCTAAATGATATTAGTATTTTATGTAAGGTTCATATAAATAAAAGTGTATTATACGTTTTATATATATTTAAATTCTTTTAATTTAGATTTTTAAACATTATACTGACTAGAGTTTATTTTACCTTTAGAAATAAGAAACTTTAACTTTTAAAATTTGCCTATTTATTTTGTCTATTACTTTTATGCAATAAAAAAATTTAATTACTAATAATTAGGTATAATAAAAACTCAATCATGAGAATAAATGCAAAGAAAGAAGTTTAGAAACTAAATTATCAAAGAAGAAAATACGTGAATTCTTGAATATATTTTACCCATTTCTATATTAAACAAAAGATTGCGTATTAATTTTAAGCTATCTTTACATACTGTGATAAATTAACAAAACATTGATCTTTCATTTAACATGTTACACAGAAAATATAATAGAAATAATGAAAAAACACTGTGTTACAAATGTTATAGTACCTACTTTTTTAATTTTAAACGAATTATTGTATTGTTTAAATGTAATTACCGCGAACTAATATACCAGAGTAGCTATTAGCCTAGTTAATCAAATTTAGTATGAAAATATTTGAAAAGAAAGTTAAACATCAATATGATATAAACGTTTGATATAAAATTGGTATCCACATGTTCAAAACACTAATAATAGACAACTGTTGGTTACAATATTAGTTTTTTTTTTTGTACATATTGTATTAATAATACGTAATCAAATAATGCGTCGATGAAACTGATAAAAAAATTAATTATTTTTTTGGTTGTTAGAATGTAGTTTAAAATATAATATCTAAATATCTACTCTGTTCTCATTTTGATCGTTTAACATTTGGTCAGATATCATTTTTAAGTAATGATATGTCGAAAAAAGTTAAAACAGAAACGAACTAAACGAACAGGGTGTTTATTTTATTAATAATAATATAAATTAAAAAGAAAATAATCGCTAATAAAATATTAAAATATAAAAGTACGCGATGCGACGGTGTACAGCGAACTAGGAAGTGGTGATAGAAGGAACAAAACAGAGCTAGACCGTTACCGCGGAAGTAAAGATTGGAACAGTCGCTACACAGTCGTGTCGATAAATTTAACAATAATCAAAATGATGATAGTGAACGGGTCGCCACGTACATAAAAATACAAAAAAATATTCATTATAGTAACCCAGTGTTCCCCAAACTTCAAGTATAACAGCCATCTATGGATTTACATTTTTGCGACAACTACTTCATGCTAAGAAGAAATATGAATTTTAAAAAACTTGCATTATGCTTTATTAAAATATGTACTCACTATAAAGAAAAATAGCAGGTTAATTACTTATGATACCCTGCCTCGATAGCTTTTTGAATTTAAGAATAAAATTAGACAATAACGCATAACTTATTTTAAAATATCGCCAAAATTGTAAGTAGAAATTGTATTGATAATCTAAGTTTCACTGTCAATAGATTTATTTTATTTTATTTACCTCGCAACTAAATTAGACTTCTTCTAGAAAACTTTTGTCTAGAAAAAATGTACTAGTCTATAAGTTATAAGAATTACTTTGACTTTAATCTTATAATTTCTAGTTCATTTTTTACTTTTGGGTCTTATAGACACATGACTATTAACATAACTACATTTAATGTATATTGTAGTTTATAATATACATTACATACAATATACATTATATATAATGTTTTATGAACTCCATGGTAATATTTAAAAATATATACCGCCTAAAGTAATAATTTTATGGTAATCCGATACGTATAATACATAATTTAGATACTAAATGTAATCGTATCTAATAGACAATCAAAAAACACTATATTTTTGTTTTATACTTCCAATGATATAGTGTTCGTATATTTAATTTTGTATCAGATGTACCAACATAGATTAACATATTTTTAGTTTCTTTGTAAGCAGCATAATACCTAAGAATTTATATAATTTACTAATGTATTAGTAAAGACCCTGATTATTTTTGTTCATATTAAAAAAAAAATACGGTAGTTTTAGATAAATCAAAGTAACCAAGTGAAATAAAGATAGCGCACGTAATACAAACTATAGCAGTTTTATTTGGAAGAATTTATGAGTAACTGAAACAATAGTCTGGCAGTTATGTATGAGTTGTGACACTTAAGTTTTTTTACGACAGTGTAAAAATTAAGTACCTTATATTGTAGAATACTTTTGAAACAAATTTTCGCGTACAGTGGTTATTAAACAGATTATAGTACATTTTGTAGTCAATATTATCCTGTAAGTATTATTGTTGAAATATTTTATTTTAATTTATTGATTAGATTAATATTATGTATATAAATAATATTATATATATATATATATAATATGTATATAAAAATATACATAATATGTTTATACGCGAGTATATTTATTATATTATACGTATGATATATAATCTAATATAGTATATAGCTTTCATGTAAATTTATTTGCTTTATTTTTCGCTATACAAGTTTTAACAAGGAACAAAATTGTTGCTTTTCATATATACAGATGAAAATAATTGATTGTAGACAATTATTTCAAATATTAAAAAAAAATTAATAACTTGTTGTGTGGTATATTTGAAAGATCTCCCTTCAAAATTACCCCACTGATAAATTATTTGCCTACATAAGAAAACAAGAAACTCAGCGAACCCATTTAAAATAAAATCTTTGAAACGAAATAGTACATCAAAAATGAGTGATTTTTTTTTTTTTTTTATAGAAACAATTTTTAAATTTTCACCGATAGTTGTAGCTGGCAATTTGATAGTTATATTGTTATTAAATAATATAAATCCCGAGATAAATACCATACAAAAAACTGTGAAATTCCTATTTTTTGTTTTAAAATTTTAAAATACAAGAGTTATAATACATATTATACATACATTTATCTCAATGTAATTAAGTGCAATTCACCGGATTTTCGATTCAGTTAAGTTTCTAAAAATAAAATGTTATTTTATTTTGTTCGATATTTTAGTGTCAGATACTGTATATGTATGTAGGTATGGCACCATAGAATTTAAGATTCTGAGTTAAGTTATAAAAATGTATTTAGTATTTTATAAACTAAAAATAAAAATACCAAGCTTTTTGCATAAAAAAAAAAATCTAAAAGACATAAATTCAAGCAAAATAATAATACTGTATGTCGGCGAATTACGAGATAATATAACATATTTAGAACTATAAAATGATTATAGTTAAGCTCGGTAATACATTTATTTTATTACTTTGTTTTTACTCAATAATCGTAAAAACTGCCCAATATTCGACCGATATGAAATCCACCGAAAATAATAATTAATCGGCTATTTAATATGAAAATAATTTTCCTTCGTTATTATTATGAAGAATTATTGAATTTCTTAGCATTCCATTAATTTTTTTTTCCTTTCCAAAGTATAAATGTCATCAGGCTATAAGCGCGTACCATTTTTAACATACCAACTTCCAAGCTCTAAATTAGCATCAACGTTGGACCAAAACGTTTTTGATTTATTTCGATATCTCCATTAATTTGTAAGTTAAACTGATTATATCAGAGATTACCAACTAAAGAACCGCAGTCCACATTGGAAATTTGACAATTGCATAACTTTAGATGCTTTTTACGTTTTTAATATATTTTATAATATTTTTATACGTTTAGACTACGGAAATAATTTAGTAATGTATAAAACGGTATAAACAATTTTCGGTGACTCCTGAATTATATTATTCAAAGTTTAATGGAAAAAAAGACTAGTTTTTAGCTTTCATTATTTACAATAAATTAGAGTAGGTAAATTCAATAATAAACAACCAGTAATTATTATCAATTCTTAACAATGTAAATAATCCGATGGACTATTGAGAAAAGAACTCTAAGTATTTAAAATGTATTGCTATGCTTTTATCTATTTTCTATAAAGAGCATAGACAGTTAAGATATTCATTTTGGATATCGTAAATAATTTTTCATAATATTTAAAAATGTACAAGAGATATTATGATTAACTATAGAACCATACATTTAAATACTTAATTTATAATAATTTAATAATATAATGTATTCAACGGATCTAGTGAGTTAACGCTCGAAATGCAGTCACAATATGTGTTCGTAAAATTTTGTTCGTCAACTAGTGAATTTATCTTATTTATTTCTAATAAAAAAATTAAAAAAACGGTTTTTGATTTTTCACCAATAAACCCTTTTTATTCGTATACTAAACGTTTTATCGACGTTAGCCCAGGGATGTGAATTATTGAATGTTGGATCAAAAAAGCACATGTGCATTATGATGAACCGGTGCTCGACGAGGAACTTACCTTTGGGTTCAACGCGTATTGGTACTGCTGTGTCCGGATCCACCGGGAGACCAGGCTGTCCCGGACTGAGTACGCCAGCGCGTAGTAATAATCCCGGATGGTGGCCACGTTCCTGTCCTTGACCAGCGTGAAGTGCAGGTGCCGATTGAACGTCTTCTTCATGGCCACCACGTCCTCGACGTCCGCGATGGACTTGACGCTGATTTGCTTGCGCTTCTCCACTTTGGGTTTGCTGACCATTTTGTTGTGACGATCGTGGCGATCGTGACGTATAGAAAGTCGAACGCTCGCGTCGGTGATGTGCAAGATGACAGGAGTGAAAATTAACGTTTTACCAGTAGGTTAGTGTCAGAATAGCCGTTGGGTTACACTGGATACAGATGGTTGTACCGCGTAGTCGTGATCACCGGCCGGTCGGTAGAGTACTGAGTAGTGAACTGCGATCGCTTGATTAGTAGTACTCCACCGCGCGGCAATGGCGGGGGCGAATCGACCGCAAAAGTTCCGCCGATAACTGGGATTCCGATAAAACGGTTCGACGATCACACCTGCACGTCAGCGGCGGCCTTCCGAACATCGATAACGTTCGGTGAACGTGTCGCAGTAACATACGATAAGCGTTACCTGAGACCCGGGTACTGGAACATGCCTGAGTGTAATGTACCTGTATACACACCAGCGTGAAGTGTAGGTGGACGCAAGATTAACTTCTCAGAGCCGGATTTTGGAAATATAACGCTCAGGGCTTATTAAAATTCAGCACCCTTACTTAGATGAAAGTACGGGATACGTCAATGACGTTTTTTATTTTTCATAAACTAAAGAGTTCCCTTACACCAACAGCGAACTGGGGCAAGCATACCAACTTGCTCCCCTTTTCTAGATCCAACACTACCACTTCTAAAACGGTCAACAGCACTTTCGTGGACAACACGTGCTTTAAATTGGGCCTGCAAGCGTTGCACTGTAAATCTAAAAAACACTGTGCGGTTTTCTCTCACGTTCATTCCATTTGAACTACATCCCGAGGGACATTATACAAGAACAGTCGAAATTCACATGTTTTTAAAATATTATTATAAATAACGGCTATGATAATACTACGTTATCATCCACTAAAATAGTGCTTTCTATAATAATATAAACGATAAATTTTGTAGCATAATGTTTTCTAAATTTTTTTGATAATTTTGAAACTTTTGAAATGCTTTCGAAAATATGAAAAATACTTTATGGCCTAAGTATAAAGTAAAAAAGAAAATACAATTTAAAAACTTATGGAGCACGTATCAAAACTATTATCTTGAATTTTTGTGAAAAAATAATTATGTAGCATCATTGATTGCATACTATTATTAGTATTTATAATTAATGGCAGCATCTTTGTCCTGCAAACAATCTGATAAAGCACAAAATTATATGAATAGTTTCTTGTAACATATTAAAAGGTTAGAAATTGACTGAAACATGAAAATACTAAAAAAGTTTTTATACTTCCAATTGATTTTCTAAATTACTACAAAAATCGACAAAAAAATAAAATTACGAAGAAATAATATTAAGCAATATTTTTTTTAATATATGCTTATATTAACCAAATTAACCTATTATTAACCTAGATGTTGCTTTTCAGTTATTATTTAAGTGTCGATTTTGTTACATTACCACTATTATATTTATTATATATATTATTATTATTATTATTATTATTATTATTATTATTATTATATTCCAATAATTTAATGAAGAATTCACCTTAGTACTTATGGTTGATATTTGATATGAATTTTGGTTTTCAAATGGCACATTACAACTTTTATTTATAAATACAAGTCATTATTTTTCTGAATAGATTATACATCATTAAACTTTAAAGTTATATTTAAAAAAAAATTGTTTATTAACTATCATAATTTAAAGTTTAACTTTAATCTAATCTGTTAATTTTTTCATATTGTGTAATTTATAATAACTTTAAACGTATATATAATGTTTATAGTATATTCTAAAACCAGTTAATTTATTCATTATATACTGCATTTACGGCTTTTGAAAAATATATTTCTTCAGATTTTCTACAGTATTAAAATTAGAATTTAAGCGATAATGATGTTCACCTATAGAAACGATGAATCATTTTTAATTTGATAAACCATTGACATTGGCATTATGCAACTTATATAAAGAACAAAGATCAACATATACTTAAGTTATGCATGTAAAAATAATTTGACCCGTTACTTATTTAATTAAAATATGTATAAAATATATTACATAGGTACATGTTGTCCATTTACAAAGCGAAACGTAAATTAATTTTGGGTATAGATGCACTTGCACATTGCACTTTACACAAATTTCTGTTCGATATGATCTTGTGAACCGTGAACTATTAATTATTTTATAACTAATAGGTATAAACAATGGAATTTATTAGATTTGTACTATGATAAAATATTTCATATATTGTTAAAACACTAATATAATTTTACGTATAAATATATACAAATTATCATTGTTATAATCATATACAATATATTATTTCATATTTAGCATTTAAAAGTTCTCAGAAATGTACCAGAGATTATATTATTAAATTACTTTGATCTATAAACTTCGCAGAGTCAAGTACATAAGATGCCATAACACTAAGTAGATTAAATAAAATATTTATCTCATTTAACCTATATTTTTGATATTTTGATTAAAAATTGATAAAAATAGATCACACTTTTGGGAATCAAGGAATTTAGGAATATTTCAACACAACTACATTTTTAATTTATTAGTCAATTGTAGTTATAATTATTAATGATTTTAATAAATCTGATCTTCACGAATGACATTATAGATTCCAAACGGATATATTACTTTTATATAAATTATACATTGGACTTTCTAAATTAATAACTACATTTATGTATACTAAAAAAAATGGCAACGTTTGAAATAAGTATTGTGATTTTTTTAAGTAGGTATTTTCTAAAATATTTTAAAATGGTATCATAAAAAAAACAATTGTAAAAGAACGATAAAATGATCTATTTTATTAACAAAAATTATTATAGTTATTTTCTTATAACTTTAAAAGATTAATAATAAACTTTAAAACATAACATTTTCAAAAATAAGAGCATTATTCGGTCGTCAATATTTTTCAATAATAGTATGTGATTCCTGATTTAAATTTAATTCTTTGAACATATAGAATCCAAAAATAAATATGTTAATAAACATTTAAGTACCTATAAAATAATCATAGAAATAAAATGTAAAAATCGATTTAGAATTTAAAAGACGCAATATGTATAAAACACACTCGAATAAAAATAAAATATTATACATCTACATTTTGTTAATGTGAAATCGTACATAAAATAGATACAATCAGCATATATATATATTTTGTTCGTGAATGTACCTAAAAAAATTTATAATGTTTTGACATTTTTTCAGTTTTTAATTTACAACTATAATTTCGCATAACCAGATAAAATAGAATATCCAAACAATTGAATATAAATAATTTAAATGCCATAAATTGAAACAGTCTCGATTTTATTTGCATTCGTATAGGATGGGTTGCTTTTGTTTTGTTGGAACTTCACGCGGAAATTGTAAACATTTACATTTTTTGGATGAACACAACAACCAGAAAATATTGTTTACTCGCATAAATTCATATTATTAGTATAGGTGTTATTTGTAGTACTAAATCATACGTGGTATAGAGTATAATATTTTCTAATTTACTTATAGCTTATTTCATAATTATACTCGGATGTTGTCTGTGCGTTTATTTTGTATCTACGTATTGCAGCACACTCAGTTTAAAAAAAAAAAAATTACTGTTTCAACGTATATTCCAAGACTATATGTTCAATTTTTATTACGTAAGTTATTTTCAGTAGTTTTAATTTTTATTTTATTAGTTTTATATGCAGTAGAGAACCTAGAACTATACATTAAACCTACCTCAGTGGTAACTAAAAAAAGTTCACAAGTTTTGAAGTTTTCAATCAAAATATTAATTACAAATAAATAAAAAATAAATACGTATGTATAATAACAATTATGCATGTATTATTTGTATATTGTAGGTATATTTGTATTGCATGGTATCCAACTGTTATAAAAAATGGTGATAATAATGATGACCTGTAAATTTCTCTGTAGTTAGACCTAAAATAATAAAGTAAAAAAAACATAAAAGAATTTTTTTTTAAGAATTTAAAAGAATTCTTAACTAATGATTGTTAAAATATTTAATTTGGAGCCATATTTTTACAGAAGCAAAGCTCACAAAAAGATTCAGAAGCAGCAGCCATATGCTGCATTTTATGTCCTTGCACATTTTACTTACTCATCTTATTTCAATTAATAATGTATTGGCATTTGAATAATTTTAATATTGTTACTTTATCTTTATCATTCAATTACGTATAATATTTAAATAAAGAATCTTTTCGTGTATTTCATTATTGAATGTGTATATGGTATATGTTTAGTAGTTAACGAACGATAAATTTATAAATAGAATTTCTTAAAAATTAATTGTCATGACCACTTGTAGGCCACTTCTGGATTAAACATTTTGGCACCCTCACAGTATATAATAATATACATCTATGATAATATTAAACATAATATCTTAACATAGTACTACCACTTATGTTGCTTTTCCAAGGCATAGTTCAAATAATATTTGAAATAATTAGCATAATAATTTGTTAATCGCATACAATCATCCCTAGTAATAACTTAATTAATTGAATAATAAACAGTCAGACTTATTTTCAAAATCACTTTAAGTTTATCTATAAAAGTCACGACAATCTTATTAAATTAAATGTTTTAGAAACAAAGTAATAACCAATGAAGATACAATGAAGATAAGATTTTATGCAACCACGGTGCGCGATGCAATATATTTTAAGTATCAATAACAATAGAAAATGTTCATGGTAAATACTATAATGATCTATGTTGTGGAAAAAAATTGTAGTCACCAAATCTTCCTATATCACCGTTTATGTGTTTATTCTAAAATCAATGGTACTACACAAATGTACCTATAATGTAGGTGAAAATCATTAATAATAAAATTGTATACAATTTTATTTATTTTTACCTCTTTATCGCATAGAGCAAAACGTAATTAAATCATATTATAAAACGCTAAATTATTAATATTAACATATAACACCATAGAAATCTCCTGATCTCCGAATTCTTCAATACTAATATTCCACGAGATTCCAGAAGGTATCTAAAATGAACGTGGTATCGTGACCTTTTGCGCTAACAAATAATATTTAATCACTGTACAAAATGTCATCAGTTGAAGGCTATTTTAACTGCTTATTTCCGCGTCACTAGATTCACCACTACTTATACAAACGTATTGTAAAAAAAAAAATGTTTACAGATTGTATACACAAAAAATATATTTTTCATAAATATAAATACGTTATATTTATTATTATTATTATTAGTACCAAATAACTTTCACAAAATATTTATAAACATTTAACTATTAACATTGTATTAGAATAGAGTTATACAACTCTAAAAATTCGAATATTAAATTAGTTCAATTTTGAAATATTTATTACTATAAATAATAAAAGTCAAACTGATTGCTATACATTTTTCATAAGTGCGATTACATTTTAACCTACTAGGAATATCGTAGAAAATAACAAACATTTAAAAAAATAATTTTTCTCGTCCAAATCCAGTATTCAAATTTAAACTCAAATCGCATTTCTTTGAAGTTTCATCCAAAATTCTTACATATGATATATACATATTTACGTTTAATTGTTGTATTTTAAAATAAATAAACAATGTTCTAACTTTTTATGTTTTAGAGGTGGTAAATGTAATTACCTTAGGACGTTTCCACTGGGTGTCCCGGCCATCAACACACACACACCCCTATAAGCCCGTCGTTGCGCGCAGAATAATATAAGTATACCAAGGCGTGCGATCCTTTTTCACGGATGAAGGGCTGCCGAAAGTGCCAGCACTCGCCGGTCGGTGACGACGATTCCGTGTGTCACATGGCCGAGATGAACAAGGGCGCGCAGAAGATCATGTCCGAGCTACCGGACCAATTGACAGCGATGTTCACGTGGACCTTCGCGACCGCGGTATTCGTGTTGTTTCTGGTCACGGTCACTTACGTGGTGGTCGGGTTCGGTACGTCCGTGTCCCCGGTAGCCGAAAACACCGAACCCGGGGCGGCGTCCGCGCTGCACCTAGTTTCCAAGCGAGAGTCGTGTTCGGCGTCCAACGACCCGATCGCTCCGAAATACGCGGTCGCCGAGTGCCGGGCTGCGTTGTCGACGGCGGCGGCGGACGCGGGCGCCGGCGACGTGCATTACGTGTTCACAAACAGCACGACACACGTACCACGGCTGTTGATGTGCTCGCTCGAGTCCGTGTTGAGGGCTGTCGGCAACCGGAGTCGCGTCAACGTGTTCATCGTGCAAGGTATCGGGTCTGAACGGCCCGTGTTGAGCGACGACGAACGGTCGGTAAGTGAAACCGCTTCTGACAACTCTAATCGAAATCATATGTTACACACATTGCACGTATAGGCAGTGCTCGAATTGAAAAAATCAGATCGGATTATTACTTATAAAAAAAAAAATTTTAAAAAAGGCGTACTTGCCATTTTTTTTACCACGAATTAAAGTGTGGCCTCATCAAATAGGAGTACAACACAGTTTTTTAACAAATCAATAAGGTTCTTAGTCGCCAACCTCTATTCAAGTCCTCCTTATAGATACTGAGATACAATATGCAAAAATCGATGCATAGCCGCGCTAATTCGCTCTTCGTCTGGTGTTCGAGTGCTGGCAACCGAAAAAAATAAGCGTACACGTGATTGCAACATTGACCAGTCGACAGCTTTTGTTTTCGTATTTTACACTATCCCTGATTAGTTTCTACCATAGTATAATCTCGCGAGTAGTACTGAAATCCAAAGTTGGTGTTGTGTATACGTGGTTTACTAAGTTGGCAAATATACTAACTATACTGTAGTGATATGGTTTTAACCTATAATTTCAAATCGTATACTGTTTATGTACCATTATTTTCCAGAGTAATATTTAAACACTTTTTGATCGGGGAATAGTGCTTTTTACGACTTCCTACGAACTCCACAATTTACTATAATAGTAACAAAAAATCTTTCAAAAATAATCATAAAATTGTATTCTTCTTATGTTTGATATTAAGCATACGTACGAAAATTCGCCCCACGCCAATTATTTCCATTAATATGTCATTTTAGGTTGAAACAATGTATTTGTTTTTTGGCGACGCATTGTTATACGTCGTGTAAGTAGTTTGATTGTATACATTATAGCTGATAGCCCTTTCATGCATAACCTTCGTTATTTAGGTATGTCAAATTTTTTTTTAAGTTAATTTAAAAAAAATGACAACGTATACTGAACCTATTATAAGGTGATAATTATAAAAAATAATTTATATTACGGCTGTGGTGATGTATTGTTTCAAATTATATTCAATGGCTGTTGCTTTCAAAATTATACTAGCTAAATAACTATTATACAAAAAAAATTACTTAAAGATATATTATTTTAATGAGGTTTTAATCAATGTAAATCGACAAACAAATATTGTATAATTTACAATGAGCTTTACAAAACCACGATTATAATTTTTTTTATTTGCCTTTATTAACCTAACCTAACATAAAGGTAAGCATTTATTTTCACCGACAAAGCTGGATAATTAAGTTAATATCTTATAATTGATAAATATTGTTGATTGCAATATAAATAGGTATCTGTTTTAATTCAAACTATCATTGAAAAAAACAACAATGCGCACGAAACATGCATTTCGACTAAAGTCTTAAATTTTAATACTTCTATCAAATATTTATCTATCATAAAACGTATAGATGATTTCAGTATCACGTTGACTGCCATGTGTACATTATATTGTACATAGCAAAATTGCTGTTCATATATCTGTATAGGTATATTTTTGTATGTTAACCAAAATATAAAGAAAAGAACATTTTTAAAATGTATTTTTTTGTTTTTGGTATAGTTTTTTATTGTATTTTTAAAAAACGCTATAAAGCAAGTTTGGCAATTTATGTCATGTACACAAAAATATGAGATATATATAGACTCCTGGGTAATGTATGAAAAAAAGTACGAGGTAGTTAACGTGTTTAGGATACAACAATAAATTTATTATATTTTATATATAATTAAATATATTTAATATTTATAATTTAATATATTTAAAACAATAAAACCCATAAAATACGCTAAAAACATTTAGTTAAATATTTAAATTCATTATGAAGTGATTGTACATCGGAGGTAATGATTTAATTTCTGAAAATTCAAAAACTTTAATATTGGTAATAATGTTTAAAATTGATTTAATAATGTATTATTAACAAGATGTATATAAACTAAATTGAAAATAAATCAAAAACAAGTTTACTTTCTTACTGATTTTATCAATTTAATTGGTTTTCAATTAACGAAAATATAAATATTCATTATCATTAATTTTAATAAATTTTAATAAATTTTAATTAAGTTGTGAAACCAGAAAATTCGAACTGGGTCATTTTCATTATAACTTATAAGTAGTATTTGAACTTTTAACTGTTTGCATTTTTTCATTTCTAAACATATTTATCATATTTCTAATAAATATATCCTATGAAACTAAATGTATAGTAGTACAGTCAGTGGCTATTTTTTCTGATTTTCCGTATTGCACATATTTAAGTTTGAGCTTACTTATTATCAATTATGGACTAAATGGTGAATTTATTTTATTATTACAAACAAATCACTTTATAATCCTCATTTGTTTTAAGTGGTCTAACTTAAAATGTTAGTAAAATATTTTTAAATATTTACTATATTTATAGGCTTAATTATAACCGGGGGCTGGGGGCGCTGGAGGCCTTGAGATTTATACTTAAAACAGGGGCCCAGACAGGGGCGAATCTACAGTTAGAGAACTGTGGTTCTGGCTATTTCAAGATACCACTTATTAGAGCTGAAAATAGATTATAAATGTATTCCTTGTAACAAAAAAAACAATATGATCATATATTTGTTTTCTAATTTTATTCATAATTATCATTGTAAAAATGTGTCTTATTTTATGGTATCTTACATGGTGTCTAGTAAAGAGATGTTTTATTTTAGCATACAATTAAACCAGTGGTATTATTTGAAGGGAGGGGTGTAAACTGGGAAATTTGCCAGTTTAGTTTTAACTTCAACTTATATTCGGCACACTTAAAAAATATAAGAAGTTTTCAAGAAGCTAATTTTGTTAACAAATATTAATTGTGGGTCACCTGACCTTCTAAACCTTTTCTAAATTCGCCCCTGGGCCCAAAGCAACCATGCTAACATGAAAAATCGTAGTAATTATTTTCCTGAATTAAATTAAAATTAGGTTATTCTTATCTTAATATTGAAATATTGTTGATGTGATTTAATAGAACTAGAATTGCTATAGTTTCTACATTTTTGTTTCCTTAATCAAAATCGAACAAATATAAATACTTTGAAAAAATTAATAAAATGTTGTTAACAGTCACATAGGCAAAACACGTATTTATTTTATAGACAAAATCATGGTGTTTTAAAATCAAACAAATATTGAATGAATAGTTTTGATAAGTAAATAATTGATATTTGATATTAAACACGTTTCGAAACATGCATCATTACATAAAACCTTGTACCTTGGTCCATTTCATATATTTTTACAACAGTAAAAATAAAAATGTGAAACACGTCCAGTTTTTATTTACTCATTGCCTTGTAGGTCAGAGATAGCCAGTCCAATGATTAATAGCAGTTGGTTTAAATTAAATCAAGTGTTGAATCAGAATACATCTTCGATTAGGTATACTGTCTTATTGTTAATTTCACGACAGGTTTAAGGAAAAAAAATAAAAAATATAGTATAATGTTATACGTTTATTAAAAATATTCTTTTCAACTTTTAACTTCAATACTATTAAAATTGTTTACTTAATATATTTTTTTAGGTGATAAAGCTCGTAACGCATTACGCTCAGTACTTTATCTATAAAATGATAAAAGGAATTACTATGTATGACCACTATTTTATTATTTCATCTTCTGTAGCCTTATCAGTTATAATTACAAGGTGACATTCATAAAAAATAAAAAATTAGGCACAATTTAAATATTAGCATTTACTTGCAATCATTTTAAACATGTAAATCTTAACTAATCTTAGAAAAACAAGACTCATCCGTTTTCCGCTTTAAAAACAGAACTAGTTATAAATTTACAAAGCAATGAAAATCGTTTTTTTTTTCGAAATAGTTCATAATTTATAAATTGTAAATCACGATCGCTTATTACTAATTGTTCCTTATTTTATAATTTATCGTTTATTTATGAAATATGATGTACTAGTACACAATAACACACATACACGGGAATTATAAGCTCATAAATAATAAACGTAGTAGTTAGACATTTAGTACATACACATAACTCGTTTAAACAATTTTTATTTGATTTTTAAAAAATTAATTAATTTAAAATGTTAATTTACATCAAACAAAATATGGAGCAAACTATTATTGTGTAATTATATTTACGAATGTAATGTTTTATAAATATATCTGCATTTTATAAAGAAAAGTATTATGTAATATTATTAATTAAAATATGAAAAACAGTCACCAAGCGACGGGATGCAATCAATTTATAAGATAACAGTTAACTGTTTGATGGATTTAAATGAGGCTCGCACTAAATTAATGTAATAGATCTATAATTGTATAGAATAAAACTCTATTAATTATAATAATAACAATCATATTCAAAGAGCATACAGAAATAATTGCTTTAAAGATGTCCATATTCTGCATTACCACAAATTATTAATTTTTTCATTATTAGAATATTGTGGGTTTTCTTATTAATTAATTATCTCTTTTAAAATGTAAACATTTTTAATTTTTAATGGTAAATCCACATTCAATAACCTTTAATATTATAATAAATAAAACCATTATTATAAATTGAACTTTATTATCTTCGTTGTTAGTCATCACGATTAATACTTCTTGTACGAATAAACAATATATACGTATATTGACATATAAAGCGCATAAAATGTAAGTACATTGAGTTTATAGTGCTATAATACACTAAATATCTTTCATTAAATCAATAACATAACATGCGGTTGAACGTGTATTGACTTTAATAATTTTCCTCTTGACTCTACACACAGTGGTGCCGACTCGGAGTTCAAGTGACCAGACCATATTTTTAGGATGGTGGGTGGTTCCATGCTAGATATAGATATTTGGATTACTATTTAAACGTTTAAATACCTAAATGCTGTAAAAAATGTTAAAATAGGTTAAACATTCCTGGGAGGGGCTAAATTCTCAATCCTTGAAGTACGTTCTTAAGTGAGGTGGGTTGTAATTTGTAAATTGGATAGATATTGACCAGACCATTAAACATTTTGTTCGGTGCCATACAATAGGAGGAATTGAGAATTTACTAAGAAAAAACGAAAAAAAAAAAATATATCAAAATTTAGATAAAAATGTAATAAATAATCTTATTTTATTATTATTTTATTTTATTCTTATTAGATTATCTTTATCTTATATCACTATCTACTGTTTCAAATATATGCTTATCTCGTGTTATATATGTACTATATATGTGTTATGTACTATTAGAATCCAAAACAATAGTTATTTAAAATAATATTAAACATTCTATATCAATGAACATTTTGGAGTCGCATTGAATACCAACATATTGGGCTATACCCCTAGATCAAATCATAAATGATTAGCGGTTAATCGCACTACAAATAAATGTATTTCTAAACACGATGCATGGTTGTTTCCATAAGGTTCCATTGTTGTCGAGTCTGGCCAAATTGCAGAAGGCCGCGTACGTCGGCAACCGGTTGAACGTGGTGCACGTGGGTCTAGAACTGTGCCTGGATTGTTCGCCGTTCCGAGGCATGGACCTTAGCAACAGCCCTGGGTTCGCGGTGTTCGCGGTGCAGTTGGCGCTGCTCTGGGAATTCGGCGGCACCGTGCTGGACACCGGCGTGATGGCAATCCGCGGACAAGTGTACCGGGCTCCCGGTCCCGCGGTCGAGTATGACGACCGGACCATCAGCTCACCGGTCGCATGCCACGCGTTCGTGTACGATGCGATGATATGCGCCCAGGATCACAGGCTACGCCACGGCAAATCGTTCGCGCCGGATGCCGCGGTGAAGATAATGAACATGACCGCGGCCTCCCAGACCGGACGCGCTCGTTTTTATTACGCAAGGGCCGTCGACGATGATCTGTACCTAAACGGTTTTTGTCCCAACGTACTGCAGCAGTTACACGTTTGAAAAAGTACATACGCATCTCAACTGTAATCCATTTTTTTTCGTCTCATTCGCCCATTGAACATATTTTTATAATTATTATTATTATTATTATACAGAAGATTGTATATCGATAGTGTATATTGTAATTCTTAAATAACCTAATAATACTCAAGTGATAAATGAGTATTTATATATTTTATACCTAAATCATTTTTTGTCTTTATTTTTCTAATCACTGTATGATAAAATATAATAAAAAGGACTATTGATTATTTTTTTAAATCAGATATTATTATTAATCCAACTACGTAGTTACAGCGCATTGATATCATTTGGGAGCTACTCAGGTTACACAAAACGTGACTATTGCCTTTGTTCAAATTGTTTTATTCAATAACTTGATGAAGTTCAATGTTTGTTCGTTAGCTACTATTTATACTCATTAGTGTTTGGATAAGTCTCATTTTTTGATAAATCCTCTGTAAATACTTCGGTAGACGATTATATTTTTTTCTGATTTTCTGAGATAATAATTTTATAACGAAGAAAAATCGATTTAAATTCATGAATTATTATTTTATTATATTATAATTATTATCACTACAAATGTGACCAAAAATTATAAATATCATCATTGTAGTATAGAATTACTCATATTTAACTAATTACATTTATTGAAACCATAATGATCAAAACAAATGGCCGTTGTTGAAATTGTTTACGATCAATAATTTAAAAAAAAAAAATTAAGTTTACAAATTTTTTTTCATAATGTTCAGGTAAAGTACACTCATACATCATATATATCAGCAAAAAATAATTATTATAATAAGAATAATAATATGATTCTTATATATTATATTTATACATATAGTAAGTAAATATAATAAATATAATCAAGTTGTTGAGCGGCGTTGTGTATAAGCAATTATGATGCACGCACGTACACAGTGCCGTATTTCATAGTATACACTATAAGCTTGTGCTTAGGGCGGCAACTAATTTTTAATTTTAAATTTTTATTATATATTACTAGAACTAAAATAAATGCAACTATCTAATAATAAAATGTTTTATTTTATTAAAGCCGATGGGTACTAGGCACTATCTATTAAATTTTAAATATAATTTAAAAATTAACTATTTAATTCTTTTATTTAATTAAAAATATTTTATAATATATTTTTATAATTAAGTTTTTCATTTGAGTGTATGTATGCATTTTAAAAATAGCTGTACCTATATTTTTATTTTACATCATTAAAATTTTAAATAATAAAGGAAACAACTTTAATTGTATGCTTCAATAACATTTTTTAGACTAGAAAAATATTTACATTAAAAAGCGGCAATTTATTTAGTGCTTAAAAATAACAATGTTACCACAATAAATACCACATTACATTTTATAGTTTCTGTATCGGAATTTTTAAAGAAAACTGAAAATCTAATAATTTTACAATAGTTCTATATTAATAGTAAGTTAATATCACTTTTTATTTTATTTTTTTCATTAAAATTTAATCAATATATAAAGTTGAAATATATTGTTGTCCATAAGTTTTGCTTACAATGATTATAAAAAAAATCGAGCGTAAGTCAATTAAAAAATTTTTGCGAGCGTTTAAATTTTTAATTTTTACGAGTCTATATTCACATCCGCATTACACTCTAGGACCGAGACCCACCCCAACCCTAAAGAACGTCTGTACAGCAGAGCGAGTTCCCGATTTTTACTTTTAACCACCAAAAGTACCAACTAGATTCACTTTGCTACCAAAAACCACATTGAGTTTGTAAAATTGAAGTACTTTTACTGCCCTAAAACATGATATACACACAAAAAAAAATACACATCTATACTGAATAATATTTTATTAGCATCAAAGTATCATTATTATTCTACTGCTATAATATTGGTATGTAATTGATTTCTTATCGCCCGTATAAGTCACAACTAAGGTTCTCGGAAATCCGTATAGCGTACTTACGCGCAGTAACATGTCACTATATTTTGCGATTCAAAATGTTTCAACTCCTATGCAGCTATGAAAGTCCCAAAAAGCGGAAGAAAAATTCACCAGTACCAAAAGACCGATTTTAATTTTGAAAACATTTAAATTCATTTTTCTGTTTTCTAGGTTATGTAGGAAATGAATTTTCGATTTTTTTCTATTGTCTAATTATTATAGAGCAAATTCATTTTCTTTTTTTCCAATATCTTTTACTTTATTGTTACTAAAAAAAAATAAAATAAAAAATGAATTTCCTACTTAACACAGACAAGGAGTAAACAAATCCAAACATTTTTTCAGAATGAAAATTAGACTTCTAGAAGTGTATTTTTTTTTTTTCTTATTGGTCTAAATGCACGAAAAAACAACCCACTTTCAACCGCCTTAAGATTTAACTTCTTCAAAAATTAATAGGAATAAATGATTATTTATGATTTTTCAATTTTAATTACTTTTTATGCATTACATATGTTTTTATGTTTTTGTATACTGTAGTATGATAAATATTATTAGAATATTAAATTAAATTGTGATATTATTTTATTTTTTAAATTACATAATTGATTTAATATTATATATTTTAGAATAGATAGAATAACATTCTCTAATAATAATATTAAGACTGTATCAGACATATATAAAAATCACAACATACATAAATTAGGTCTGAATGAAAAATATTTAGAGGCATCTACCATAATTTATTTATATGCAGTGATTATTTTCAGAATCATTAAAGTTTATCAATACATCAACTTTTTATTTTTTGTCAAGAGTTATGATGCATTAATTGTAACATAATGCTTTTTGATGTAACATTTAATGTTTTAAATGTTAAACAGATAAATAAAATAATCAATAGGAGAGAAACCAACCAATACTGTTACTATATAAACAATATATTTATATACACCTTAGATACTCTAAAAACATTAACTCAAACTAGAGATATTTTATAGAAAATATTATACCTATAAGTAATCACTAATTACTTTTATATTAGGTAGACCAATTAATGCACATTATATTGAAATGAGATATGGTAGTAACAATAAAATGCTTTGATATCAGATAATAAATTAGAAAAAAAATAATAGGATTTTAAATAAATAGCATAAATTTGTCATTGAAAAAAAAGAAATGTATAATTATAATCATTAATATACTGCATCGATTTGTTGGTATTGCCTGTTTAAAATTAATGTTATAAAAGTGTACAGCTGTAATAATTCTTAGGAAAAAAAAAAGAGACAGTGTGTGTTTATAGCCTATAACAATGTAAATTATCTTTTATATAATATATAAACATATATAATACATTCAATATTAACCGTTTGAATTATAAAATAAATGTTAAACCTACCTATTAATTTATATAGAAATAGGAAACTAGAACAAAATCTATATAAAAAGTAATAAATTTAACGCATTTAACAGAGTAAATATAAGTATACACAAACAGACAGCGTTGTTTAAAAGTTAAGCTAGCTTCATTCGCTATATAGCTGGAGGAATAAAAATATAGGTAAAATTAGAGGGCGGAATAAAATAATGAAATGAGCAAAAGCTAAACCAGATCAAATGATAACAGAAAGAACTCACAAACCTTTACATGATTACATTATATAGTGAAATAATATTGACGAAAGACATTCTACATACATTTTCCCAAATTATGACAAATAAATTTAAAATGGGAATAATAATATGTATACTTTTTTTAATAATAGTATAAATGTTTTAATATTACTGGGACGACATGGTCTAATTTATATATAAAAAAAAATTTTAGCCTAAAAATTGTAATCATCGACCACAAGAATATAATGGGGCTTTATAAGAAAATTTCAATATCTATTCCTTCTTCTTTGCCTCAGGAGACTTTTTTCCAATTGGAATAGCAGCTCGCACTCTATAAAACATAAAAACAATTATAATGTAATTTATAAAATTTTAATTAATATTTATAGAATTTTTTTTTACTTATTTGTCAATTCAGCAATTTTACTCCTAACTACATCAATATTTTGATCAATTTGTGTCTTGTTGTTTTCATACACCTTAGGTAATGTGAATAAAGCAACAAATCCTGAACAAAAATAAATATTAAATTAAATGCAAAATAAAAATTAACCACTGGTACATACCAATAATGATGAGTGTAAGACCATTGAATAAAGCACCAACATACGTCAACACCCAGAGGATACCAAAGAATTTGGCAGAGTCCACCAAATCTTCAGCAAGTAATAAACGGCGAAGTTCCACCAACACTGCATTAATGTGTACAACAGCTAGTTTGCTCAATTCTTCAGCTTTTTCCTGAGGTAACCTGATATCTAAGTCCAAATATTCTCTAAAGAAAAAGAAAATTTAATATCATAAATGCAATTTATTATTTAATAAATAACTAATAAGAACTTACTGGAACGGATGACTTTCAGTTGTTTTATGAACGGTTTGTAAAGCAGTTTTGTATAGACGCAATATGATGCAAGCAGATTGAATAAACATAGCCAAATAGGCAATAACGCTGATCAATGACATATATGCAAATGACAACAATACAACTAATGTGGCACCAAAAACAATGCCAGATGATACAGGATCTCTCCAATACACCAATGCCTCCACTAAAAATAATAACAGACATTATTTACTTTGTATTAAAAATAAAATACAAAATAATATGTTATACAATATTAATTGATTTTAGATGCACTGTGTAAATTAATTTCATATCGGTCAAATAGTTTCATATTTTAATGAATCTAGTTGTCAAGAACAAAGCATATTCTCAGTAACAAAATAAAACAAATCAATTTGTTATACCTCTATTTATTTAAATGAATACATCAGCATTTATTATTATTATTATTATTTATACCTATAAGACCCATATATAATTAATATATATTACACTTAATAAGTCTAAACATTTAATATTCTCATTGTTGATATTTTAAGTTTAATTAAATCAATTCATACTAGTCAGTATTAAAAAAAAAGTAAAAAAAAGTTATTAAAATTTAAATATTTATTTACTAAGATATTTAAATGTAGGTTTCTACATATACAAGTTAACTAATTATTTTTCAGTTGTAAATATGATTATAAATCCAATATATAGATAATTAAACAATTAAAAACTTAAATATATTTTGTATAAAGTTGATTGTTTTAGTTTAAAAAAAATTAATTTTAAGTAGTAGAGCTATAACTTATGTTATATAAAATGTCCACTACATAATCCTTATATTTTTATGTTAAAGTGAAAATGTAAGGGCAAATATATATATTCTTACATAATGTTTGAAAATTTTGTAATTATTATTTTTGATAAATTTGAATACTTTATAATTTCTATGGATTAACAAATTGTTTTCACTGATCAAAATTGTTTTTGTTTATTTTTTTATTTTTTAAATGAAAAGATTACGTTCATTACTTCAACATGATATAGATAATAGATAATAAACACTGAAAATAAAAAAAAATTCATATATATTTTTCTTTAATTACATTGATAATACATTTCAAATTTGAATAGATATATTAAAACAAGATAACTCAAGTTCCACCTGTTTAGTATGTTTCATTCAGGTTTATCAGCTATTAAAGAAATACCTATATCAACATATTTTTTTTATTTTTAATGCATATAAATTTGTTATGTTTAAATAATGTAACACAATGTAAAATTATTATACGTTAATTTGTCTATATTTGATAATTTAAGTACCTGTACAAAATATTCATTATATAATGAGTGAATATTTAAACTTAAATAAATAATCATGAAAATATTATGCATAAATTATAATGAAATATTACCGACCCCTCTCCCACCATAGGAGGTAAAAAAAAATTGTAGACATATTTGTCAAATTAATCGGTCTTTTTCAAAAATAAAACATATTGACAGGAAGCATTTTTATAAACCACTAAAGTTGATTTAATAATAAAATAATACAAAAAGCAAGTAGCAAAATAAAATCTTAAAAATACATCAAAAATTCACAAGTGAAAATGTTAATAAATCGTATACAGTTCCACATCACCATAAATTGAGAGAATGATGTTTCAGTAGAGCAATTACCAGTAACTGTAAAAATCGCTGACCTACACACAAAATACTTGTGAACTCGTTTCACACAGCCGAAGGAAGAGGAAGGGAAATTAACTAATTTTGAAATCAAAACAGCCACGTTTCTAAAAATACGACATGATATTAATAACAAACGAACACTAAGGACTCATTATTAAAAATGTCGTCTGTTAGCGATCGACAAGCACGTAGATAAATTAATTACAAAAAGTCAAATGCTCAGAAAAATAAACAATAGTCTTATTTTTAGTAAAATTGTTTCGAATTTTGAAATTTTTAACTTGCAAAGAACTGAACACTGAGTACTTAATGTAATAAAACCGAAAAAAGAACAACCCGAACATAACTGAACCGTTTCTGCAGTCGTATCCATACACACGACGCACAACGCAATTGTCTCTATCGTATGGAATGATACAGGTAACGTCAACGTAGCGTCCGTCCCGTCTAAAAAAATCTTTCCATAACACACAGCACAGTTTTCCCAGATCCTTAGCAAGATGAAGCATTAAACAAACACCAGATACGAATCACAATGAAGTTATCCTTGTATCCACCAGATTCCACATACACGACAACAGCCGTTGACTCGACGATGCGTTTTAATCGGGTTGTTTAGTCTGAATCCGTATCCTGAACGTACCTGGTCCCCTCTCGGGTAACACGACCGGCGCGACATAGCTGCTGCTGTTAGCTCTGCCGTAGTACTTCTTGGCCATGGTTAAGCGAAGGATTGGACGATGACGGTTGGTTGTCAAAAAATCAAATTACAACAATTACTACGGCAAGAAGAATGATGAACTACGGAGAAACGCGAACCAAAACCGAACGTAGTCTTTGTGAAAGGAACACCACAGCAGCAATAAATGCACCGCTACTATATAGTATCTACGTGTGCAGAACGGACTACAATTTACCACGACGCACACGTAAACTATACCGTACACGATCTTTGTTCGGGTATCAACGCATCAGTGGCGACGCGCAAACACGTCGAAGACGGCGGCGAGCAACAGATTCCACGTAGCAGCAGCAGTGCCGGAGATATCTTTCCCCCCCCCCTCTTCACAACCACGAACGACACAGCTGAGCCTATGCACCGCCACGTACCCTCGCTCAACCCATACGGACGTCGTACAATGTGCCACTGCCATCACCGTCACACTGACACCGTACCACGGGGCCGTCAGACGGTTCCACATGTGCATCGTACCAATGACGGGTAACAACCTCCGTGCGTTTCGTGGCGGCCAATTGTACACAGGCATCGGTCGGGTACGCGAGACAGGTTGAACAAATACATCGTACCACGTACGAGAACCAGCCGCCAACAGGTAGATGATATCTGGTATATTATGTTAACGCGACACTGCGACACACGGTAGAATAATGATATTGCTATGACACGCGGCAGTCATAGCAGTGAAGGGGAGACCGCTAAAATTTGTAGCAATAAGCAGATAGCCACATACTAGTTACAGAACAACTGTTCAGTAAAGGTTCACCATAGTATGGAGACAGAATCTGCATCCCTATTAACAATACGCCACGAATCAAAATATATAAAATAAATATACGAAATAGTGAAAAGTAAAAATATTGTGAAATATACTTAGAATATTATGGGGCATAATTTAGTTTTTTCTTTTGTTTGATTTAAACAATTTACCAATTCATTTTGAAGTTCGTTTTTTGTATAAAAAACAACTCTTGCGTTGACTAATAAAATAACTATTTTAAATATATTTATATTTTTATTTGAATGCACAATTTGAGTTTTTATTTAGGCATTTACACAAAGAATATTTACAGAAGTTTATTTTATTAATACTTACAACTTTTTTTGAAAAAAAAATAATTTTTTCGAATTTTAAACTTTTAATACGTTTAAAGCAATTATAAATGTTCTTTTTAATACATCAAACCCTGGTTTATTATAAAAAATATCATGGTTCTTGAGTGAACATTCTCTTGTTGATACATACATTTATAAATAGTATTAAAAATAGAAACTAGAGTCACCGCTTTGAATGAGTCAAGCGACAATTCGTATTGGTTAACAAAATTAACTCATTAAATTACAAAATCTATATTAAACCATACATACCTACCTACCTACTTAGCAATATATCCATATATATATATTAATATATAAATTTAAATTTAATTGAATAGTTAAATTATAACAGTTTAGAATTCAAAGAAATTTGAAAAATAAGTCAAAATAGAATTTATAAAATTGAACCCAAGTTATAATTTTTTTGACATTTATATACAAAATACAGTGAAAATATTAACCAATATAAAATACAACATTAAAAATTCCAGGCTAATAAATCCTAAATAAATGTACATTGTAGGTATGTCGAAGTCCGGAAAAAAACTTGAAAAAAAGATTAATTAATTTATCCAATGACATTAGTATTCAAATAATAGTATTTTAATTCAAAACAACCATTAAGTACACCACAATATACAGTGTGTTCATGGTTATAAGTACCACTAAATATTGTATATGGATGCTTTTTATTGAAATGGGGATTTCAGGGAGTAAACAAAATCTCAAAATACACAATTTCAAGCAAATTTCATATTTTAGACCTAAAGGTAGGTGCATGCGCAATACAACTTACTTTTATGGTAACAAAGTTTTTTCTACATATTTGTTTAAAATATTTTTTTTTTTTTTAAATGTTCCCGAAAGTTTTTTCTAATTACAAAATTGATAAAGTTATAGTATATTGAAGTTTAATATTTACCACATTTTAATTATGATCAACTTAATACATGAACATCGAAATAATATCTTCGATATTGTTAAATATTTGTTTATAATTAAATAAGATGTAAAAAACACTTATTTGATATCGTAATTTACTCTCATTTTTGTCATTCATACGTCTAAAATAAAATAACTTAATGTTGAAGGAAATTAAAATTGAAAAAATGTACACACTTATGAGTTATTGTGAAAACGTTTATTTGGTATTCTCTTAACTCCAGAGTCTCGAATTATTACACGTCAATCACATTTATTTTATTTTGATCTTTGACATTAATAGGTGGGCCCCCCATACACAACAATTTCAAATGTCCTCATCAAAAAAGTTTAATGGGGTCAATTCTGAAGCAGACCATAGAATTACTCCATGGATACCAATCCATCAATAAGGAAAAATTGCATTTAAATATTGTCCAAAAATGATGAAATTGTGTACTAGTGTTGTCTTGTTATAAAAAAATATTTTTTCCGTGTGACTAATGAAACAGTAACGGCAATCGATATATAAGAAAATCTAGTTATCTTCTACCTCCGTAAAAATAAGGATCTAAACATTTTCAACTGATTAACCTACACCACACATTTATACTTGAGACTGCTTGAAATCAGTTTCTCCAAAACAGTGTCAGTTTTCATTATCTCTAAATCTATGGTCGTAAATATTAAACTTCAACACACTAAAACTTTGTCGATTTTGTAATTAGAAAAAAACTTTTCATAGGAAAATTGTTAAAAAAAATTTATTCAAATATGTTGAAAAAATGATGTTGCTATTTAATAAAAAGTAAGTTGTATTGCGCAGCACGTACCCATACCTGTCCGAGTAAAAATTTGAAACTATGTACATTAATACTCCCTTTTATTCCACAAAAAACACTATTCCAACAATTATCAACCAATTAAAATATTTAGTGTTAGCCATTGGTGTTAATACACTGTATTATATAAAATCGCCGTAATATTTTATATAGGATGGTTATTAAAACTAAAAATAAAAGAGATAAAACTGAGATTATAAATGTAAATCTAACAATTTAATTAATTTAGTTAGTTATAATTAGTATTAAATTAACTAAAATAAAATACACTAAATATGATGTCAAAAATAATAGATAAGCAGATTTATATTTGTTTACAAATAATTTATTTTATCAGTTAAACAAATATACTTCAGAAATAAAATTGGAATCAAGATTTATAGAAGATGAATCATTCGTCATTGACACATAGTTCAATTAGGAAAAATTATAAAAATGTATTTAAAGAACAGAACTTTGATTTTTGTATTATTTTTTTGAATGTGTCGAATTAATTTAAATTATATACAGTAATACAGTATAAATTTATTGACAAATAAAAAAAATCATAAAATATTTATGTTTATATGTTACACAGCGCGCTTTCTATGTGACAATGTGTGAACTAGTATCACCAAGTATAAACAAAACATACCTATACAGTTACAGATATTTTTCAAAGCTAGTCATATCACTACTTCGTACCCCTACTACATTAAAAATATCCTGCAATATAATATAACTACTACGTCAGTATGTATTCATTAACGAATTTATATAATACTTCGTTTACAGTAAAAAACCGTTACATCCTGTTGAGTAATGGTGTTGACTGAGGGAAGGGAAGTAAATACAAATTTAGCCTGATATTATTAAGGTTTATCTTACTATATAACGTCTAAAATATTAAGTTCTTAAATAACGGAGTTTTTTTTTAAATGTCATCTCTGTTACCACTGATTACATAATAAACACTTTTATCATTTTTATCATTTTTTTCTTCATTATGTTAGTGTTCATCAGTTGACTTGAATCAAGTCTACTATAACACGTTATTATAATATTTTACGAGTAAAAAATACTGCTTTGAGATTAGTGGTTAAAAGATTATGTGAAACTAGCTGAAACAGTTCATTATTTTTCTTTAAAAATTGTAGTTACAACCTGATTAATATGCTAAAAATTAAGCATTTAAACATTTTAGAGAAATATTTAGATAATAGTCAAAGAAAATAAGTTACTCTAGGGGCATTTGTAATGTAATAAAATACTACTATGTGATTTATGATATTTTTAATATAATCGCATTTTCGGATCAGAAATAAAATTGATGCTACGAATGAATGTTAATGAATCATTTTTCTTATCTATATATACGTTACAACTAATGTTTAGAATTTATGATGAAATAATGCATTGATAATGAACAGACTATTGTACTCTAACCAGTAACCAAACATTATTCAATCGAACGTAAAAAAAATAACAATTATTTACTTGCTTATAATGTAATAACTACTAGAAAGTGTTATGAAATTATTCGTCAAAATCAATCAATACGTAACAATGTACAAAAAAAATAACACCAATAGGAAAAATATCAGTTCTATATTCGAATTGATGTAGGATGAAGTATAAACGTTTTTTAAATAAAATGACTACAGTTCATTGCATTTGAACAAGTGAATACCGCATTCGAAGGTAATGATGAAATAAAATAATTAATAACGAATTTATTGTTTACTGAGTAGTACTGCAATTCTGGAATACAATACCGAGAAAAAATATCATGTTACTGTTTATACCTGGGTACATAACAACGCAATTTCGAATAGGCTAGGTTAATTGGAAACTAAAAATTAGACTTAAAATTCAATGAAATTATTTTTACAATTAAAAACGTAGCTTTTACTATAATTATTTTTTTTTTGGGCTACCCTTATTCACCTATTGATCTTATGCGGAAAAAAAATAAAGGTTATTCTTTACAGGGAGCTTACAACGGCCAAAAGACGACAAAAAAAATAAATGTACAAATCGGTAATAAAAATACTTACGTTTCTCCCTCTTGGGTCCCATCGTAATTTTTGTAGTTTAAAAATTATTCAAAGGACGATTACGAACAATAATTAATTGCTTCGCGAGAAATTAATATTGACAATAGAAATTTAGAACACGGTAACTATTCGCAAAATGTTCTCAATGTTGGCGACATATATCCCGTCGGCCCAAGCACTCGCATACAAGACAATATTATTTTTTTTTTCCCCCGTGATTATTCTACGTACGGCGACGAGTCTATTTTTACGGACGACACGATAGCTTGCGCGAGATTATTTCTAATTATACTGTTCAGCTAAAAAACCTGAGCATTTGGCGGACTAGGGCGACTCCGTATCGCAATGAACATGGGCGACGATTCGACTCTGTTGGCGAAACAGTGAATAACGGCGGCGGCGGAAGGAAACGAACGAACACGAGGAATAACGATATACAACGCTAATGCAATAGTATTATATAATTAATATTATTTGAATATTGTTTATTCGCGACGCAATAATAAACGGACACGGCGGCGCGTGATGTGCGCAATGGTACTACTGTGTGGAATGAAGTTCGGGCACTCTGGTAAATGTATGTGTTAATAATAGTAAGTTATTATGTTATTGGCGGCAAACGCGATCAATAGGACAAGGGAGCCCGTCGTTGTCGCAGGATACGACGCCGAGGGGTCGCGCATCGATATGTATGGATAGAAGAGAGGGAAACAACACTAGACCAGCTGACGACCGGTCGGCGAAATATCGGTCAGCGACGGCGTGTACGTAAGCGGTGGGAGAAGGGTCTGCTGCAACGACACAGCAGCTGCCTGATCTATGGTTTCATATAGCGTGGTCTGGTCTGCTCAATGGCTCTATACGCAGCTGCTGCAGTGCTGCTACTCGCTGGCAATGCGACGTATTTACTAAGTGTTTGGAGAACCGATATCATACCGCTGTACAGCGGAACAGTAGCAATGAAAATACACATTGCGTGACCACCCCTGCCGTCACTCTTAGACATTTTGACGGTTGACCACAATTCAAACGAATATAATAATAATAATAATAATAATAACAATAATAATTTATTATAATTAATTATCAATAGAAATACCCAACATATCGTAGAGAAGTTATAACATTATTATATCTTACTTAAACTAATTAAAATAAATTGTATTTGAAATAATAGGAATTCTAACTATGAATTTGTAATTACCTTTATTTTACACAAACATGGAAGATATGTAACAAAATTTCAATAATTTTTTAACCCTATTGTTTGCAAATGAAAATATAGCTTATATTTTATACACTATAAAATATTTAGCCTACAAATCCAATCTTATTTAACGTGCTAACATACTTCCTATGTTATAGAATACATTCAAGTCAAACAAAAAATCTAATTTAAAAGAAGTATTTAACGGGATACCTAACCATAAGTGTAGGAGTAAACCTAGATTGACTATTTTTTTTTTTTTTGTATTTTCTACTAATAAACTGCTACTTTAATATTTAATTAGTACACTATAAGCAATGGTAGGTACATGAAAATTAGAAATTTAAAAATTAAATTAATATACTATTCCCGTTAATTTAAACTTGATCTAAATAAGTTTATTTTTATTTTGAAAAGATGAAATAATATATTTTAAAATGTAACTAATATATAGTGTGCAGTCAAAACTATAAATCTCAATATACAACTTACCTTTGGGTGGCAATTTTTCGGGATTAAACCATTTATCTGAAAAAAAAAAATTGTTGTATTCAAAAATAAATTGTATGCATGTATATTATAAAATAAATACATAATGATTATATCAAGGAACAATAATCGTTTTATCACAGCTAAAAATATAATGATATGTAAATAAAATGCGATATTTCATCCAACATATGTATAATAGAAAATCATAATATTAATAAGTCTGTAGAATTATATATAATGAGTACAGATACAATACATACATAAACATTTTTTAAAACTTATATAGTTGATAAAATATTACATAACTAAGTAGCCTAATATATCAGTAAAGATGATAATAATAATAATAATTGATATCACTCACAAGGTCGAATCATGACATTTAGTAAGTGTTTTACGATTATTAGGTCCATATTAAGCTGTTTGTCTTTCGTATAAAACATATTTTTTCAAAATCTTTAAAAAACTTATTAGTACATTTATTTAAACACTATAAATACCACAGAAAAAAAAAAACTGGTTGAACATGAAAATATTTCCTACCAAAATAAGCAAATCTTACAAAAACCCTTGTATGTAAAAATATATATGTAAAAAACAATGAACGATTAATTCGAGTAAAATGTTTAATACCAACTAAACATGATTACTAAGTAATGATCCACGAGCATCGACACGTGACTTACAATCAAAACACTCATCAATCTATAACATTGGCAAATTGCAATGTCTAAGTCTACGTATATATACCATAGATATATGATTACGATAACCTGTTGTGAGACTGATTATATTATGGAATGTGTATGGACATGGATATAAATAGTTTAGTAGTATTGGAAAAATAATGAATATAATTTTTTCAGTTGGGTTTTACCAAATATTATTGTTTCTCGTAAATTTAAAAAAAACCCAACAACTTATATATATATTTAAACCTAAACTATTTATTTTTAAATATAATATTCAAATAAAATAATGAAATAAAAATTAGTAAATGGTTAATACTTGTAAATAAATATATAAATAAATAATTAGTATATAGAAATGAATGAATAAATGCTTAGCGTGAAATATTATATATATATATATATATATTATACATATATAATATGTATAATTTATGATCGGTTTCGAATTAAAAATTCATCGTCAGATAAAACACAAAATCAAAAAATGGCGACTCGGTAACTCGATGAATATTGTAGGATTTTTCGATCTGTTGAAACTCAATTTTGAAAGTCTACATTCGGAATAATGACTAATCAGCAATTAATAGTATTATACACACACATTTTCTTTCACGAAAAGTAGTCTTAAAGATAGACCAATGTTAACCGCTATATTATATTTTATTATATGATGAAAATCACAAGTTACATAAAAAATAGAAGTTTAATAGATAGAAAAATATACAACTTGCTAACGAAATAATATATAAAGGTAAATTAAAATACAAAACAGAATTTAAAAGAACACATTTTTTTTTTAACGTCTATATTCTCCATTTTACTATAGCATATATTAGCATAACAACTGTCATATTATTACTATTTTGTAATAGGAATCTTATTTCCGTTAAAAAAATTATTATGAAGTTAAATAAAAAGAATTTTAAATGTGAAACAAAACCTAATGTAAGGGAAATACATTATTTATTAACACTCAGGTGTCAAACGTCAGTAATGATATTATGCAGATATTTAAATATTCAAAATAATAATTAATGTAAAATATAGTTCTATATTTATGTACTAATAAGCTACGGCGTCATGGGTACGTTATTCGACCAGTGTCAGTGGGTATTTTAGATGTTAGTGTGTTATTGAAGTAGATTTTGAATAATATGTGTTTAAAAAATGTATATTTTATTTTGATAAATGTTAATCTTATAATATATTATTAATTTGGTAAGTAATCAAATAATTTAATATTAATAAAACACGATATACATAAATGCTATAGTGATAATTTATAATTTTTTTTATTAGGTATATTTTCTTTTTAACTAAATGTAGTGAACAGGATAGTATATTTATTAAAATATAAAATATATTTTATTTACAGAAAAAATTTAACCTGAAATTAAACAAATAATAGTTTATAGAAAACTACTTGTAATATTAAATGATACATAAATAATACATGGTTATATTCTTAAAATTAAAAATGTTGTAAAACACAATATTTCGTATATTTATTAACAAAAATAAAAAACTAAGGAAAAGTTATAGTTAAAATAAAATAAATACAAAACTGTAATCATGACAAATATAAATACCACGCTAATACTTCTTTAGCTAATGTCCAGTGACATTCTTAGAATTTAAATATCAAGAAAAAATATTATTTCAACACTTTAAATTAAATTAAAAATGGATTATTACGGTGGATATTTAAAAATTTATTAATATGATACACCAACCCAAAATGTAATCTAAAATCAAGGGAAAGGATCCATCTCTAGCACCCTCTCTCTGAAATAATTTATAGTTTGTAGTAAATTATGTTTAATATTAATCATTATTTTATTTTACTAACATCCTTAATTAAATTGCAGGTCATTATTACTCATTACAATATAATATAGATCAAAAAATAATTTATTCAATGGTGATATATGTGAACATTAAAATATTGATAAACTAACATTTTCAGTGATATATTATATTGTCGAAGTATTTATCCAACAATAAGAACATTTAACTTTTTACAATGTGAATTCCAATGTATTTTATTAATTTTAATTTGTCAAATACAAACATGTATAATATGAGATATTTTCTAAAAATAAGTCAAAAATGTTTTTGTATGGAAACTAATTGAAATTACTTATCTGTAACAATATCATATTGTATTGACATTCCAAAAAGTTTAATGCTTTTTAGATCAAACAATGATTGTTTAACACCAATAATTGGTAAACCGTGTTGATTTCTCTAACTAGGGTAATTGTGTAATACATCTATTCATATCCCTAGCCCAAAGAATTTTGTCGAATATCTTAACCTTCCTATTTTTTTAATGATTATTATTATTTTAATAAATTAGCAATGCCATGTTTAACTGTTTGAATAATCAGTAAATGTGCCACATTATATTTTAAATTTAATCAGATTCTATATAAATTATAATGTTTGAACTTGGCTGTATGACTAACCAGACTTCTTATAAGCAAAAGTAATGTTGGTTATTTGCTACTGATTGTCAATAATTGAGGAATGGTATAATTCACAGTAGACATCAACAGTTAAAAATATTTATGCTTAACAGAAAAAATAATTTTATTTTTATTTCTAATAATCAAATAAAATATAATTGTGGTAAAATGTAATAACTAATTATAGATAAATAGATACAACTTTTAGTTAACAAAACCACAAAAAAAGCATCTGATAAAAAAATGTGTATATGAGAAATCAACATCAATGTTAATGGTCTTCAATTTCCTATCTTTAAAAATTATAAGTTGAACAAGATATAATTTATAATTGCCTTGAAAAAAGTAAAAAATTTAAAACTAAAGCATTAATATTTCAATGAATTTATATTTTTGAGTTTTATTTATTATAAATTATGATATCTACCATTATATAATAAACAAAAATGTAAAAATAAAAAACAGACTATTTCTAAATATAATTTTAAGTATAATAACCGATTATTATACTATGACAGTCATCTATTTACATAACATATCTAGAATGAAGTATGATAAACGCCATAATAAGGAATTTATAATAGATATGTTAGCATGGATTTAGACAATATAACAAAAGCAACTAATTTCTTTATATTCTCTTCAATATTGGTATGATTTCTATTATATTACGGATGAAAAAATAATATTCAAGTAATAAGTACATATTAATTTCAAAGATTTGTATAGAAATATTAATTTTATTTTAATAACTTTTATTTAATTAGATGTTTTATCTTACTTCAAAAATTTTATAATCAAACTTGTAATTAATTAATTAAACATAATAGTAAAACCATAAAATTATCTTTTATGTATCTTATTTGTATCTTGCTTTGTAAATATAACAATGGTAAATAGTGAAAAACAATTCAAGTAAAAAAAAAATAATTTTATCTTAAAAAGATGATCATATTAATTTTATAATTACCTAATCCAATCCTGCAAAATAATTCGTCAGGTCCAATCTTAATGTCACATACATCTCCTTCATCGGTATCTTTTTTGGTACTCTCTTTGGGAACAACTTCAGGTGTATCTGCCATTTTTACTTCAGATTGAACCACATTTATAGGTTCATTATCTTGATTTATCAATGTTTTGGTAGAATCGAAAACCATAGATTCAATTTTTTCAGAAACTGCTACTTCTTTCACAATCGGAGATTCGGTTTTGGGAAGAGTTGTAGACTCCTCAGTTAATGTATCAAAGACTGGATCAACAATATCTAATAATTTGTCTTTTTCTTCCTCTTTAGATATATTTGTAACTCCTGCTTCTCCTTTTCCATCATGAATAGTTTTTAATTCCTGATCAATTACCTCAAAGTTGTTTTCAAGCGATAACTGTTTACCCGTATTCATCACTTTATCTGACATTAGAATAAGGTCATCATTTTCAAAATCATTTTTGATATCTTCAGACAATATTCCATCATCTATGACTAATGAGGTCGTTTTTGGTTCGTGTTCTGGAATATCAGTGTCTAAATCTAATAATTTCTGGTTCTCCATTGTAAGATATAAATTAAGTGGTAAAATATAGGAAATAGTATACAGCTAATGCTGGTTTTTAAATAATAGTAAATTATGCAGTCTTTTGACTAGTAATTTATAAACTATGAAAGGAACTATGCTTTAATACTGAGAAACTAATTTTTGGTATAAATTTAAATTTAAAAGATAATCACAATTTTTATACAAATTAGACAAGTAAATGTAATAGTGCGTAAATTTTTGTAACCGTATGATATATGAAAAACTATCCCTATGTTAGCACGACATAACAGCTGATATGATAACTATTAACTAAATAATCGATAATCACTTCGAACATTCGAGATCTGAGTTGACAATTCAGGATTACAACTTTCTGTCGTCTAGTATTCTTACCGTATGTGAACAACAAATCCAAATAAAAAAAAAAATGCATATAATGCCTAATAACTCCAAACTATATATTATAAAATTAATAAATATTTATTATAATAACAACATTTTAAGTGTTTTAAATAGTTTTTCTACGAATTAACTTACACATATTTCAGTGATTTATGTTTGTTTTAAATTGAAATATAAAATTAATTAATTAATTTCATGATTAGTTGTTACAAAAAGGTTTACATTTCAGTATTTTTCTATTTACGAATAATATACTATATAACACAGTTCATATAATATATTTTGATTTTTGAATGTAGCACACCTGCAATTCTGTAATAATATTAAATGTGTAATAACTATGGTTATTATCCAGAATAAATAATCGTGGTGTAGACCACAATTGTAGATATTTTAAGCCATCAGACAAAATTTACATTTTGTTTTTGGGCCTCTCTAGACACAATTACACAGAGGATATGCGTTTACGGAATTAAGAAGCCAAGAGGATTTACACTATTAAGACTGATAAATTAGAACATATAATTATTTTTTATTAATTTTAATATTCATTAAGATAGATATTTGTTTTTAATTAATATTCTCATGCAGAAAACAATTATGTAGTAATTTACAAATTAAATGTCAAAAGCAAGGGCGTATTTGAGCCGAGGCCATGGAGAGAGGGGGCGAAACTAATTTTTTTTCAATACAAACTTAAAAATAATTTACAGTTCATTACAAGGGCCTACCCAAGGGGAGGGTTTTCGGGTTCAGACCCCCCCATTGAAATTTCTACATACTCAATGCTTTAATAGTGTATTTTAATTTCCCATTATCTTCAGTATACAAAGTTTATGGATTATATAATATACCTACCTATAATGTATAAACCATGTTTAATTTATACTGTTTTTTTAATATTATTTATTATTTTTAATTAAATAATGTATTTTTTATAACATTTTACTACCAAATAAAAATCGATTTCAAATTTTAGTATCTACCTTACTATTATATATAGTAAACCTTTGTGTGACTATGCGTGATGTGTGTATAACTATTGAGACTATTACTATAGTCAGTGGCGTACATTCAATCTCGCTCTTGGAGGGGAGGGGGGTTAATAAAAATATAAAAATAATCGTTATCTTATTTTTTTTCGTTGCACAGATAAATTAGATAAATAACTGCTATAAATAGATATTATTTTATACAACTTTTTTACCAATTTACAGTGTACTTTTACATTACAGTCAATTAATGGCTATTGGAATATAAAAACAGCTTAGTTAACAAAATTTTTCAAACACCTATCAATATAATTATTTAATTATCATAATACTTGTATAGTTGTGTATTGTAAGTTCAAAGCGTAATAATGAAACTACGAATATATTACACGTCATCAATAATAAAACAATTTTCTTTTTTTTTTTTTTGGCTCTGGGGGGGTTTGAATTCGGACCCCCCCCCCCGTCACGCCACTGACTATAGTTATAAACAACAATTTGTTGGTATTGAATTAAACTATAATTATAATTAGAGAACAGATAAAATAAAAATGTTGGACCCCCTCCTCCTAAAAAATTCCTGGGTACATCACTGGTTCATTACCTACAGCTCATGTTCCTGTTGCTCGTTCGAGTGAATAAATAAAATTACAAGTACCAAATTGAATTAAATATTTATATTATATTATATATATATATAATCTACTGCATATAAAATAAGTATTAATAATAACAACACAAATAGTTTTTATATTAAAATTGTACCTTTAGTCTGAATTCTGTATAAAAAAACAACAAATAATCATAGTAGTAATACTACCTATTATTTTTTAAAAACTTTAAAAAACAATTAAGATAGGTAACTTAATTTAACAAATAACTAAGTAGAAAACATAAGGTAAGTAGTCAAATAAAAAACTCCAATTTTTTTTTTTCATTTTGGCAAATTTGTTGATTGTTTCATCAATGGATACAATAATATTTTTATGCACATGCATCAAAGCCAAACCTGTAAGTCTATGCTGGCCTATTTTTGATCTTAACCATGTTTTCAATTTACAAAAATATATTTTTGGCCAATATTTGCAAGTTAAAGAATATGAAAACAAATATCGTCAGTAAATATGATTATTTTTTGGGTTAGGGGCTTCTAGTTCAATAAAATACATAAATATGCATGCATTTGTGCACAAAAAAATGACTAAATACCTATGCACAAAAAAAAAGTACCAGATATTATGTTGTAAAAGAAAAATAGGAGAGTAAAATTATTAAGGACTTAGGCTCTAATAAATACAAAAATATACAATATGCATAAATGCACCAACAAATGACTAACTAGTAAATATGTGGTAAAAAAAGTGTTACTTTAAATTACTTTATATTATCTGATAAATACTTCGATTATGGTTGTAAATGTCTATAACCATAGCAATATCTGTTGAATATAATATTCGTTCCACAACCAAAAATGTTATGATATAAGAAGATAGACAAAAATTGATACTCGTGTTCAAATTGACATATTATTGAATTTATTATCATATTATTATGTTAGACTAGTTATTGATATTCTTAATTATTTATACATTACATTTTTTAAATAAATCAATGTATTATATTAAAAAAAAAATACGAGCCATGGGGAGACGAATGCCCCCTTTGACCCCCTCAAATACGCCCTTAGTCAAAAGACTTTTAAGTTTCTTATTTTTCTTATTTAAAAAAAATAATAAAGTTAGGTTAAGCTAATCAAACTTTTACTATTATAGATTAAATAACATAATCTATAATAGTGATATTACAAATAAGCTCAACAATTACAATGTACTTTGAAGTTACTTTATTAAAACATATAATTAGTATTAATCAAATATTATTTTGTGTTATAATGTATTTATATTCTAGCAATCAAAATCCAATTAACTGCACTGCTCCAAATAATTCCAAAAATAATTTTACTATAAAATATGGCATCTATTGTAAATAAATGCTATTCAAATCATTCTAAATTAAATGGATACTTAAAAAAGGTAATATGTTTTATTATTTTAAAATTTAAATAATAATTTGCAATTACTTGCAATTAATTTCATATAAAAAAAACATGATACTATTAGCTTAATATTTTAATTTGTAACATTTGTTTTAATTGTAATATATCTTTTTTTGGTTTAATATGTGAAATTATATTTTATTTTAGAAACCAATTCATAAAGATTTCTACATAGAAGAATCTTACGAAAAAATGCCATTTAGTACATCAATAATGGCAACTTTGGGATTTTATTTTTTGATATTTATTGGACTGATAAATCATTTAATTTTTACTCCAAAAGTAGCTACTGAGAAAAAACGAAAGGTAAAAATGAATCTATAAATAATAAAAGTACTTATTACTTATAAAAAAAATAATACTTATAGGGATATCCTCCATTGTATGATACATTTGATAACATATTTTTAAGATATGTATTTCGTCGAGTAAAAGATTGCTTTAATTCAGTAGTTAGTAGTGTACCAAGCGCAAAAATTGAAATCCGCACTAGAATAACAGAAGATAATAACTGGTCATTCAAGTAAGAATAATATATTATTTGACATAATTTTTGTTATATTCTTTTTTTTAAATAATGAATTTGAAAATATTTTAGGCTTCTGGACACAAAATCTACCTTTTTAAACTTAGGTTCATATAATTATTTAGGTTTTGCTCAAAGTGATGGTCCAATTGCTGATGATACTATAAATATAATAAAAAAATATGGTTGGGCAATTGGGAGTCCACGTCAAGAACTAGGCACCAACCATCTTCACTTTGAACTTGAAAAACTAACTGCTGAATTTTTAGGTGTTGATGATGCTATAGTATTTGGTATGGGATTTGCTACGAATGCTCTCAATTTACCTGCCATCATAAATTCTAATTGCTTAGTGCTTAGTGATGAATATAATCATTCATCTGTTATCTCGGGGATAAAACTATCAGGAGCTACATCTTTAGTTTATAAACATAATGGTATTATTACTATATAATTATTAAAATATATTATTTTTTTAATTTAATTAAAAGTCAATGTTGTTTATAAAAAAAATACTAATACTTATCAAATGTAAAATATATTTAATTTTAATTAGATTTATATTTGTTATAAATTTATAGCCATAATAAATTTAATCTATTCTTTAATTTTGACATATATATTATAAATTATAATCGATATTTTTGTTTTATTATTTTTTTTCAAACAAATATTTAGATATTTTAGATTTAGAAGAACTTGTACGACAAAATATTGTTTCTGGCCATCCAAAAACAAAAAAACCTTGGGAAAAAATATTTATTATAACCGAAGGCATTTTTAGTATGGAAGGGTCAATTGTAAATCTTCCAGATATAATTGCTATTAAAAAAAAATACAAAGTTTGTATAAATAATACTTATTGATACATTTTTATTTATATTATTTTTAACCCCAAAAAAAAAAAATATTTCAGGTATATTTATACATTGATGAGGCTCATAGTATAGGTGCGTTAGGATCAAATGGACGTGGTGTACTAGACTATTATAACTGTTGCCCAAAAGATGTCGATTTATTAATGGGCACTTTTACTAAATCTTTTGGTTCAGGTGGAGGGTATATAGCTGGCAGTAAAGTATGTTAAAATATTGTTTTGATTAATTAAATACTGTTTAGATAATTTAATATAAAATAGCATATTCTGCACAACACTATTACATTATTAATTTAAAACTTTTATATATATTACTATATTTACCAAACTTTAAGCCAACTATAATAGTATTTCACTGTATTCTATTTTTCTTTACTTAGTTTATATTTACAGTTTCCCAATTATGCTTTTATATTTTTTTTAATGTAAAATTTCATTTAATAAACCAACATTTATTTTATTATAAATATGTTCATAATATAAACTATAAATATCAACAATTTAAATTAAAACTTATTTTAATTATTTATTAATATTATTATTAATTATTTGTTACTGTTACTAGATTTTTTAATTTAATTGTTCAAGGATTTAATTGATTATTTAAAAGCAAATAGTTATGCTTCCTGTTATGCTTCTACAATGGCACCATCTGTGACCCAAACAGTCATAACATCGATGTCCATGATAATGGGTAAAAAATATGGTGGAGAAGGAAGAAAACGAATTAATCAACTTGCGAGTAATGTGAAATACTTCAGACAAAAACTTAAGGCTTTAGGTTGTATAGTATATGGTAATAAAGATTCCCCAGTAATTCCTATGTTGGTATATTCCATAGCCAAAGTCGGGTGTGTATATTTTTACTAATTTTGATAAATTATAAATCATTTTTTGTTATATTATTTTAGGTCTACAGTTCGAGAGTTCTATAAATTTAATATCGCTACTGTAGGAGTTGGGTTCCCCGCTACTCCATTGATTGAAAGTAGAATTCGTTTTTGTATGTCAGCTGCTTTGACTAAAGAACAACTTGATGAAGTAATTACCTTATATGATACTTTATCAAATATTTGAAAAAAGATTAAATCATTAACTGGTGCACTTAAAGTTATTGGATCTTTAAACCAAGCCTTAACATATACCTAACTTAACAATAAACACGCATATTTAGATTTGTATTTATTTTATACATTCTTCATATTGTTGAGAAACTACTTTAAGGATTTAATCTATTCCAGATATTCCCTAATATACTATGTTATGTCATATAACCAATTTGATAAAATAAAAAAAAAAATTTAAGTTCATGATTTCTGATTGACCAGATGATTACATGAAGTGTGTCTAGATAACAATGGTCAATCAAGCCATTACCTAATATTTAATACATAAACTTTTATTTACTTATTATAATATTAAGCATATATTTATTTACAGGTACTTGAAGCTACAGAAAAAATTGTGAATAAATTTGGTTTGCGTTATTCAAAAAAACCTATTTCAAATGAAGAAATAGTTTATGAAACACCATACTAGCTGTATGTCTTAATAAAATTAGAGCTATTTACATTAGCCTATACTTATTTTTTACTGTGAAAAAGATACTGGTTTCACAAACCTAACCATGAAGATATTTTTTTGTAAATATTCATTATTTACATATTAATAAAGACTTATAATAAATGTTATATTAATCATTTTTTTTCTTTTAGTTTAACAGTCTCTATATGAACTGAGCTGCCACAAGCAATTTTCTCTATATTTCCTTATTAAGTACAAGGTTAATAGACATATTTCTTTCCAACATATTAATGTCCTTCTTTACGGTATCTTTTCTTTCTCGATATCTATTCTTATCTTGTACATGATCTACCAAATTTTCTTATATAGTCACACTAAGTACTTTTTTATGATATCATTATTGGATTTGTCTTACCATTTTTATAGGTCATTATTATTCCTTCTTTTGAATTTTCATAACTCTGTATTGTACATTGGGCCGAAAATGTTCTTTAATACACAGCTTTTGAATTTTGAAAGTCTTGTTATAAGCTTTAGCTGAAGACCATGTCTCATAAAACTTGTATAACCCTTTCAGTAC